GATCGACGACAAGTCGTTCCTCCGGCAAGCGATCATGTCGTACGAGCAGTCGCACAGCTGCAAGCCAGACCAGGTGAGATGAAAGTGAAGGGAGGGAGCAGGAGGAGGAGGATGTAAGCATGGTCAAGGTAACTGCTCCCACGGTCGACCTGAACGAGACGGACAAATGCTTCACTTTCTTTCGAAACAACGACAAGTGGGCAGCGAAGGCAGAGAGCTTGTGGTTCATCAAAGCCAAAGATGGTCAGAGAGGAGGGGAGGAGGGGGAGGAAGGAGAAGCCGGCGAAGCGGTGGGGGAGGGGGGGGGGGGGGTGGAGATGGGACGTGGTCGGAGGAAAGGAGGTATGTGAAGCTCAGTTGCTTCTGATGTGGGTGAACAGGCTCGACGGGGAGGCACATCTCGCTGTTGAGGAGAGCAGATGTCGAGCGGATCGCTACGTCGGGACATCCTACTTGTCCCATCCCAGGAGGGATAGCAAGTTTGGAGGTGCCTTCCCCCCCACGTTCCCGTCCCTGTTTACCTGCGACTCCTCCTCCTCCTCCTCCTCCTCCTCTTCCTCTTCCTCTTCCTCTTCCTCTTCCTCTTCCTCCTCCTCCTGCCCCTCCTCTGCCTCCTCCTCCGCCCCCCGTTTCCCTCCCCTCCCCTCCTCTTCGCCCTTTTGACGCTCTACTTCAGGTACCCAACCTCTGGGTCATCGGTGAGGAGAGGAACGAACGAATGCTTACAAGGTGACGAAGAGAGCAGGAAACAGAAAGTTCGATCACAGAGTCTTCGTCCTCGTCGCCTCCTTTGAACCTCTTGTTGTCCTCTTCAGGTCTGTGTACTTCTCCCCCTCTCCCTTTCCCGCCCCCCCTCTCCTCGCTCTCCCCTCCCCCATCCTTCCTTTCTCCCCCTCTCCTCCCCTTTCCCCTCTTCCTCTTCTTCCTCCACTTCCACTTGTTCATCCTCGTCCTCGTCTCTTTCCCTACCGCTGTTATCGTCTCTCCTCAGCCGACCCTCAGGAAGGGTCACCTCCGCTTCTCCGTCTTCAACTACTCCGACCCCTTCAAGGAGCCTCTCGAGCTCAACGTCAGGTCAGGTAGCAGCTGGGAAGGAGCTGGGGATGACCTTGCTACCTTCAGCTTCTACACAGGCAGGGTCTACAAGGACAGGATGACGAAAGCTATTCTCAACGCAACCTCTGACGTGCTTCTCCTCTCCCCCCCGCCCCCGCGCCTACTCACCTCCTCCTCCCCTTCCGCAGAAGCTCTTCAGCGGGCCTTCAGGGTATCCCGTCGGCAAGAGACCAGGTGGGTCAGCGAGCGGGTCCAGCTGCGGGCTAACGAGGACGCAGAGGACAACCCGGACCTCTCGCGGCACCTTACCAACCCGCGCTTCGCCTTCGCTCACACCAACAATACCAACGAGGTCTGCCGCCTCCCTCCGCCTCTTCCCCCTCAAGGCTGCCAGGTGATCCGCCCCGCGGAGGTGCTGCGAAGAGCCCTGGTGGTGCAACATGGCGACGAGGTTGGGAAGAAGAGATGGGAGAAGATGCAAGCGAGGTAGGAGGACGGCGGTATGCGTGGGATGACGGGGAGGCAGCGTGAAGAACGCATGCTTGACGGTGATTTACGCCATCAAAGACAAGTTCAAGGGCAGGGAGTACATGACAAGGTCAGCGCCTCCTCCCTCCCTCCTGCTCCTTACGAGCCCAGGTGGGGTTTCATGATGATCGCCATGGATGTCGTTTACGACACGGACGGAAATGCCAAGGTGAGGAGGAGGAGGAGGAGGAGGAGGAGGAGGAGGGCGGGAGCATGAGGCTGAAGCCTTGCAAGGTCATCGACATCAACTCTGGACCGGACTTCTACCATGACGTGAAATCCCATCGCTCCTCCTCCTCACCATGATCGCATGCGCAGCACAAGTTCCCGCTGTGGTTCCACCGCGAGAGGAGCTCCATGATCCGAGAGGCACTGGACATTGTGCAGGAAACCGGTAAGCAGTTACATGATGAGGCTCAAGGAGTTTCACTTGTCCTCTAGCCTTCCTCAAGGCGACTCAACGGAGCGAGATCAAGCTTCAAACGCCCGACCATTGGGAGCTGCTCTACCATGAGTGAGTCCTTCCGCCGCTGCCACCACCATGCCTGACGAGACCTGCAGGAAACAGGGGGGGCCAACATCAGGCCTGCTGCCACTGGGGTCGTGCCCTCAGAGCTCATGAGAGACATGAAGGCCTTTACTATCTTCGAGAGGAACGAGCTTGGTTCCAACCACCAGAATCGCATCCTTTGCCAGGAGTTCAACTCAAGAGTCTACTGGTTCTGCGCAAACTTCGCTTTCTCCTGAGGGAGAGTGAGAAACACTTCTCCTATTGTTCGGATTACCTTGTCCTCAAGATCCTTCCACTTCTTCTTTTCGCTTTCAGGCAATCCCCTGGTAGAATAAATCACAACTTGTGCAAGGTCATCAACCCAGCCACGTTACCTCCATTGAGCACCAATGAGCTTAGCAACTTCTCCGAACGAAACAGTTGGGTTTGCCTTCTTCACATCAGGACGGACATGGTTGGAGAATAGCATGTAGGCGCTGAGGGGTTTCTTGGGCTGAAGAATGCGTGATGTGAGGCCTCTCAAGATAGTAACATCTCGAACTAACCTTGGTTTCTTTGACTGTGCCATACTTCGCATTATATTCAGCTTTTGCTGCAGCGGCCTTGTCCTCATAGACCTGCGTTGAAAGTAAGACCTCTTCTCATGTCTTACTGCTGTGAAGCAGTCTGACCTTCTTCTCATTCGCTGGCAGTTCACGCCACATCTCACCCAGCTTCTTGACTATCTCTGTGGCATCGAGGTCAGTAGAAGCCGCCAATATACTACATCTCCTGTACCAGTGTTGCCAATAGTGGGAAACTTTGCTTTTACAGTCGCACGTTTATCGCCAGCATACAACTGTTCGTGGATCATCAGAAACAAGACTTAATGACATGATGCTATCAATTACAAAGTATGCAGAGAGGGGTCGCTTTGGCTTATCCGCTGTTTCAGCCTATTCCACGAGGAAAAATTATCAAGAAGGAATCAGCCAGTGAATGACCTCATACCTTCTTTGCAGCCATGTTGACATTCAAGATCGAGAAGGATCTTTGCACTGCTGGTGCAACTGTAACCACTAAACTCAAAACAGGGAAGCAGATCGATGCATCAAGGACAACGGTCATGCCAGCAAGGATAAGAGGACCTCACCCAAAGGACAAGAACTTTTCGCGAGGGACGTAAACCTTGAAGTCAGAGGAGCTGAGGGGATGAAGAACGACATCGCAAAAGACGCGTGCATCCCTGCGAATAGAAAGATCAATGACGGACCTGGAATAGACAGAAAACAGTCAGTGTACTTCAAAGTCAACACAATGAAAATAAATTGCAGGACAGGTGGGAATAGAATTAAGCATGTCGCAAGGATCAGGTCGGATAGTAGAGTTGTACTGTCGTCTTTAGCCCCGATGCTGAGATGAACCTCCACGGCTGTAACGGAGCGCGAACTTCCAGCGTTCACAGCATGCCGGAGAGGAGGACCATTTCAAAGGGCACGAAACAAATATGGGAGAGGGAAAGGAAGAGTGTTCAAGAGGCGATGAGAACTGATCGGAACCGAATCGAGCATGATTCGGGAAAGTTTCGAGACCCAAATGCTACAGTAACACAAACAGAGCAGTAGAAGACAGAGCTATGACGAAGCAAGGAGATGAAAACATCGCCATGGACATGGACCGGCGCGAGGCGATGCTTGATCAAGGCAAACAGAGAGCGAAAGGATGAATGCCGTATCAAACAAGACGATGAATTCAATCAGAGACAGTGAGATCTGAAGGCAAGAGCATTCTGCACATGCCAGCGGGGGCTGACAACGGTCACAGAGTGGGAGTAGATATCCATGGATCCGAGAAGTACAAGTGAAGGAGAACAGGAAAGGATCAAGAAAGGAAAGAAAACACCCAACAGTTCATGATAGAACACTTCTTAACACATCAATTCAATCCAACAATATCACAATTGTGTCATCTTCACCCTCACTGTTCACAAACACATAGATTGTTCTTACGGTTCAACGCCATAAAACAAATCCGTCCCTCTGCCCCTACCCCACCCCACTTCGGCTGAAATACCACCTTCCGCGACTACCCCTTGTTCAACCAAAATTAGTACCCTCAATCTCAACTACCCACCCTGCAAAATTGAGGACGAGATACTGGAGTACCCCTACCATCTACTTTCAATCAGAGTATAATGTACCCCTCAAAATGACCTACCCGTCTTTCGAAATCCGAATGAACCCATTACCTTACACTCAGTACCCCTACCCCCCTGGACAAAGATTTTCGAAATCCCCCCCTGCATGCTCCACCCCACCCGTGCTAGGAGCACCAGTAACTAAACTTTGTATCCCCATTCGCACCACCCTACCCCCTCTACCTCTGCTACCCCCTGATGACCCCATCCTTTCGAGTCCGATCCTACTGAGGTGTGTGAATCAGGAACACAACATCATTGCCGGACATTTTTCGAAGATTTCCAATAATTATTTTTTTATATTTGTAATTATACAATCAAATTTGAAAATATGTATATTTTTTCAATTTCTGAAAAACTCAAATGATTTTCCCAGGACAAATTCTTTCCCTCGTGCACTCCAAAACTACAACTTTTTTTTCACCACCAGTAATACCCTCATCCCCACTTTGCCCATTTGTAGATGACCCGCCTCAGATATCACCCCCACCCCCACTTGGACCAGTAAAACACACCAATACACCTCGGATCCGATAAATTTGTTGAAATTCTTTTGGATAACTTGAAAAATACAAATAATGTTTGAATATCTCAGTGAACTGATATAACTAAAACATATTCCTGTGCTTAACTAAAACTTTGATTAGATTTGACTGAAATCTACAACAGTTTTATGTCGAAGAGACACACCAACAGCCAATGGTGTTGAGAGAGGACAGAGGGCAGGGGGCGAGGGGAGGGAGGAGGAGAGCGGAGGAGACAGGACAAGACAGCAACAGACTGGAGGGTTCGATAAGGTGTAGTGAGGAGGGGGTTAAGAGAACGAAAGGCAGAGAGAAGGAGTGAAAGAGCAGGATATGCTCTCAGAGTAGTTGAAATTACGGGGGACAAGGGAAGGGGAAGAAGAGTTTCAGAGAGCAGAGCAGCGAGAACAGAGTATCTCGAGTGCTTGATAAGATAGTTGCAGAAGAGGAGGGACAAAGTAGGTAAGCACAGCAACCTTGCAAGGGCAATGCAGCGGAGTGTCGTGAGCGAATAGAGGAACGGGTGAAAAGGTTCTGGGAGGAGCAATGGAGAACCAATCATCATGCAGCAGATGATATGATGGACATTGGTTAGGATGGAGGATGAATGTTAACATTAGTTGTTGGGTCTGGTTTGTTTGAATGTTTCCGCACCACGACTGAGCTGAAACAACCTGTTTACAACAAAGCCTGATAGTTCCACCATCTCATACTTTGAAATCGAATGTGTATCGTGTCACGATCTTAATCAAGAGAATAGATCTCCTTGTTGCGAAATTTTCAGATTGAAACCATCTGTGTGAACAACATTGTTCGCATCAATGTAGCCTGCAACTCATCCTTGACTTTCGAATGCAGGATGGCTAGCTTTCAGATCATGGCTCTCCGCCCCTTCACTGTGTTGCCCGGCATGTCCCTTGTCGAGGACACCTGCAACCCCCTCGTGAGTCACACTCATCGATCCCTTGACGGCTCCTGACACGGCTACAGCCTGGATTCATCCCGACCTACAAGACTGTCGGAGCTGATCAGTCCCCAGGATGCAAGCTCTACCCCGAGGTGATGGGAACAGTGCGAGTTTATTGATGTTGACTTGAGCTCTCAGGTCATCATGAACGGAGGTGTTCCCGGAGCAGACATCACCTTCGAGCCTGGTCTCTGGGGTCCCTCCGACTCTACCTCGCCTTAAAGCTTGCGATTCACTCGAGCTACTCTGTATGGATAGGATGAGAGAGGTAGAATTCCTCTTTCTTGAGAAATTTCAGTCATTCAAGAAAATTCTTAGCATCATGTTGTGTTTCGCAACGACAGCTTGCTTCATGTTGTTCTGCTCATGTTGCGCACTAACGTCGCTTTGGCCTCCTCGAGGGCCTGTTGGCGATCAGCAATGCAGGAGCAAGACTTCTTTGAATTCACCCGCTTGTTGATCAACCTCTCCGTCCCGCTCATTCCCACACGTCCGAAGCCTCGTCGTATCGCTCTCGTCTCCTGCTCGATGTCACCTCCCGGCAGTCTGGCCTCTATCCCCTACCTCCTCGATCTGAGTCTCGAGCAACTCACGATGGCGGAAAGCTTCCCGGCGTCGCTGCGCAACCTTCTGGTTGTTGAGGATGATCTCTTGCTTGTATGCCTCCAAGATCTTCACTGCAAGCAGCATCACCATTGAATCCAGTAACAAGTCACCGTCACCTGCTTCTGCTCGATTTCTCTCCATCGCCTCCCTCTCCAATCGCCTGCTCATTTGCTCGTCACCAAGTTGACCTCGCGATATATTCTCGTGCCTTTGATGCTCCATTTGATCCTTGAGGTCGGCGACCCAGCGGTCTCGCGTCTCCTTCTTCATTCTCTCATCCTCCTTGCGCTTCTTATCCACTTTCTCCTGGTGGTTCTTGCTGCTCTTGTCTGCTTTCCTGCTCCCGGGTCAGTCCAACAGGAGAGGACGAGGTCCAGGACGAGGTCCCTACATCTGATCTTGATCTCTCTCTTGCTGTCTCAGCGCCTCAAGCTTCCTCGCCTTCTCCTCGTGCTTCATTTGCAACTCTTTCTTGGCTTCAAGCGCCAGCTGCCGCTGGTTCTCTCGTTCTTGCAGCACCTTGACGAGGACTCAGCAGATTCAGAGCAGCGTCGCCTTGACCTGCTCGTATTCTTTCGCCGCCTGGATATCCAGCAAGACCTGCTGCTTCAGCTCCCTTGAGTTCCTCGCCTTTTCTTCCTCGTTGTATCGCATCAACTCGTCATATTCCTCCCGCATCTGAGTCGACCAACGCAAGTCATGGCAAGGGAAGAAGCATCCAGACAACCTTCTGCTTCTTCTGCTTGATTCTCTTTGCCTCCTCTTTCAACTCCTTCTTGATCTTTCGGATCTCTGCCATCTCGCTCTCCTGCTCTTCTTTCACCTGCCAACCCTTTCAGCGTCAAGCCGCTTCCTTGCTGCAGGACCTTCTGCCTGATCTTGTCAATGCTCTCCCGGCGAGACTTGTCTGCTTGCTCCCTCTGCTTTTTCTTGAGCACCTCCTGCATGCACTTCATCAGCCACCACCCTCAACCTTCCATTCCTCACCTCCTGCTCCTGCTTCGCTCGCTCCTCACGCAGCTCGGCCTGCCTGGCTTCCAGCAATCGCCTTTCAACCCGATCAGCATGCAAGTCAAGCATGAGCTGCTCTCACCTTGCTTCCTCTCGCTGATCCTGAAGAGACTGCAGGTTTGCTTCTTCTAACTGTGATCCGACTCTCAGACCCGCACAAAGACCATGTCGGGCCTTCACCTCTTGCTGTTGGATGTCCAAAGTTTGTCTCAAGATCTAGGCGGGAGTCAGCTGGACATGTCAAGGCGCGCAGAAGAGGAGAGCTCACTCTGGACATCATCTTCTTCTTCTCCATCTCTTCCCTCGTGCGCTCCTGCAGCCTCTTCTCCTCGAACACGTTGATAAGGAACCACTCGTCTCGTTCAGGAACGCGTTGGTCATCCATCCTTGCTCGCAGCGCCTCTGAGGGAGCGGCAGGGTCAGAGACGGGCTGATCGTCGCATAGGAGCCTTCACCTAGAGACGAAGCCGGTCTCCTTGTTGCCGGCACATCTGCTGCATGCCTCCCTGCCGACAGCTTGCTGTCCCTGCCATGCGCGTTCGCTCCTGCACTTACAGACTGAAGGAGCGACTTGTTCTTCCCTTGTGCCTTGGGATCACTCGACAGGTGTCGCCCGAGCTCTGCGACGTCACGGAGAGTGGGGGTGGTGGTGCGTGCGCGGAGACGAGTCGAGATCGCCTGCTTGTCCTGCCGTCCTCTCTCAGCTTTCAAGCACACGGGGCTCACTGACCTCACCAGACCATACGAGGCGGCAAGCTTGCTCAGCAACCTTACAGCGAGCTGCTTCTTTCTCTCCCCATCGCTGACGCCTCCCAGCGCCTGCCTCCTGACCTCCTCTTGGTCCCTGAGACCTCCTGCCCACTCCATGAGGGAGGTGCTGCGCTTCATAGGGTCTTGCACTCTCATTGTCGACCAGCAGCCACGAGACAACAACCTTGCTTCACTCCTGCTCCCGTCCCACAGCAAACATGCTCCCGGCTTCAGCCTTTGCTCAAGACAACGGACTGGTTCCCTAGTCAGCACACAAGTTTACAGGGATCCTAGATCAGATTTGAGCATGTACAACACAAGTGATCCCTTGCTCTTGACCATGACGGCAACACCTCAATCATCATGCCGCGTCCCATCAAAGTCAGTCTGGAGTGACCATCTGCTTTCTAACTCTCTCCTTGCCCCCGCGCCCCCACTAGGTCTCTAGTCCCTCACCGCGTCCTCACTGCAGACTTTCTCCCGCAGGGTTCTACCATGGCATGGCTGAGTAGTACTACCGTAGGCTGTCTCAGGACCGCTTCTCCCGCCTTCCTGCGTTCATTCCTCCTCCCTTCTCTTCCAGTGACTCTCTCCAATGATCAGCGGCTTCTCCCCCCCCACTCCGCCTCTAGTCTCGTCTCGTCGCCATCCTTCAACGGCTGTGGCTCAAGTAACTTTACTCAAAGTAGGTCCTGCTCCCAGCCCTCAGTGGCCCCTGTGGTAGGACCGCCCCGGCCCGGGGGCCCGGACCGTCCGGGCCCGGGCCGCGCCGCCCGGCTGACTCGGAGTCGTCGGACCAGCCGGAGTCATCCGAGATCACGTGAGGTCACGTGAGGTCACGTGAGGTCAAATGAGGACTCATTGGGCCCTGGGATCGGCTATGCCGGGGAACAGACGAATGGCGGGCGGGCGGGAAGGCGAAGGAGGGAGGGAGGGGGGAGCCGGGCATGAAGGAGACGGTATGAAGGCAGCACGAGGACGACCAGAAGCAGAAGGGAGCAGAGTCAAGGCGTGCGTGGAGGGACTTGAGCAGGGAAGGGCGGGAGAGTCGCTGGGGCAATTATGGAGCATGAGCGCAATGAGGGAAAACCTCAAGTACTTCAACGAGGTAGCGATGAATGCGATAGTGCGAACAGGACGAGAGGAGAAGGATGAGTGGAAGAAGACTGCAGCTCTTTGTACCATCCACAACATCTTGTGTTACGATGGGCATGAACTGGTGCTTTCGTCCAGCGCCAATGCCCTTCGTTTTGCTGTGGAAGTTCTGCTCAGCAATGCGGCACCCGGCACCAAGTCAGCAGCGATCAAGCTGCTTGACCAGGTATGATGTGACGGAATCGTGTTTACCCGTTCCTTCTGAGTGCATGATCCAAAAGCTGCGTTCGATTCACAAATTTTGTTTGTTTTTTCCTCCTTTCGTCTTTCCTAGTCACGGAGTGGAGCGAATGTGAGGTATCCATGGGCTGTTCTGACGTTTGTTGTCGTTACAGTGCTGCTTTGATGAGCGATCGAAGCTTTCTGCTGCTGACCAGATCTCCGTCGACCTTGTGTCCAACCTCCTCAGTCATTCGCAGGCTGTGATAGGAGGGGCTTCAGAGGAGGAGCTGAGAAAGTCTCAGGATCTGCACGCCCACGTGGGGCTGGCAGAAGACGTCCTCTCCTTGCTGTGGAACATCACCGACGACGTCTTCTTCAGAGGCTCGGAGGAATGGAGGCAGGTTACTACCAGGTTCTGCCAGTACCCCCTGCTCAGGGCCCTCTACTCCTCCCTCTCCCATCCCATCGCCGTCCACCAGCAGGCTGCTGCTGCTACTCTGCACAACTTTGCGTCCAACCCATCACTGCGCAGCATGCTGATTGAATCCGGGATAGGCGACCCCCTCCGCTCCTTCCTGACCAACAGCAGCCCTGTGTGTGTGTGTGCGGTCCTGGCGATGGCGGAGCTGTACGGGCTTGACGAGAGCCCCTCGACTCTCTTCAACTCTGACTCCTCCTACGTTACTCTCATCGCTCACGAGCTCGAGAGAAGGATCAACAACAAGGGCAGCGAGCAGCAAGAGGACTCCAGGACTGCGCGGCTGCAGCATGTGGTGGGAACGCGGAAACTGCTGAGCACCGTCGACATCTATACGGCCAGGAAGGACATGAAGACGAAGCTGCTGCGGGAGGGATTCGTAGGCCTGCTCAGCCTCGCCCTTCAGCAGTTCCGAACAGATGGGAGAGGGTCTGCGCTCTGTGTGAACTCACTCCTCCACCTCTCTTTCGAGAGCTCCAGCCGTACCTTCTTTGCGCAGGTCAAGGATGTCCTCCTGCCCAGACTTCGGTGCGTGTCGGAGGAGGGTGATAAAGTCCTCTCCAACCTCTCGCGTGCTCTGCTCTACATGCTCACGAGCTTCGATCCTTCCTCGACCCTCCCTCACTCCTCCTCGAAGAAAGCCAACACCTTCATCTTCTCCTACCACGACCAGGAGGTCAAGCAAGCACAGGCCATCCTCTCAGCGACGAGCAAGGTAGAGATCACCTCCTTCAGCTCGAGCTTGTCTGTGACATCTCCGCTGCAGCACAAGTTTGATGGAGTGACGGCGCTCCTGCTGGAAGACCCTGTCATGACCGGGGACTTCGACCAGGTCGTCCTCTTCCTCAAGCACCAGGCGAGTACGATGCTCGTCCTTCTCTCCAACTGGCTCAAGAGATCCGGACGAGCGAGGCTCATGCTCAACGTGGCCGTGCGATGGTGTGCGATTGCCCCTCCTCTTTCCCTCGAGTGACCATAAAGCAGCGGCGTCTTGATCCTCCCTGTCCAGACACAGGAAGGCTTCGTGCCGGACGGATGGCTGCTGCGGCTGCTCGAGCTCGAGGCTGCAGGGCGAGTTGCTCCACTCCTAAGGTTCACTGCGGGCAGCCCAGCAGAAGTGACTTCTCTCCTGTCGTGGATGCAGTCGAGGATCTCTTCGTACAAGACCGGTGCGCCTCCTTGCCCTGGCATGCTCCTCGCCTTTTTCTTCCTCCCTCTCGCCGGCTCAAATAGTCCGCAGCCCCCTCTACTTGCTGCAGCCTTCATCCTGTCTTCATCCTCCTGCCTCTGACTTTTTATCAGAGCGTCTCTTCCTCCCGCAAGGAAGGAACGACTCGCAGTACGCAGACGGCGTCCTCTTTACCCCCAGGAGGGTCCCAGGGAAGGGGCAGGTAGAGGGCAGAGCCAGTAGCTTCTGTTAACTGAAACTCCAACAGAGTCAGGGGAGCAGCTTGCTGGAGTCTGCCATGGCCGGTCTGAGCGAGGTAGGCGGCAGGCTCAGCTGGACCCGAGCTGAACGACAATGGCAGCTCATCTCTCCCAGAGGAGGACCTGGTGCCAAGCCCACCAGCCTCGAGAGCACGCCCACCAGGCAGCGACTAGGATTGCTTCTGAAGCAGGTGTGAGAGGGGAAGGAGGGGAAGGAGGATGAGAGGCCCATCATCATCCTCGGCGCCTCCCGCCCCTGAGCGTTGGAGGGCAATGGATCGGCTCGTAGTGATTGGGCGCAGGACAAAGGAGGAGGCGACGTGTACGTGGGTACGATACTGGAGGGATGCCTGGCGGCTAAGAGCGGGATCCTGCGGGAGGTGAGAGGTTTCCGCATTATCGTTCTCTGATGAACCTGCTAGGGTGACGTCATCCTTGCCGTCGACGGATGCAACGTGGAGGGGCTGAGCGTCCTTGCTGTAACGGAGCTGATCCGGGGGTTGCCCTTGACAGAGCCCAAGGTGATGGAAGGGAGCAGGAGCAGGGGCAGGGGCAGGAGCAGGGGCAGGGGCAGGGGCAGGAGCAGGGGCAGGAGCAGGGGCAGGAGCAGGGGCAGGAGCAGGGGCAGGCTGAGTTTGAGGAGTATCGTACGGCTGATAACCTTTACAGGCTCGTGCTCGTGCTAGCAAGCGTGGGATGGAGGATGAAGTTTCTTTGACCGTGAGGCGGAAGGTGAGAGGAGGGGAACGACAGGACGAGGGGAGGAAGAAGAGGAGGAACAAGTGGGGGAAGGAGAGAGAGCGGGTTGTTGCGATCATTGGGGAGGGGAGGGGCTGGGGAGGACTAGCAGGAGGAATGGCTGAAAGGCCCAACAGAACGTCACGTTTGAAGCCATGCTCCCACGACCTCCCACTGCGAGGTAACTGAAGGAGGAGCAGAGGGGAAGCTAATGACGTGGCAGGTTGGGGCTGGAGGAAGTCTACCGCAGCGGGGAGAAGAAATATGACGAGACTAAAGTCCCCGAGCACCTCCGAGCTCGCCAGGGCCGCCTGGTGGAGACGGCAAGGTAACTGCTCCTGTGCTCCTTCCTTCTCCTCCTCCTTCCGCAGCCTCTTCACCTCGTTCCTCGCTGCTTTTCTCGTCATGACCTGCGGCTCTCTCTGCTCTTCTGCTCTCATTCGGCTCGCAGAGGCGGGCTGCAGCAATGGGAGATGCCGGCATGGTCGCACAGCGAAGAGGTGATTCCCTCCCTCCTCCCTAACCTCTTCTCCTCCGAGCCCATTCAACTCCCTCCTCCTCCTCCTCCTCCTCCTCCTCCTCCTCCTCCTCCTCATCATCATCATCATCATCATCATCATCATCATCATCATCCTCAGCATCCTCATCCTCATCCTTATTTTCATCCACAACCTCCTCCTCAACCACCACTTCCTCCTCTACCTATTCCTCTGAACCTCTCGATCAGTCGCCCTCTAGCAAGGGAGTCGTCAGTGTCGCTGAACCAACCAAAGCATCCAATTCGCCTCGTCCTGTGCCGAGTCTCCTTGGCAAGGGTCCCTTCCAACAGCCCAGCATCGGTACATCCATCTGCTCACTTCTGGCCTGCCTCCCCCTTCCTCTGCTTGTTCACCGGTTCCCCAGTCCCACTTGCTTCCTGTCGTCTCCTCTCTCGTTGTCTCCTCCTCCCGTGTCCCTGACATGGTCTGCAAGCATTGGTTGACAGCAGCAGCGGCAAACTCGCGGGCCAGCCACTCAGCCCCGTCCAGCGCAGCGCCTTCCCAAGACTTGAGGGCAACATGGAAGAGGGGGAGGAGACGAGCAAGACGCTGTTCTCTCAGTTCGAGGAGGTTGCGAAGAAGCTGTCTAGGTGATGCCGAAGATCGTCTCTTCACCTGACCAGCAGATGCGGCAGGGATGAGGGTCGGGAGTATCAGGAGGAGTCAGCGTCAGAGTCTGATGAGACAACTGAGGAGGAGGAGGAGGAGGAGGAGGAGGAGGAGGAGGAGGTGATGCGATTTGTTCCTGAACGGGGTTTTACGATGGCAGCAGGTCGACGAGGACGAGGACGAGGACGAGGATGAGGAAGAGGACAAGCGAGTAGAAGTGCGGGAGAAGATTCTCTCTGGATGGTTGGTAAACAGCCTCCGGGAAGCTGTCGAGCACGGAGGATGGTTCAGATCGTCTTCGTCACGAGCCGCAGGGTTAAGTCAGAGGAGGATGCTCCTGCGGTTTCTGCGGGAATGGGAGGAGGAAACACGCAGATCGACAAGTTCATCTTCCCTCCCCGTCGAAGTTGACGGCATGGACCAGCTCGATGTGCTGCTGTGGGCTCGAAGGTGAAATGCTCCTCCTCCTCCTCCTCCTTCTCTTCCTCCTCCTTCTCTTCCTCCTCGTTCTCTTCCTCCTCATTCTCTTCCTCCTCATTCTCTTCCTCCTCATTCTCTTCCTCCTCCTCGTTATCCTCCTTCAACCCCTTCTCCTCCTGTGCTGCCTTCTCATCTCATGCAGGTGTGGCCTGGACGATTTCGCTACTTCGCTGGAGAAGCGGAGCATGTCAGGCGACATGCTCCGCTCCCTCTTCCTCCTCTATCGCTCGAACCCTCTCGGTCCTTCCCTCTCCATCTCTCTTCCCCTTACACGTTCGCAGCTTTCATGGACTGGCTGTCCCGACGCCATGGCGTCTCTTCGCTCTCCTCCGCTCTGACCCTCGGTAGTTGTTACTCCCTCCTCCTTCCTGTAACTCTTGGCAGGTCATGAGCTACAGATACTCTTCGACGGTAACGAATGAGTGGGAGGAGGCGAGATGGGACGAAGGCAGCAACACAAGTGGTGGTGGTAGCAGTAGCAGTAGCAGTAGCAGCAGGAGCTTGAACAAGCTTCAGCTCATGGTCTAGCTTAAACTGTTCATTCACGAACAAGGTGTTTGTTTGTAAGGATGCGAGACGCGTCTCTCTGCTGGGGCCTCATATCGACGCATGAAGGCCTCGCGGTTGTTTCCATGCGCGTCATCCTGAGCTCCCGGCCGATCGCTCACGTCTCGCTTGCCCTGCCTCAGCGCTTCCGACTGGCAGGAGGAGGAGCTGGTCCTCCGCTACTCACAGAGCTCTCCTGCAAGTAGGCCTGGAAGCGCGAGGAGCCGGAGGAGTGTTCCTCCAGGCTGTCGAGCCTGCCGGGCTGTTCGTAGAGTTTGGAAACTTGCGGCTTCCTGTGCTTCGGTCCTGCCCTGCGCGAGGACGTAAGCATGTCGTCGCTGCAGTTGAAAGCACCGACTCACTTGATCGAGCAGGACCCCCCAGATCAGCCGCCAGAGCCCGAATCTCCGCAGAGCTGTTTCAACCAAGGCATCACCAAGTGGCGAGTACAAGGCTAGTTGCTGCTCCCTCAGCCCTCTTGTGCGATGGCGACTTCTCCTCTCGCTCTCTTCCCGCTGTTTCTCTCCTGCTACCTTCCCTTCATCTATGCTCATTAAGCCTTGCACCCCACAGCTCTTGCCCAGCTCATGGGCTTGCAGTGCCGCCAAACCTTTCTGCTGCTCTTGACCTGCCTATCCTACAGATAGTGCTAGCATCATTCTTCCCCTCCACCACCACCTGCTCCTGCTCCTGCTCCTGCTCCTGCTCCTGCTCCTGCTCCTCCTGCTCCTCCTCCTGCTCATCATCATCATCATCATCATCATCATCATCATCATCATCATCATCATCATCATCATCATCATCATCATCATCATCATCGTTCCTCTCCTCCACCGCCATCACCTCCTTACCTTCCTAGCGATGTAGTCGCATGCGGCAAAGATCAATCACGCCATTGCCGATACTGAAAGCTCCGTAGGAACACCTTTAATAATATAAAGCCTGCCGGGTAGGGGTGGGGTGTAAATGGGGACACTGGGGGTACATGTCGAGTCAAAGGGGATGGGGGTAGTACATGCCAGTACATGATTTGGATTCGAAAACAAGACAGGGTGGGTACTCATCCACACCCCTTCGTTTCAGATTCTGAAAATATATGGACCAGGGGTATGGGCGTATACATGACTTATAAAATGGGGTCATGAAACAATGGGGTGGGTATCGAGGTGATTTGTGCGGGGGGTCTCAGAATTGGGGGGGTAGGGGTGGGGTGGGGAAATGGGGATCTGGTACATGATCAGGAGCTGACTAGTTGATGACATGGGGTGGGGAGAGCTAGAAAGGAGGGGTGGTCTTAACTGGAGTTTTGCACTGGAAATAGGGGGTGGGGCATGTGCACCGTGAGGAAATTTGAACTGATTCAATTCACAGGATAAAGTGTTTAGTTCGATTGAAATCGTATTTTTTAGCGTCACCGCCCGGCCCGGCCGACCGTCAGGCCCGCCCGCGGCCCTAGCGAGTCAGCGACTCGGCCTCGCAAGACGTCTCAGGTGATCCGACTTGCAAACGCATCCGGTCCAGGATCTTTCGTCAGCTCAAGGCCTCCCTGTCCTTCGGGCGGCTGCCATCATCGCGGGTGCATTCTAAAGGGAATACCGTTGGCGAGTCCCGGGTATTCCCGGGTCCCGGTTCGGCTGCGGGGGCCAAACTTTCGCTTTGGCAAAGCGATGTCCGACTGGCATGACGCGGGGGAATTGTCCGGCAGTGCGCGCAGTTAAGTGAAGGTATCAGTTAAGTTTGGGGGACAGCAGTCGGCAGGATTGGGTTTGGTTCTCGCTGTCTTTTCTCTTCTCTCCGTTTCAAGTTTGGCCAGTGCGACAGTCACAGAGTGTCAGGGTCAAGCCTGCTCGACCGTCGAGTCTCCTGAAGTTGTCGTGGTACTGATCAAGTTTTTAACTTCACTTTGAGTCAGTAAACCCGGCATGATTCTACCCGGCAGGCTCATCGAGTCAGTAGCGTGACGGAACTTCGGAGTGAAAACGTTGAACTAGTAGAGGCCCTGTGACTCAGTCCCCACACTTACGAACGCTTCCTGGAGCCTAGTCTGGACGCGAGTGCGAGCCGCTGACTCGGACGTACGGTGGAGAAAGTGATGGATCGTATGCCAGAAGTGCCAGTCAGATAGCGCCGAGTTAACAAAAACTCTCGGAGGCTGTAAACCAAGAAGACTCCTTAGAATATCCGATCCTGTACCGTACAGTAACATTCTCTCAGTGTAGGCCGGGCAAGTCTGGGCTTGCGGTGCTGTAGCATCAACCATCCGACAGGATCATCAGTGATAGTCCTGCTGTATGAACACTGAAGCTGTCGCAACATGTCAATTCAACTTCCGGCATCCCCTGACGAGCCCTGTAGTCGGAGACGCCTAGAAAACTTCACTAACTCCGCTCAACGGCCGACCGTGACAGACCGGGAGTCTCGGCCATCGGACGGTTGACAGTCCCGACTCTCGACACGAGGACGCCGCTCGACTGAAACACACCTTTCCGAGAGTGAGAACCGTATGCATGATGGAACTTGGGAAGGAACAAAAACAAGAATGAATGACGGTAAGGGTAACTCAGCCTCTTATTTAATAGAAGAAATGGTCGCGAATGTGCGGAAAACCTGTAGCTGAGAAAGAACTTCGGTAGTAAAAGGCTACAAAGCTCCTCCTCAGCCAACATCCTTGTCCATCCTCCAGCCGTACAGTCATCAGGCACATACCTCTCCTCTCCCTCGACTCCACTAACACTGATGGCTCGACATCGCTGACCCTGCGCTCCGAGATGATCCTGACTCTCCTTCCTAGTCATCATACCTGGGCTACGATCCTTCACTCGAGTCCCCTCCTCCAAGCCCCCTCCCCGCCACCCTCAGCCATCTCTCCTCTGCCTCCTCCTCAGATCGCCCCCGCCGCCCTCAGGAAGTGCTTCTGCGCATGCGACCGCACCTGCTGTACCGTCCGCGTCCCCACGTAGGTCGAGATCTGCCGCGCGACCCCGAACCCCAGCCCTACCGACACCCCGCTGCCCCCGCACCCTCCTGGTCCCCCCTGGGGCGGCCCGAAAAGCTCCAGCGCCGTTAGGAAGCGCTCCTCCTCCTCCTCCGTCCAGGGGTGCCGCCTGTACGCTGGTGCCTTGCCCTTTTTCCGCCTGGAGGAGCTCGCAGGTGGGAGTAGCTGAGGGGTCTGAGCTGGGAGGGCTGCTGGAGGGAGGCTGCTGTCGGGGCCCTGCCCATCGGCGACGTCTTCTTGCAGAGACAAGAAGACGCTCGGGTCGACGTCGCACTGGTCCGCCTCGTGGGGATCAGAAGGAGGGAGGGGGAGGAGGAGAGGGCGAGGTAGGGAGCGAGAGACGGGGAGGAGGAGGGAGGTAGGGGAGGTTGTCGAGGATGGGGACGTGGTCGTTGCCCCATCGGAAATGGAGACCAGCTTCATGGAGGTCATTTTGCATCGGGAAACCGGGTTTTTGGTTGAGGAGATGGAATTGAAGGGAGAGGAGATGGAAGTCAAACGGAGAGGAGGGAGAGGACAGGTGAGTACCTGTCGACACGACAGGTCAGGAGGTTGGAGAGGGCTAGGCACGACAGGTCAACCTTCAAGGAGAAGTCGCACTGAACGGCAAGGAGGAGGCAGAGGAATGGTGGGATGAAGGATGACTGTCGCCGTTAGTCAAGGGCTCCTGGCAGCTGACTAAAATTACTTTTGACGGTACAAGGCTCGCTGGATCAGGTACCACTACCCCCCATTGGAAGGCAAGAATGATGGAGTTGGGGTGGGTTGTTGTATCTGCCATCCATTCCAAGACGGCCCTTGACGGAAGATAGCGGGGGGGTGACAGACCCCCACCCCCTCCATTCCATCAAACCACCCCTTACTCCTCCGTACTGTTTGACGTCACGAAAAGATTTGACAGAGCTGTGCTGCAGGGGTGGGTAGTCGTGTAGTAAGGTAGGTGGGTAGTGGTCATGCCAGTATTGTGCATGACAAGTCCGCATATCAAGGAATGATGCTTGAAACACGACGGAATCTTTCTTGCATGGAGACAGTCAGTGATGTCCGATCTTGCTTCACCCTTCGATCACAACACTTGCTCCCTCCCTCCCTTCCTCCCTCCCTCCCTCCCTCCTCCTCCCCGTCTCTCGCTCCCTACCTCGCCCTCTCCTCCTCCCCCTCCCTCGACTCCCCCCCTCGACTCCTACGCCGATGCCCTCTTCCTCCTCCCCCTCCCTCCTTCTCATCCCCACGAGGCGGACAAGTGCGACGTCGACCCGAGCGTCTTCTTGTCTCTGCAAGAAGACGTCGCCGATGGGCAGGGCCCCGACAGCAGCCTCCCTCCAGCAGCCCTCCCAGCTCAGACCCCTCAGCTACTCCCACCTGCGAGCTCCTCCAGGCGGAAAAAGGGCAAGGCACCAGCGTACAGGCGGCACCCCTGGACGGAGGAGGAGGAGGAGCGCTTCCTAACGGCGCTGGAGCTTTTCGGGCCGCCCCAGGGGGGACCAGGAGGGTGCGGGGGCAGCGGGGTGTCGGTAGGGCTGGGGTTCGGGGTCGCGCGGCAGATCTCGACCTACGTGGGGACGCGGACGGTACAGCAGGTGCGGTCGCATGCGCAGAAGCACTTCCTGAGGGCGGCGGGGGCGATCTGAGGAGGAGGCAGAGGAGGAGAGGGAGAGAAGATGGCTGAGGGTGGCGGGGAGGGAGCCAAGGAGGTAGACAGCGCCCAATGCTCCATGGAGTGGTTCTACGGCCCTCTGACGAGATGGATCGTACTCGAGCTGATCGAGAGAGACTCGAGCAGCACGTCACTCGATCTGCATGCGAATGTCCGATGCTTCCAATGCCAATCGGGACCTCTCCTCTCCTCTCCTCTCCTCTCCTCTCCTCTCCTCTCCTCTCCTCTCCTCTCCTCTCCTCTTCTCTCCTCTTCTCTCCTCTCCTCTTCTCTCCTCTTCTCTCCTCTCCTCTCCTCTTTGCAGTCTTGGAGGTGTCTGCAACCCGGGTTTCTACCAGGGCGAGCGGTATTGCGACCAGCTTTCATGTCACGCGGGGAATTACTCCATTGTGCACCAGTGCGTGAAGTACCCGAGGGATGTGTACAAGGACAAGATCACCTCGCTCTTCTCCGATGGTGTCACGTGTCCCGTAGTGCCTCGACCCGCGATTGCAGCTGCAAGGCCGGGATGCTTCTCGACGTTGGTGCCAAGGAGAGCGTCAACTGCCCGAGTGGGAGCCACGTGGACAGCGCGGGTCAGACCTTCCGCATCACATGCCCCATCGGCACCACACTGGGTGACAGGAGCACGAAAGTGACGCCCCCCGGGGAGGATCGTAGAGATGGCGTGTTCCCCTGTGTGGCCTGCCTGGCCGGCACTTACAAGTCCACATACGGCAGCAACCCCTGTACTTCATGCCTCCCGAACTCTTGGGGGTTTGTGGGATCCACCTCGGCAAGCGATCGTGAGGGCATCGCGGGATACACGGCAGTCAAGGCACAGACACCAGCTGTTGTAGCTCACCGAGACCTGCTCCTCTCCCAGCTCGTCCGACGATCGACTCTCTAGACAAGGAGTAGTCATGTGTCAACGAAAATCTCTCTGACTGGCAGCTAACCTACTCCTTTCCGTGATTCTCTCACAGGTAGTGAAGACATACTCTTGGTTTGCTTTATTACATAAGAACAGAAGCAACGTGACTGCTGACGCCCCACGTTCGCCACGAAACAATAACAAGCCTTGCTCGCTTCTACTGCAGCCCTGACGCTCATCTGTCGTAGCCGAGGATGGGCGCGAGCCATCGCTCCGTCTCCTCGACATCCATCTTCTTGCGAGAAGCGTAGTCCTCCACCTGATCCTTGCAGATCTTGCCGACAGCGAAGTACTTGCTCTCGGGATTGGCGAAGTAGAGACCAGAGACGGAAGCAGCGGGCATCATCGCCAGGGACTCCGTGAGAGTGATGTCGGCGAGCTCTGCCGGCCAATAGTCAAACATGCGAGCACAAGAGAGGGGGAGAGATGAGAGGAAAGAGAAAAGGGAGGAGGAGGGCACTATACCATCGGCAGAGAGGAGCTCCCACATAACTTTCTTCTCCGTGTGGTCGGGCTGCGAAGGATAACCAGGAGCCGGGCGGATGCCCTCGTACTTGACTTTGATAAGGTCCTCGGGGGAGAGGCCCTCGCTGGGGCAGTAGCCCCACTCCTTGACGCGCACGTCCAAGTGAAGCTTCTCCGCAAAGGCCTCGGCCAGACGGTCAGCGAGAGCCTGAAGAACAAGTCAGTTAAGCATCGGCACCAACTCAGCAGTCAGCAGGTGAACCAACCTGAGCCATGATCTTGCCGTAGTCATCGTTCTTCTCCTCGTATGAGGCGATCAGCTTCTCCATACCAAGACCCGCGGTGACAGCAAAGAGACCGATGTAGTCCTCCACTCCCGAGCCCTTTGGAGCGATGAAGTCTGACATGGCCAAGTACTCGGACTGCTCCTCACGCAGCTCCTGCTGTCGGAGGGTGCAGAGCACCGCCTTGACCTGTGACCTAGAATCGTCCTCGTACACCTCGATATCATCCCCAACAGCATTGGCGGGGTAGAAGGCGACAACGCCATTGGCCTGGAGCTTTCTACCGTCGACAATCGACTTGAGCATCTTCTGTGCGTCATCGAAAACCCTCTTGGCCTCAGCGCCGACCGCCTCGTCCTCGAAGATCCTGGGGTATCCGCGGTTGGGGTACTTGCCGCGAAGCTGCCAGACAGCGAAGAAGGGGTTCCAGTCGATGTAGGGCAGCAGCTCCTCGAGAGGCACGTTGACGTACTTGCGGCGGCCGAGGAAGCTGGGCTTAACCGGCTTCTCCGATCGGTTCTTCCAGTCCACCTTGAGGGGAAGCTGACGCGACTGCTCGAGAGACTTGAACTTCCTCTCCTCGAGAGAAGCATAGTGCTCTTCCCTCATCTCCTCATACAGCTCGCGGGTGTCAGCGGCGAAGTCATCCTGCAATCATCATTTAGCTTGCGCTTGCTGCTGACGTCAGCACGCACCTTGAGCTGCTCGTCGAGCAGGGACGAGACAACGGAAACAGCACGAGAAGCATCGAGGACGTGGATGACGGGGGCGTTGGGGTAGCAGGGCTCGATCTTGACAGCAGTGTGCATGCGAGAGGTAGTGGCGCCTCCGATGAGAAGGGGGACCTTCATGTTGCGACGCTGCATCTCCTTGGCAACGGTCACCATCTCGTCAAGGGAGGGGGTGATGAGGCCCGAGAGGCCGATGACATCCGCTCCAACCTCCTGCGCCTTGTCAAGGATCTTCTCGCAAGGGCACATGACACCCATGTCAATAACTTCGTAGTTGTTGCAACCGAGAACGACAGCAACAATGTTCTTGCCGATGTCGTGCACGTCTCCCTTGACTGTGGCAATTAGAACACAGCCAGGCTTCTGAACGGCAAGATCGGGGTTCTCGGCCATCTTCCTGGCCTTCTCCTCCTCCATGAAGGGGGTGAGGTACGCGACAGCCTTCTTCATCACACGCGCAGACTTGATCACTTGAGGCAAGAACATCTTGCCGGCCCCGAAGAGGTCTCCGATGATGTTCATACCCTCCATGAGCGGTCCTTCGATGATGTTTAGGGGGGCAGGGTATGCATCCTTGTCCACACGAGCCTCCTCCACATCAGCCTCGATGAATTCGTCAAGCCCCTTGATCAGCGCGTGGATCAGACGACCTTTCACAGGCTGGTTCCTCCATTCCGCCGCGGCCTTCTTGACCTTGTCACCTCCTCCAGCCTTGAGCTCCTCCAAGCGCTGCTTCTCCTTCTCCGCAAGCTCCAACATCTTCTCGGTGGCCTCCGACGATCTGTTGAGGATCGCGTCCTCGCACAGATTGCGAAGCTCGCTCTCGATGTCATCGTAGATAGGAAGGTTTCCTGCGTTGACAATCGCCATGTCCATGCCGTTCTTGATGGCATGGTACAGGAACACACCGTGCATAGCCTCACGGATCGATTCCAATCCACGGAAAGAGAAGGAGAGGTTGGACAAGCCTCCAGAAATCTTAGCTCCTGGGCAGGTCTCCTTGACAGTCTTGGTGGCATTGATGAAGTCAACGCCATAGTTGTTGTGCTCCTCGAGACCAGTGCAGATGGTCAGGATGTTGAGATCGAAAACGATGTCGAAGGGGTTGAACTTCACCTCCTCCACAAGAATCTTGTACGCTCGCTGACAGATACGGACCTTGTCCTCGTATCCTGCAGCCTGACCCTGCTCGTCGAAGGCCATGACAATGACCGCTGCGCCATATCGCTTGATCAACTTTGCTTGCTGCTTGAACTCCTCTTCTCCAACCTTGAGAGAGATCGAGTTCACGATGCACTTGCCTTGCAGGCACTCGAGGCCAGCAATGCAGATGTGAAACTTTGACGAGTCGATCACCATGGGGACCTTGGCGATCTCTGGCTCGGTCGCGATCAAGTTGCAGAACTTCTTCATGCAGTCAACGCCGTCAAGCATACCGTCATCAAAGTTGATGTCCACGAGCTGAGCACCATCTTCAACCTGCTTCTGTGCAACCTCAGCTGCCTTAGCCCAGTCGTTGGCAATGATCAACTTCTTGAAGCGGATGGAACCAGCCACGTTGCAACGCTCTCCGATGTTGGCGAAGTTGAGGAGAGACTTGTCAACAGTGAGATCCTCAAGTCCAGACAAGCGCATCTTGTTGACAGGTTCAGGAATGACCCTACAGGGCTTCACGTCGGCAACAGCGTCAGCGATCGCCTTGATATGGTCGGGAGTCGTTCCACAGCATCCGCCAACGAGGTTCACGAGCCCATCCTTGGCCCATTCGCGGAGCTTCGGCGCCATGTCCGCTGGGTTGAGATCGTATCCTCCCATGGCGTTGGGAAGACCAGCATTGGGGTAGGCGTGCGTGAAGCAGGTGGCGACATTGGAAAGCCTCGTCATGAACGGCCTCATCTGGTCTGGTCCAAGGGCACAGTTGAGCCCGACGCACAAGGGCTGGGCGTGGGAGACGCTGACCCAGAAGGCCTCGGTGGTCTGTCCGGACAAGGTACGACCAGACATGTCGACAATAGTTCCGGAGATGACAATGGGCATTTTGACATTGTACTCCTCGAAGAACACGTCGATGGCGAACAAGGCAGCCTTGGCATTGAGAGTATCGAAGATGGTCTCAACGAAGAGAAGATCGCAACCACCCTCGACGAGAGACTTCACTTGATCCTTGTATGCGGTCACGAGCTCCTGGAACGTGATGTTTCTAAATGCTGCATTCTCAACTTTAGGGGAGATCGAGAGCGTTCTGTTGGTTGGCCCAACAGCTCCAGCTATCATTCATGCAAGTCAGTGATGAACTCAAGCACGTTCTATAGGTTTCACCGCAAAAGCGCCTCCTGCCAGTGTTCTTCTCGACTTCGATGGCAGCCTGTCAAAGGCATCAACAACAACCGACCAACTCTCCGCGTCTCACCATCTTGCAGAGCTTCGCTGACTTGTAGTTGATCTCAGGAACCAAGTGCTCAAGACCATAGTCGGCCTGGCAGTGGGTCAGGAATGCAGAAGCGCAGTGAACAGTCAGTTACCTGGGCAACGGTGGTGCCAGAGAAGGTGTTGGTTTCACAGATGTCAGCACCAGCATCGAAGTATCGCCTATGGATCTCATTGATGACCTAACCCCACGTCAACAAAGCACAGCGAAGAGCAGAGCTGTACGTCTGGTCGCGTCAAGGAGAGAAGGTCGTTGTTGCCCTTGAGCTCCTTGGGGTGATCCTTGAACCTGTCAGGAGGTCAGGCACCATCCAAGTGATTCCAGCATTGATACTTACTTGTCATCGCACCAGTTGTCGTCGCCGGCAAACTTAGCAGACATTCTGAAATCTGCCTCCTGCCAAGAGGGTCAGAGAAGCTTGCTTCAAGTTCTAGAGGCTCATGTGCCTGCAGCTTGTACTGCTGGATCACAGTACCCATCGCACCATCGATCACCATGATCCTCTTCGAGAGTAAAGTCAATCTCAGCGCAAGCCCAAGAGCAACTCCCTACCTCCTTCAAAGTGGCGCACAAATAATCTTCCACATCCTCTTGGATGGGGCACCACCTGTTGAGCGTTGCCATGACTGCCAGAAAACAGACTCAGTGAAACGGAGACGAGGACTGAAATACTTGGAAGTAAACAACAAACACAGTCAAGTGCAGTCATTGCCAGACAATAACAGACTCCTTTGACTCTACCAGCATTCTGACCATCTTAATCTATCATCAACCCTTACATCAGTCGAGTCGAATTCTAGTCGGCTCTCTTTCCTGTTGTCCTCAAGAGCATTGACTTCCACCATTGCCCTCAGCATAGACTAAGCATAGACTAACCACAGACTAAGCATAGACTAATCTCGTGGACTACTAAGGCTGCTCAGCATCTCAGGACTTGTTGGTGTGGGCACCGACCTCTCCTTTACCCAAATCTGTTGACAAAAACTCCACTGGCACCTTCCTGTTCCTCTCCCAGCTCCTCCTGCCCCTGCCCCTGCCCCTTCCCCTGCCCCTTCCCCTGCCCCTGCCCCTGCTCCTCTTGCTCCTACTCCTCCTTGTCGTCTTGCTTCTCCTCATGATCCGCCTCCACTTCCCCGTCCTCCCCTTTCCTCTCATCGTCGTCTAATCTTCATCTTCACCCTGCAAGTGTGTTGACCCACACACAAACACCTCCTCTCCCGGTTTGGAGGGTGTTCAAATGTTTTGAAAACTCCTCTTATGATTTCAATATTTATAGGAAGTTTATTAACCCCAATACATTGTTGTAATCTGGGTCAACGCGAACAGCACGTGTAATACACTCAGAACCAGGTAGGGTGGAAACGACAATAGGGGGTGGTACGCACCGGTATATTTACGCTCATTTTGGCTGAAATGACCTGGTAGGGGTGGTATCCATCCACCCTCCTTGAGGCCTCTAAATATGGGGTGAGGCTTTACACCGAGTCGACAAGACATCTAAAATACTTGTACAAATATAATACACATGTATGAGACTTTGTGCCATACTCTGCTTGAAAAGTGTTTTTAAAACATACCTTAGGTTTCAGCAGTACCAGAACAGGAGATCGGAGAGGTACAATATAAAACAAAAAAATGATTAAAACCATATATTGAATAACAACTTTTTGGAGCGAGCTCTTTGTACCCCAGAAACCTTTACACCGTTGCTACCTCACCCCCCATTTTGCCCTCTAAACCACCCCTCCCCTCCAACTCCGGGCCGACGGACACTCGGAGGGATCCGGAGCCGCTCAGTCACCTTGCGATCTAAACATTAGTTAACTGATATCACTGGGCCCGCCCCACGTGGTCAATTCTGCACTAGTGGACCACATCCCCCACTCACAAGTCAGCCGAAGAGACGCCATGGGGAGGGGTCGCGTGGCGGGGGTCGCGATGGCGGCGCTCGGCGTTGCTACCTGTCTCATCGTACTGGCGATGAAGATGCGGGAAGAGAGCACAGAAGGAACTGACGAGCTCCTGCTCAAGGTCGACCTCGAGTCTCACGACCCTTACTCCGCTCCTGCCAACCTCTACCTCTGGTGGGGGCCCAGCACCAACCATCGTTTCACCGGCAGCGGGGAGCACATCCGGCACCTTCTGCACATGGGGATCATCGAGGGAGGGGAATGGAGGGATCCGATGTTCCTAGGCAACAACGGAGTAGCTACGTTCCGGTCTCAGAGGTTCAGGAAGATCAGTGAAACGTGCTGCAGCACCATCGTCATTCCGCCCATGGAGTGGGACTTCCCGGTGTACAACACGCACAAGATGATCGGCCAGAGGATCCGCAACTTCGTGGCCAACGGTAACATGCTCGTTCTCACCGGCGGCATTCTATCGATTGAGTTCATCAACTCGTACTTTTTCTACACCATCGAGCCGGCGGATGGCAACTACAGCCCTGGACCTTACAGGCGCCTCGAGGACGTTCCGGACTGCATGCGAGTAGCACCAGAGGTTCTTCCTCAGAAGGGAATCTCGGTCACGGCTGTCAAGAAGGATTCCTTGCCCTCGGGCACAGAGGTGTTGTGGGGAACTCCTCGCTCTAGCCCTGTCTTCATGATCAAGTTCTGTGAGGCCCAGAGCCCCGATGAAGGCATGCCTCCTGTCAAGGTCCTCCCGCGAGACTGCCCGCTCGCCGAGAAGGACGGAAGGCCTTGCTCGTGTGGCTACATCATGTACATCGGGTACAACTACCAGGAGCAGTACCCCACCCGCTGGGACAAGGTGCTCCGGGGGGCGGTGGAGATCATGAACCCGGTGTGGCAGGAGCCAGCAGGAGGGCTCAAGGGAAACAAGAAGGTGTTTATCCCTGGTACTCCTCCCTGCCTCCAGAAGGGCGAGAAGAAGTTCGACTGGCCCAAGTCGGGCGCCTACTCCAAGGACATGAAGGACCTTGACGACGTGTCGCTCAAGCACGTCGAGCCGGTGCACCATGAGAGCGGCAACGTCGCAGCTCGGGGAAGGTGAGGAAGGAGAAAGCTCTTGATTGCCGTCTGATTCGCATCCTCGCAGGGACGAGACTGCTAAGGATACGCTGGCCATGCAGAAAGTATCTGGGAAGCTGACGCAGGAGAAGCAGGAGATTAATGAGTTGCAGACTCAAGTGCAGGATTTGAAGCACGTCCATGCGCAGTCGCAGCCGAGGCAGCAAGCTTCTCGCACCCAGACGCTGTCTCAACGGTCCAAGGACAACGAGCCCTCCCTGTCCGAGTTGCGACAGAAAGCATTGAAGATCTTGCGAGAGGTCAGGAAGGCTGCCGAGGTTGCGTTTGGTTGATGGCGTGCAGGTGAAGCAGAAGGAGCGCGCGGATCGACCGGCTGCTGCCCGCAAGGCTGCATCACTGGCTCCTCAGAGTGAGAGCGCTGAGACGCAGACGTTGGTGAGAGTTGTCACCTCGCTGGCTAAGGACGTGAGCAAGGTGAGAAGGATGCAAGGAAGGGAGTCAGACTGACGGGGCGATAGATTAACCACAAGGTGGACAAGCTCGCAGACTCCGAGAAGAAGGCAGTCAAGGTTCTCCCAGCGCAACCATCCGATAAGGAGGAGAAGGAGATCAAGACGATGCAGAAGGAGATGCAGAAGTACAAGAGCAAGGCTCGGAGCCTCGAGCAGGAGCTCAACTACGAGCAGTCTGTGCCCATGCCAGAGTACACTCAGGCTGAGGAGGATCACACGACTCCTCTCTTCGCCAAGGGGTCGCGATCTTGTGGAACTCTCTGCAAGTTGAAGCAGCTCGTGAAGAAGACCCGGCGCAACATCTCCAAGGTGGCCTGACTCCTTTCCTTTCTCCATGTGCTTGCTGATGGCTGGGCAGGAACTGGAAGCCGCCATTCACTGATCGACCGTCTCCCCTTTAGCTCTTCACCCTCATCATTTCTAGTTTGACTTGAAGTATTCTTGTGCTCTCCTTCTGCTTGCCGTTATGACGGTTGGCATCACTCGAAAACCTGGAGATGAGACAAAAATGGAGGGAGAGAAGAAGGAGGGAGGGGAGGGGGACAGAAGAAGTCAAATGAGGAGTGGGGAGCCTCAGGATTTCACATCGATGTCGTTGAAACATTGGAGGTTCATTTCAAGGTCAAAAAGCCTAATGAGACTAAAGCGCGTCGCATCAAAAAACTTCCTCCAACATGTCCTTGGAAGGAAGCAACACATGTACAGGAGTGTTTGAGTAGCTAAAAGACAGCGGCAGTAGGAAGCGATGAGGGGGAGAAGGGAATATTGCCGTTGATGAGCTCCTGCTCCATCCTCTTCTCCTCCATCCGCACAGCAGCAGCAGGAAGAGCGAAGGAATCGTTGTTCCAGGCCTCTCCGTAGAAGGAGAAGCCGGAGAAATGCTCCTGCCCTGATGTGGAGAGCATGGGGGAAAGGAGAGGAGACAGCTCTGCCTTGGCTGATGTGTATCGCTTGGAGTGAGCGGAAACGTCAAGCTCGTCCCCCGACAGCGCGTGAGATCGAAGAGGCGCCGCGACCTCCTTGCGGAGGATGGCGTCGAACTTCACCCCCTTGAAGAAGGGATGCTCCTTCACCTCCTTGGCCCCCGAGCTCGCCCCGAGACGCTTGCTCGGGTCGCGGGAGAGGAGGCCCTTGAGAAACGCCTGTACCTCCTTCTTGTGCCAGGCAGGCAGCACGAGCTTCTTGCGGAGGATGTTGTTGTAGATCACCTTGCGGTTGTCGTGGTAGAACGGATGATCCCCCGTCACCATCTCCCACGCCAGGACCCCCAGCGCCCACCAGTCAACCTCCTGCCCGTACTCGTCCTTCTTCAGCTGCTCGGGCGCCATGTACAACTCCGTGCCTGCCCACGACTGCGAGCGGATGGGGCTGCTGCAGTCTCCGTCCTCGTGCACCTTAGAGCAACCGAAGTCCGTGACGACGAGGTGACCAGCGGCGTCGACGAGGATGTTCTCCGGCTTGAGATCGCGGTGAACGATGCCGTTAGCATGCAGCTCCTCAAGCGCCAGTGTCACCTCAGCCGTGTAGATCTGCATGGACGTGAGCGAGAGAAGGAGTCAGAGGACAAGCAGCAAGAGGAACCTGCGCAGCTTCGGCAGAGAAAGGGGCATTCTTATGCAGGAGATCAAGGAATTGACCGCCGGGAAAGTAGTCCATGATCAGGTAGAGCCTTCCCTTGCACTGAAACTCGTCAGATGCTGTCATCACCCTCCCTCTGCTGCTTTCCTTCCACCAGCCTCACCCCACCATCGCCATCATCTCTCATCTACCTGGAAAGCATAGTGCATGGTGACGATGTAGGGATGACGGAGTCTGCTCATGACACTTCTCTCGGCTTTGGTGCCTCGCAGGTTGTCCTTAAGAACAACCTCCTTCCTCATGCACTTCATCGCGTAGATCTTCCCGCTGTCATGCTTCCGCACTTGATAGACCTTGCCGAACCCACCCTGCCACGACCAAGTGAGGAAAGGGGGAGACGAGGAGAGGGAGCACCAACCTCCCCAATCATGTGCAGGATCTCGAAGTCATCGACCGTGACTTTGTTGATCTTCTTCTCCGAGCTCCCCTCGGGTCTCTCCGTAGCTTCGTTCCTCCCCTTGTCGCTCCCTCCGCTTCTCAGCAGGCAGTCGCTGCTGCTTTTCACTTGTGCGGGGGAGTCATAGCAGGACGCCCAGAGAAGCTCGGGGCGAGATCCGTCATCCTCGCCGAAGAACCTTGCTCGGGGAGAGAGCGACTTTGCTCGCACAGTGGGAGGGTCGGAGAACAGAATCTCGTCGAAGTCCAACTCCGTCAGCTCTATACCCGAGTCAACCCGCATCAGGGCGAGCTGCGGCCTGTCATTGAGCGTTGGCTCCGGAAGGCACTTCCTGAACGAGCTTGGGCGGGACCTGGGCAGGGCGCAGGGAATGTCGACGGGAGAGGAGACAGCCTGCTGCTTCCTCGTCTCTCGACACGAAAGCTCGGCTTCATCTTCGTCCCAGACATCGTCCTCAACGAGTTCTTCGTGCTCCTTGTTCGAGGCACGGGCTTCTTCCGCCTTGGGCAGGTCAGTGACGAAAGCTAGCTCGCCCTGAGGAACGAAACATGCTGAGGCGGGGTTGAGAGGCATGCCGAGGAGGAGGAGGAAGGACAATCAGCAACAAACGATTGTCCTCCCGCTAATGATCTCTTGCCAGCTGGCGGTGGCAGAGACAACCCTTGGAGAAAACGACGGCGAGAAAGTTGACGCGATGAGTGCGCACTACAGCTGTCTACAACTGGCAAGCTAAAAAGGTGAGGTAGTTCGAAGTGAAGATTGGATGATGATGAGGAGGTGGAAGATGAAGATGAAGAAATCGTGACGAAACTTGATGAAACTTGATCCAGGGAGGCAATACAACGAGCTGAAAAACGAACCATCAGCACGACAGGACCAAGAAAGTCAAAAACGACGATAAAGCATAAAACCAGAGTTGATTCTTCATTTCTAAACTGCCTATCTTCGTTTTGGGGAGGAGATCATTTCGTGTAGACAAGAGCACAGAGAGCAAAGGAGCAAACAAGAGCAGAGAGACGTTCGGGATCTACAGGTCAAAGGAAGTAAAAGAAGATTGAGGCGAGGACTCTAGCATTCCAGCAGAGGACATGGGACGCTCGAATGGGTCCGGGGGAAGGGAAGCATGGCGGCAAAGGGACGTGTGGCCCTTATTGGTAGGTAGGGTCCTTTACATACCGGGTACTACCTCATAATTGTCAGGTCAATAGTGGGGTGGGGTACAATCAGTCGGGGATAGGATAGATAGACCCGGGGGATAAATAAAATTGTTTTTGAGAAAAAAGGCGTGTGAGGCCAAAGGCTACTTGGGGGGTGGGTAGCCGGTTGTGACTAGGGGTGATGAATTAGTGAGGAGGGGTAGAGAAATGGAAGGGGGGTACTGTCTTGACCAAATGCGTATTTGCAGGGGTACTTAGACTATTTATCACCGGTGTTAACGATGATGAACTAGGGTGGTAGGGTGAAACAAGGGGTTGTAACTTCAATGAAGATGGAAAAGGGTAGGGTAGTAGGATACAATCGGGGTAGTAGGAGAGTGGGAAAATTGAACTAAAATAGAAGCAAAATTTGTTTTGTTGGGTGATCTTTGGGGTGGGTACTCGAAACAAATAGGGGTGCTTGTTGAACGGCTGGCTCCGGAAGTACCAAAGCTGTGAGGATGTGCATTTTTTACTAAGGATGTAATTGAAAATATTATAGACAGTCATAGATGAAATGGTACGGAACACAGCGTCAAGTGTTCTGCAATTGGGGAGATTTTTGGGGGTGGGGTGGCATCACTTGGTGGGGTAGGGAAGTTTGAGGTACGGGTTTGATTAGGTCTTCAAGCAGGAACCGGGGGTCGCAGTGAATTTCAGATACCACAGACTAATTTCACATATAACACATATTTTGAAATATTAGAACAAATATTGATGAAGCGATTGAAATCAACCAATAAGACCATTTGAACTATCCTGAAGGTGTCTCATCGCCCTCCTGCCTTCTACCACCCCCAACGACAAAACAAAAAGAGATTCCACTACCCCACCTACTCAAAATGCTGAAATCCTCGGTCAAATGCTACCCATTCTATGTACCCCCACCCTTCCCCTTGCTCTCCCCACGTGCATGAGCGTACATTGTTGAAGGTCTTTCCGAGGATTTCTGCAATGGTAGGGGTCCAATTACCATGAATTCAACGGGTGGGTATGTGGTCTTAAAGGGGTTCTTTTAAAACTCTTCAAACGGTGGTAGGGGTGGATTGCCCCACGAGTCCCCTCATGACCTTTCACTCATCAGTGTACTCGGAAACGGAAAAGTCGGCCGCCGGGTTACCCGTCGTTTCTTTACTCAAAGTTAAGTTAAAAATCAGTGCGAGGACAATCATCATGGCAGGAGAGTCGAGGAGGCTTGACCCTGACAACTGTCGCACTGGCCAAACGGCGAGAAGAGAAAAGAGAGCGAGAACCAAACCCAATCCTGCCGACTGCTGTCCCCCAAACTTAACCTATGCGGCCGCAATGGGCCGCGCCGCCCGGATGCCGACACTCCACGGCCGCCTGCCCGGCGCCGGGCCTGTCCGGTCCGAGTCGCGGGGTAGGGTACTTCAATGCGGCACGGTACGGTACGGACTGGGACTCGGACCCCCAGTCACCCCGCCCCCCGGCGGTAGGGGGCCTGGAGGCCCTCGCGGCCGGCGACGGTCCGCCCGGCCCGGCCAGGCGCAGCGCCGGGCCCGGCGAGGCTGAGGCGCGGCGGCCGTGACTCTGTGATCCGTTGCCGGAAGCCGGTCAGTACGGTCCTCACTGAATCATGATGCCAGGCACTGCAGGCCGGGCTCGGAGCCTCGGACTCCGCCGCGCCGTGACCGGCGTGCGGCCGACGGTCGGCTCTGCACGCCGGGCCGCACCGCCCCGGGGCCCGGGTGCGGCCGAGTTAGCCGACTCGACTCCGAGTCGGCCGCACCGTGCGGCAGTGCAGGCGTGACCCGGCCGGTGCCCGGCGCGGCCGGCGGCGTGCCATCGGAACCCGGCGCCGTACGGTACTGGCGGTTCAACGGCCGTTGGCAAGCCTCGAGGCTCAGACGTGACGGCCGCACTGACAGTGGCACGGACCGTACGGCGGTACGGGGCCTTACGGTCGATTCAACCGGCGGACCGAGACCGTCGGACTTGTCACAGGCGAATCGGGCGGCCCCCGGCTTGTAGTACGGTCACATGACAGTGATGCTAGTACCGTGATCGGACTGTACACGCCGGCGCCCAGTTACTGTAACCGTCACGTAGACAAGCAGCCCATTAGAGATCTCAGCTTTCGCAACAATTCAATTAAAAGACTAGAACAAGCAACCGCGCAATCGGAGCCTTGAAGCGCTCAATTACACGTCAGTACCCGCCACAGTTCAAAACTGGCTGAAGCTGCGGCTATGGTGTAAAGCTATGTCAATCTCAGAATGACAATCCTTGCATATTGGAACTACCATTCCTCATCACTATCATCTCCAGAATACTTCTTGGAGTACTTAGAACCACTGTACAATGCTCCTCCTCTTATCTTGGACTTTTGTTTCACTTCATCCTCTTCGTCGTCAGAGCTATCATCATTTTTGTATTGAATCATTGCTTTGCTTGCAAGGCGTTTTTCCAGCTTAATTTGTTCAAAGTCATCCACACCCCCAAGCTCTTCAAACCCAACGACTCGATCGATAGCGATGCCCCCCTTGAACATGACGATGCATGGCAGCACTTTGATCTTGAGCTTCTGTACAAAGAATGGAGCATCTGGAGCGCTGACTCGGATGAACTTTGCCTCAACGTATTTCCGCGCAATCGCACCAAGGTGCTTGTCAACAATCTTGCATCGAATGAAGTCATCACAAAAGAAATGACAAACCACGTTCTCACTGCCGGTTACTTCCTTGAGGAATTCAGGTTCGGCAACGAGACGGTATTGCCCGTGCCCGAGGCGTTTTTGTTCATCGCGACGTTGAGCTTCCAGCTTTAGCTCTTGGAGGCGTTGCATGTGCAAACTATCGAGGTCATCGTCATCAAGCAGATCAACTTCTTGCTCGTTGAAAGCCTTCTCTTTGGCTTTCGCCTTCTGCTCGTCGGCAGTGAGTTCTGCTTTGTAGTCTCTCACAGCAGCATGGAGGGCGGATTCAAGAGCTCCGAGCTGAGCTTCTTGCTTCAATTCTCCAACAGTCGGCCTGAATTGCATGATCAGAAGCAAACAATCAAAAGTATTTGACTTGAATGCAAAAAAACAGCAATGTTGCTTACATTGTAAATGAAGGTCAATGGATTGAGATCGGTTTAAACGTTGAGACGAAGGAAAAGGACTAGGATCAAGTAAGAGACAAGCAGTGAGGGTATGGAAGGAGGGAAAATTGAAGGAAGGAAGGGAACACAGGCGGTGGATGGAGCGAAGAGCAGGAAGTCTAGATTCCAAGCTCCGTCAGAGCGGGAGGAGCGCGAGGGAAGGGAAAGGCTCCTGATAGTATACGTGACCTGATGGGGTACCTCCAGGGACAGAGGGGTGGTACGAACAAGGCAGCTCTCTGATGATGAGCATTATTTACTATTGACAGATATAATAAATCTTCAAACTCTGACCCTTTCTCCGAAGGGTTTCAAACGGATGCAATTTCTCCCAGGGGATGGGTCAGGGAATGGATAAGGGTGGGGTGGGTGGTTCCCGCCAACCGAAATTTGAACACGCCGTTTCATAGCCGTTACATGATGTCACTAACCGGGCCCTGGCAAGTTCGGCCGGGCCCGGTCAGTGACCCGTATTCCTCCATTTCTTTACTCAATATTTGGTCAAATTTGACCGTTTACCCCTACCACCCACCCTTCGAATACTACCCCCTTTCGTACCCGCAGCTTTCACTACCCCTTCGTTGCCCCTCATGTACCCCTACCTCAGTCTTCAGTTCGTACCCCAAATCCACCCCACCCCCATCACTGAAATGATTTATGACCCCCTTACCCTGCGACCTAGTTCCCCCCTGCCTTCACCTCTTCCGCCCCGCAACACTTTTATCATCCTGCCCCGTCCTTCCATCCCTTCCCCTGTCCTCTCTCCCTCTCTCCCTCCTCCTCCCTCCCCCTTCCTCTCCCTTCCTTCTTCCCTCTCCCTCTATCTCTCTGCCCCTACACCCTCCTTCTTTCTCTCTCTGCCCCTACACCCTCCCTCTTTCGATCTGCCCCTCTTCCTCCCTTGCTCCCTCTCATGTTTCTCGTTTACATTTCCCTCCTGTTTCTACTTGCTTCCACTAATCTCCTGTGTGTTCCATCTCCGTTCAATTCCCTAATATTCCGCTGCCTCTACATTACCCATTTCCTTACTCCTTCCGACTTATATCTGTGACCTGTTCCTCTTCTTGTCAGCCAGCTCAAGGGCCTCGGCAGGGGTTGCACGCCTTTCGTTCTCTCGTTCCTGTTCTGCCTAAACTCACCGATGTTAGTGTTTGCCATCAAGATGATCGATGTAGCGATAAACTAATGTGTGATAGAAAGTGCGGAGAGTGCAGACGCTTAATGTTATCTGTATCTTTCTTTCGAATTACTTCATTTGTGTTGGAATGGAGCTTCTACACTCCTAGAATTTGTTTCCTTATGGCTTACCTTGCTGCAGGTCTGAATTCCTTCAGTAGCTCAATAGCTGTAGAGCGTCAGCGACCATCCATCTGTGAGTTCACGCTATGAAACTCAGGGCAACCAGCACGCGCGCACTCAATCGCGTCTTGATGTTTAAAATGCTCATGGAGTTGTTTCTCCTCGCTCACGGATTTCAAGTCTGCTCGGCCCTCGTGGCTCCCAGGAAGCTGCTGGTCAGACGAGGAGGCGCCTCGTCCTTGCATGTTATGTTGCTAACACCAGGACATCGCCCGCCCGTGCAGAAATTCACGACACTTCGAGGAGGCTTCGATGACTCTGACGTGGTGCGTGCCCTCTCAAACGAACGGAGTAGCTCGAGCATTGCGGCAACCAACCAATCTCAAGACGACGACTTGACGGATTCGCCCAGCAAACCTTCATCGCTGGCCTTGGGATTTCTGCTCGTCTCGACCATCGCTTGCTTCGTTGCGATTCGAATTGTTTCCAAGGGATCTCTGATCCCCTTCCTCACTCAACGAGAGGAGCTGCTGGTGGTGGGAATCCTGACGTTCTTCACTGGTTACAGGCTGTCGGTGTGGCTCGCCGACTACACCATCTATGAGATGATGTCTCTCGGCTCTGACACCACAGTTGCTCTGTTCCTGCAGCGAGCAGTCAAGTACTTCTCACTTGCTATCGCCGTCTCCTGTTTGTTGGGCTCGTTTGGGATTAACATCAGCGGTCTGACTGCAGCTCTCACCAGCTTCAGCGTTGCCATCGGCTTCGCCTCTCAGAAGGTTCTCTCCAATCTCGCAGCAGGCATCATGCTCATGATCTTCCGGCCCTACTCGGTCGGCGACATCGTGATCGTAGCGGGCAAGACGGGAATCATAGCCAAGACGCTTCTCTTCGAGACGCGGCTCGATACCTTCAGCAACGTTCGCATCAGCGTCCCCAACTCGGAGATCTTCGGGGCGGTGATCGAGAACGCCTCCCGCAACAAGATGCGCAGGATCGAGATTGAGATCCAGACGGCAGCGTCGGCCGACGTGGACAAGGCGAGGAAGTGCCTGGAGCAGGTGGTGGCCGACTACGAGTACCTAGCGCGCGACTATCTCAAGCAAGAGAGCCAGAAGAAATTCACCAACAAGCGACTTTACAAGATGTCCAACGGCTCCATCGTGCCGCAGCAGGTGCTGGGCAAGATCGCTCCTGTGTCACAGAATGCAACCAAGGCAGGGCAAGAGCGATCCTTCATCACGACCTTCGACAGCAGCAGCATGATCTCGAACATGGTCTTGAAGCCGTCTCGAACCATCCTCGAGCGGATTGACAACATCAAGGAAAGCAGGATATCGCTCACAGACTACTTGTCGCTGGCCAACAAGGAGCATGACGAGGGCAAAACGAAGCTGGGCATGAAAGTGAGTCTCCCACAGGTTGTCATGAAGGACTTGCGGTCAAGTGGGTCTGTGTGGGAGTGTCGAGTGTTCGTGCCGACGGCTCAGTTCGACTACTTCAGGTGCAAGCTCGTCGAAGATATCGCCCGCTCACTCGTCAAGTATGACATCAAGACGGTCGCGCGAGTGATGGAGGACAACGCAGGGGTCTGTCTTCCCACGAGCCCGTCATAGCTCGATGGGTCCGAGGCTCCCGTAGTGCTTCATGTCTTCCAGGTCCATTCTTTAAGGTCTTACAGCAAGGCGACGCCCAGGGCTCCTCTCGGCACTTTGAGCTTCGGCATGTCAGCCCAACTGCAAGTAAATGTGTCACATACAACGAGACACGCGCGGGAAGGCCCTCCTCACCCTTCCTTATCGTCGTAAACCTCCGCTGTATCCAACATCTTCTCCCCGTCGCATCCGCCCACCACGAAGATCCTCCCCTCGTAGGCAACCTTGCCGCTCGTCAGATGGAGGAAGGGACAGGAGGCAGAGGATTTACCGCTCCGAATGCTGATCGCTTCGACTGCATGCCGTCGCCGAGGCATCGCTCCCACTTCTCAGTCTTGAGGTCAAGAACCTCCATGGAGTTGAGACAACCTTCCTCGCCCAGCCCTCCCATGACGTATATCTTGCCCTTGATCTCCACTGCCGCACATGAACTTCCACCCACGGTCATTGTCAACCCACAGGATCAGCAGGAGCGAGAGCGCAAGCGCATGGGAGCAGGACTAGAATGAATGCTGTAGTGGTGATAGGAGTGATGATGTTGGAGGGGAAGGAGGATGAAAACAGGAGGAGAAGGGGAGAGGGCAGGGGCAGCAAGAGATGTCGAGAGGAAAGAAGCTTCACCTCCTTGCAGTGAGCATGTCAGGCCCCATCCTCCACTTCCTCGTCTTCACGTCGAAGATATCCACAGCCTTTGAGACGTATTCGCCGTTTGACCCACCAATCGCGTACAGACTTAGTCCCTCTGCTGTAGAGGCTGCCAGTGCGATGCCAAACCGGGGCCTCGGCAGATCAGCCTCTGTCGTCCAGTGCGAGTCCTGCGGATCGAAGCTCTCCAAGGAAGACACAACCCGCTCGCCGTTGTAGCCCCCACACACCCACAACCTGCCCGCCAACGCGGCAGCTGAGAAGGAGACTCTGCGCTCAAACATGGGGGGGGCGAAGGTCCAGCAGGAGTTGGAGTCCTGCTTTGGGTCGAAGACCTCCATGATATCGAGAGTCCTGCAAACGAGAGACGTGAGAAGCCGGGAGGAGACAGCAGAGAGACAGGAAGAGAGCAAGGGAGAAAGAGGGGGGAATTCAAGGGAGGTTTTCCATCAGGCTCCGAGACACTCACGGCCAATTCACGTCGTGAGGTCCGACAGTCTCGTTCTTGTCTGTCATCTGTGACAACCTCCGTTGCACTGCGAAGTATCTTGAGTCCTGTCCTCCCACCAAGTAGATCTTTCCCTTGAGCGCAACTGCACATAAAGATGCCTTGGCGACTTTCATGTACGGCTTTCGCTTCCAGTACCAGCGATCTTTCTGGCTCAGATTGATGCTCTCAACCGTGTCCGTGTACAGGCTCTTCATGGAGAATCCTCCGAACACATACAACTTTCCCTCCGTCGTCGATCCACCTCGCAGTCTGTTCAAGACCACCTGGCGATCCCTTGCTGGCCATTCAAGATGGTGCTCGAGCGATACAGGCAGGCAGGCGAGCAGAGCAAACAAGAACATGGCGGGACCCACCATCATGTTCGAGCTCCCGTAAGTAGACGTCAAGCAAGAAATTCCTTGCTGACGACTTGGGATTATCCGTATGTGAAGAGCAGGTGATAGCAGCAGGCAAGAAGATCTGGAGCGATGTGATCGAGATCTTCTATGCTGATCCTCTTTCTCCTCCGCCTTTCTCCTCTCCTTCCCTCCTTCCCTCCCTGTCCTCCCCCATACTCTCCGTGCCACCGGTCTTATTCCCGCTGTAATTCGGACGGGTACTTTTCCCTACATTTAGAGAGTGGGGTGGTCTGTCCCCTCGTATCCTCACGCCATGTCGCGATTCATGAGCTTGTGGAGCTTCATGCCCGGCCAGGTGCGCGCGAGGATGGAGGCATGCGAAATGAAGGGAGAAGATGAGGGGAGAGAGTCTGAAGTGATGTAAGAGTAGAGCATGAAGACATGTGCTTCCTATGCTACATAAAACAAGCATGCGAAACAAACATTTTAGAAAGAGTTAGTGCGAGCTCGAGGTAGAGGGGCGCGAAAGGTACATGTGGGATAGTTTCTTGACAGAAAGCATTCTTCTTTTATCAGATGTGTGTACATGGACCTCCTTTTATCAGATGTGTGTACGTGAACCTCTTGACTCGCGCATGAGACATAAATCGAACAAACAAATGCATGCAAACACATCGACACTCAAAGAGGTACAAGTGCACAGACAAATGATCATACATGTAAACCTCTTTTGTTTCTGAATCCACTGCTTTGTTTATCTGAGACTGTTCTACTTTCACTTGATCTGGAAAGCATGATCTTGGGCCTTCATTTGATATACCACTAGCTTCGCACATTCTCCAACTTATTTTCGTGTAGAACAAACTTCGCCTTCACATTATGTACCTCTCCTCTGTTCATGTTTTAGTCTCCTGCCGTGTCCGATGGCTTCACATATCTTCAGCCTCCCGCTCAGCCTACAGGCCTCGACTGTCTCTGACCTCCTGCTGTAGATGTTGAATCAGGCGTCCGATGATAGCTTCCCTCCTGCCTACTTCTACACTCAGCCTGGCGCCACCGGACCAGGGACTTACGACAACATGGCACCGCAGAGCTGGCAGGTTTGAGGAGGAGCGAGAGGAGACTCTTCGTGCGTGACGAGGGGCAGGACGGGTCAGCTGTCACTGGCGATCTCTACGACCCCCATCAGCAGACCTTCGATCAGGTGCCTCCTCGCTCTCCCAGCTCAGCCCCTGCTGACCCTCCTCGCAGCCCGGCAATGCCATTCACAACCGTGTCATGCTCTGGCAAGCTTAAGTCCATCTACCTAACGGAACGTTTGACATCTCAACGTTTGACATCGATGTCAGAGTCAATAAACTTGTGTAGGCCAATCACGAAACAGGCTCGGATGATGCGGCCCGCCGTGAATCCGATCAGCTGCCACTGTGATCGTCACCATCCTCCGAGGCCTCTCAGTCGAACCACGGCCGACTTCCGAAGTTTCAGATGATCCGATGCGGCGGGCCGCCGCCCCGGCCCGGTTATTGAAGTCACGGTCATCAGTGACAAGGCCGCGGCGGTCACCGTGCAGTGCCCGGCCATGTCGGATCGCCGGGACCGTCCGAGCGGACCGTCGGATGCACCCGACGGTGGCGGGGGGCGGGGCGGCGGGAGTGCCGGCGCGGCCCGGCCGGGCCGCGCACTGGCCCATCCGATCAGTTGTCGGGCCGGCCCGCCGGAGTCACGGTGTAGTTAACCGCCGCGCCGAAGCCAGCCTGCTTCTTGTAACCGTCCTTCCATGGTGTAATAACGGGGATAACGGCTACGTGACGTGGGAGGCCATAGTAGGTCCTAGGACCTGCAGATATCCTATACAACAGCCCTATGACACAGACCCCACCCTGCATCATTCTAACACATTGCAGACCACCGGTACTTCATCCCTTCACCTTCCTTGGGCCTTCTCCGCCCCCAGTCGCCCCCCTTCCCCAGCTCGCCGACCCCTCGCACGGGAAGCTCCTGCTGCAGCCTGAGCGCCGCCAGGGTCACAGTGACCCTCCTCCTCCTCCTCCTCCTCCTCCCCTGTGACATTGTGGACGTTTCTATGGCTTTCGGTGCGTGAAACGGGATTCTGGATTGTATCGTTGCCAGGTTGTTCAATTGTAAGACCGCCAGTCAAGCATTCTGCACCATCAAGAGGTATCATCCGTGACTGTAGCTATCTATCCAACAGCCTCACACGATGCTTCCACGTGCTCTCAATCAGCATCGCACACAAGCTTTATTGTTTGCTCTCATCCTGTGCATCATCAACACGAACGCGTCATCTGAGAAGACAGATTCGCTTTCTGCGGGGGCAGCTGCCCATGAGAGGTCTCTGGGAGACAAGGCATTGATGGAAGGGAAACTAGCCGCGGCCCTGAAGCATTTCGACAGCGCCGTGAAGATGAACCCCACGGACCATATGAACTGGTACAAGAGGGCGACGGCGCATATCATCGAGAAGAAGTTTGAGGCTGCGCTGCGGGATCTTGCCAAGGTTCTCGAGATTAAACCAGATTACTTCCAGGCTCTGGACAAGCGAGCAAAGATCCATACCTCTCAAGGAAGGTTCCAGGAGGCCCGCGAGGATGTGCAAGCGCTTCTCAAGAGCAAGGACTCGGCGAGCCTCAGGGAAACCTTAAGCAACCTTCACCTCGCTGAACAAGCGTATGATGCAGCAAAGACGCTGTTGGAGCAAAAGAACTATCAAGCGGCGCGTGATCATCTGAACAAAGCCATAGATGTTGCTTCCGATTGTGTCCAGCTCCTGCTGATGAGAGCCGAATGCCATTTGAAGTTGGGAGACAGAGAAAACGCTCTTGCAGACACTGGTAAAGCACTCAAGGTAGACAGCAAACATATGGCAGCATTGGCCATGCGAGGCCAAGCTTACTATGAGATGGACGAGCTTGACATGGCTCAAAGACATTTTAGAGAAGGACTGCGCCTTGACCCGGAGCATAAAGTGTGCAAGCAAGCATACCGAAAGATTAAGCAAATGGAAAATGTTGCAAAAGCAGCGCAGAAAGAAATGGACTCTAAGCAGTACAATGAAGCACTGGAGAGCTATGAAAAGGGAGCGAAGATCGATCCGAATCATGTGTTGTTCACTGGCAAGATGAACCTCGGAAGATGCCAGGTGCTTGGTGCAGTGCTGTAAAGCCAGGTCTTGCTGACTTGTTTGCAAGGTTCTCATCAAGCTGAAGAAGTACAGAGAGGCGATTGAAGCTTGCTCTGAAGTCATGAATATCCCTGAGCAGATTCATGATAGGTTTGCCTTAACTGCTAGCAATATCGCGTTTCTCACCCTACTTCAGGCAACAGAGGATGCAAACCCTCTTGTCTCGTGCGGAGGCTCTGCAGGGGCTCGAGGATTGGGAGGAGGTTCGCTCGCAGCGTCATGCCGATTTCTTTTGACCAGTTGCGCTAGGCTGTGCGAGACTGCGAGAGAGCTTTGAACCTTCAGAAAGACAGTCACGAAGCAAAAGAGAAGCTTGAACGAGCAAAGCAGCTGCTCAAGAAAAGCAAGATGAAGGATTACTATAAGGTTCCCTCGATTGTCCGGGGTGATGATTCCAGGGCGAATGATGTGCTTCATCAAGGTTCTGGATGTTCCTAAGGATGCCGACGATCGAGCAATCAAGAAAGCCTACAAGAAGAAAGCGCTGACGATGCATCCAGACAAGGTGAGGAGTCCTGGAACTTCTCTCCCTTCCTTCATGATATCGCCTGCAAGGTCTGCGGTGGTGGCCAGTGCAAGACAAAAGAAGAATCCGACCTTGCGAACCGAAAGTTTCACGAGATTGCCGAGGCTCACGAGGTGTTGGATCAAGTCTGTTGATGAGCCCACCTCACTCGTGTTAGGTCCTCACTGACCCCGAGAAACGCGCCAAGTACGACAGAGGAGAGGATCCGATTAATGAACAGCCGCAGGTTCAAGGCAGAGCTATCTCCCGTGGTTGCTGACCTTGCTCTCAGGGTAATCCTGGCCAAGGTTTTCCCTTCGGATTTGGAGGAGGCGGTGGCGGCAGTCACCATTTCACTTTTCACTTCGGCTGAGTCAGTCGGCAGCAGCAGTGAACGTTTCTTCGGCTCTCATACAGTAAAGACACTACCGGGTCGTTCTCACGTCAAACTCTCTTGCTGGTTCCTTGCGATTGCAGTAATCGAGGCGAAGCCACCTCGAAGTCACCTCGTTGTTGTGCTATGAACAAGTTGCACTCCTGCTCATGTACCCGCTCCGGCACTCGTTTCCCTTCCACCCGTTTCTCTTGACCATCGGACTGTGATCTCTTATCGAGCTCAGGCTTCTGGCCCTGGCCCGGCCCTGCCCTACTATCCTCCTCTTCTGCTGCCATTGCTTATTCTACTCCTCCTTCTCTCGTGCTCATGTTACACTTTCATCTCGCCCTCCCGCCATGTTGGGGAGAGGGCGGCGGGCTGGCGGCGGGTAATGCGGCGGGTATATGTACACTGAGATCGGGGATGAGGGGCATGGGGAGGTCGGATTCGTATAGTGGTCAGTACTCCACGTTGTGGCCGTGGCAACCTGAGTTCGAATCTCAGATCCGACACGCGCGTGGACCCCTCACACCTTTTTGCTGCCAATATTGTCAACCCCACCCCTCCCTACCTTTCCCTACCCCACCCCACCTCACTACGTCGCTGCCAGCTCTAGGAGAATGGACCCCTACCAAGCCCCCTTTTTATGTCCGGGCGTCTGATTCGAATCGATTCAGACCCTGATGTTTTGCTTGGCATCCCCATCTTGTAGGGTGGCCGAACAGAATGGGGGGACAGGAAGAACAAGAGGCAGCAACGAAGGGCGAGGAAGGAGAGGAGATGGTTGCCAGATGCAAGAAGCTCTTCCAAGAAGACTGCTTGTTCCAGGCAGTCCGACTAGAGCGAGACATCGCTGACAAGTTCCCCAACGCGCACTCGAAGCATGAGGCGTTCATGCAGCAGGTGAGGGATGCTTCAGAAGAGGCAGAAGGTTTTTGCAAGGATTTACAAGGTGATGATGGTTGGAACCACGTCTACGGCTCCAAAGAAGATGACATACGGGTTTGGTACAAGCCTGAAGCAGACTCCCCAATCCATGCGCTTCGTGTTGCAGCTACGATTGATGCCCCCCTGGAATATCTCCTCGTCATGGTGAACGAGATCACTCTGTTCCCCAGTTGGCTCCCGTTCATCAGTGACAGTGAGCTCTTGTCAAAACCGTCCAAGTGTGAGCGAGTCTGTTGGTGGAAAATCAAGTCCCCCCTTCCAGCAATTTTTTCTCACCGTGATTCCTGCGTGTACGGACGGGCGATAGATGGCCTCGATGAAGATGGGTGTGTGCTGCTTCTGATTCGCAGTCTCGAAGAAATGGAGGGAGTTACATTCCCAGAGGTGAAGCCGAAAACAGTTCGCATCGACATCAAGTATGCAGCGGTGAAATTGATTCCAATCAACAACAACAAGACAAAGGTAGTTGCAGCTGGCAGTGTCGACCCTAAGATCCACAAGCTCCCGTCATGGCTGATTAACTGGGTAGCCACCAAGGTTTGCTACATGGGTGTCATTCTGTGGGGAAGGAATGCACGCCGAGTGGCTGAAGGAAAGAAAGATTGTCCGCATAGACAACGTATGCGGGAAGATGCCGAATTCTATGCTTGGATGTCAGCGCGAGTTCACTCTTTCAACGAAAGAAATGGTCATTGATATGTCAATCATCTTAGAATGAACAATTAGTGGAAGATGCATGTAGCGCAAGGTCATCCTGGCCTTGCATTCTTGTTTCGGAGAGGGTCGATCATGGTGTGATGGCTTGCTGCGTCGAAGAAGATCTGGAGAATCTGAGCCGAGTCAGGCGGGAGATGCGACAAGCTTGGCTGTGCACTCAGTTGGAATCATGCAAGTAATTAGAGAATTAGTACAAATCAATCAAAATTCTGATTGTGAACCCTTGAACATCTCACAAGTCCAACAAACAGCTCGAATACATCATCGTCGGTTGCTTATCGACAATTCCTTTATTATACGTGCTAATTACTTGTCAGCGTTGGCTTGCTCGACAATGAAGGGGCGATCGGCGGCATACATCTGGCTGAGAGTAGCTTGTCGAGAAATCACGACGAGATCTTGTCTGGCTTTCTCAAGGAGTTGTTGAACCTTGCTGGGATCTGACTCATTCTTGTGACACTTGAAATCTTCCTTGGTTCTCCTCAAAAAATATTCCCTGAAATTATAATTGCAGAATTTCTTGCTGTTGCGCAACAAATTCCTGTACAAATGCAACACATCCGACTTTGACATCTAGGAGAAAAAACATCAATTGGAGGAGAAAGATGAATTACGCTTGGAAAATGAAAACAAAATAGTAATCTACAGTGTTTCGAAATGTGAGAGTGTCGGATGAAAAGATGAGCTCAGCACTTTGCAAGGCGCAAACATTTCATACGTGGTTGTAGAAAATGAAGAGGAGGAGGAGGAAACTAAAAACAATAAATGCATCAATATGCATGACAACGGAACCCTTGAAACTTCGGCATAAAAGACCGATTACAGAAATTCTCCTCTCGCTCCAATGAGGAACGTGAGTATGGTCGAGTACATCACTAAGGTCGGAAAGTATCAAAAGATTCCTGAAAAGTACTTCTTTGAAAAACAGCTAGATATGTTGGATGGTGTCTTCTGATTATGATTCTAATCCCGCCTGTCGCTCATCAGCACGGCTACTTGTACTCATCGGATCTGATTCCTTGCCATGGTTCTAAAGCTTCCTCCACGCTCCCTCATCCCCTTCACTTCGTTCCAGTGGCGCGGGCCCGTGAGCGTCATTGGGATATGAGGGGTGATGCAGATACCATACATGGGGGTAGGGGTGAGGAAGATGAAAGGGCGGCGGGTATATGTACACTGAGATCGGGGATAAAGGGCATGGGGAGGTCGGATTCGTATAGTGGTCAGTACTCCACGTTGTGGCCGTGGCAACCTGAGTTCGAATCTCAGATCCGACACGCGCGTGGACCCCTCACACCATTTTGCTGCCTCTATATTTTACCACTTCACCCCTACCCCCTCGTACCACTACCCCCCAGTCTTACTGCTACCCTACCCCTACTAGCTCTACAACAGGCCATAGAACATTCCAGGCCCTCATCCCCTCCTAACCAACACCCGAACAGCACCCGCACCCGAACCACCCTGAGTTGCAACCCTTCACCCACCCACCCATCTCAATTTGGACCCCGTTTTTTCCAGTAAAGTACCCCAGAAAAAGTCGAGAACGCTCTTTGAAGCTGTGCACCCCTACCCCCACAACAACAGAAGATCCCCTGCATGGCGCCGTCCCTTCACCTGGTGTACTTCGACATTGAGGGAGTGGCGGAGAAGGTTCGCCTCACGCTGCTCCTCGGAGGTGTTGCCTTCCAAGATGAGCGCATCAACTTCAAGGACTGGTCCGACCCAGCCGTCAAGCAGCGCGCCCCTTACGGCCAGCTTCCCTTCCTCACCGTCGATGGTGGCGCTCCCATCACGCAGAGCGAGGCAATGCTCCGTTACGCAGGCAAGCTGACAAAGCTCTATCCTGAAGATTTCGATAAGGCACTGAAGGTGAGTTGCTGCTGACAACCTGGTGGTGGCTTACCATGGGGGCAGGTCGACGAGATAGTCGGGCTGCAGGGAGACATGGCTCGAGCGATCGCTCCATCCATCTACGTCGGCATGAGGCCACACGTCTATGGGTGAGCACTGTGAGAGCAGCAGGTGGAAGAATGACCGCTGACGTTCAGGTACGCTGAAGACCTTCCGGAGGCGGAGAGGAAGGCGATCCAAGGGCGGCTGAGGGAGACGCTGCTCAAAGACGACATCCCACGCTTCTTGGGATACTTTGAAGAGAAGCTGGTGCAAAACGGCACTGGCTTCTTCGTTGGGGACTGTGTTACCATCGCTGACTGCGTGATGCTTCCTCAACTTCGACAGCTCAAATCCGGAAGGTTGGACGGGATCCCGACCGACATTGTCGATGGCTACCCAAAGCTCTCTGAGTTCTACCGGATGATGATGGACATCCCGTGCATCAGGAATCACTACGAGAAGCACTGATCGCGTGCTTGCTCCTCCTTCTGTTTGTCCGGCTCATCTCTGACTGAAAGGAATTTATAGGACAAAATAATATAGAGCGAAGGATTAAACGGGAACTTGCGCGTTAACGTTGTTGAGGAAGTTGCTGTATGCTTGCTGGTACTCGAGCCTCCTCTCTTGTGCTTGGCTGGCAGGCACATCAGCTACATGGCGCATGTCAATTGGCTCACCTCCATGCGGGGGCTGCTCTTGATGGCTCTGCCCCGCCCTGTCTCCATGCCTGTGACCGATCAGAAGGATAAGGTTGACATCGCCTCCCGCACCGCTACTGGGGCCCAACCACTGGCTCCAGGGGCCATGGGACGAGGAGCAGGAGCTTGGTAGAGCTGACAGGTAAGAAATCAGTCGCAAGACCAGGTCTGCCGCACCCAGAGCATCACCTCCTGTCTGCGTGCAAGGGCGAAAAGCTGGCTGTTGCCCTGTCGAAGAAAAGATGAGCAAAGCAAGAGCGGTTGGCGCTGGTGACCTTAGCAGCAGCGAGCATTGCTCTCTTCTTCGCGCGCAGCTTCGCCTCGGCAATCAACTTTTCCCTTGTCTTTCTGTCGTACCCGTCCAGCTGCTTCGCTCGCTTCACCATCTTAGAGAAGTAGTCCTCTAACGACGCGTGCGCAGCCTCTGACGTCAGCGGTCTGTGCGGCAGAGCTACGGCTTCTGCCCCCCCAGTCGGCAACCCCAGGCTGTTCACTTCCTCCTCTATGCTGGGCTGCTTCACTGTATGTGAACGAGTATGCCCCCCCCTTGCTTTTGTGTGTAAGTCAGTTGATGCCGTCAGGGTGTTCCAGTACGTCTGCATGTCAGACTTGGACTCCTCGTCGTTCATCATCCTTCCTGCCCTCGCTAGATCAGCTGATCTCCGACGCGACAATGAACGTCCTGGATCGTGCTTGTTGGAGGCAACAGGCTTACGGGCCAGGGGCTTTTTTGTTTTCTCAGGAGCCTCCTGCTTCTTTCCCGTCGGGTGAATCCGAACAGCCTCTGTAGGCATCGAATTCCAGAACTTCTCTATGTCTGCCTCTGATTGCTCAGTCGACATCTTTGAGTCCGCCTTCACCGCTTCCCACCCGAGGCCATTCGCCTTCCGCCGTCGTTCTGCCGAATCTCTGGCTTCTCGATGGAGGGCTTTTGCACTTTGCAGCTTGCTCTCGAGATACCTTCCAAGTTCACGTCTAGCTCGAGCCGAAGAGAAGCTTGCCATGGAACTCCTGCTTGTGTTTGACAAGGCAAGTTTCCAGTAATGTTGCATATCATCGTCAGCTGCTCGTTCTGACAACCTGCGTGTCTTGATGGTCTTGTCGACTTGCATTTGAGGGAACTTGAGGAAATCATAGTCTCCCTCCTTGGCTGGGGTCGCGTGCCCGTTGAGACGATGTCTCTTGCGTTCTCTGAGATCTCGTATCTGAATCTGCTTCTCCTGTTTGTTAAACCACGACATCAGGTCCGTGAGCGCCCATGAAGCGTTCTTCATCGATACGATCTTGTCCTTCTTCGCTGATTCCTGGGAATAGAATCTTGCCATGTCTCGATTGGCTTCTTCCGAAGAAATAAAGGCTGGTTGGATCGAGTCTTTTTCTTTCTTCTTTCTTTCACGAGCATCCTCCTGTGTAATTTCAACAACCTTCTTCAAGTCCTCTTTCATCTCTTCAATATCATGAAACAAATTAGCCTGCATGTCGCGTTGACGTGCAATCGATATGGGGACTTGAGGCCCCTGGTTCACTGTGATATTGATCTTGACTTCTTTGCTTGGCGGTGCCACCTGGGGATCGAAATGCTCATGAAGCAGGTGATGCTCTCGCCGCTCATCTTGTTCGGCGCGGTAGTAGTAACCAGGGTTGCATGTACCACAGGCCACAGGACAAGCCCCCATGTCGCCTGCGCCATCCCAGTCGCACCAGAACTGCCGATCTCCTCCGACAGCATACGACACACAAGCGTCTCCGAAGGGTCCCCGCCAATTGGGGTTGTCCTCACACCAGTACGAAAGCTTAGGCTTGTCCCCTTGGGTTGGATGCTGCGATTGAGGAGAGAGTTGCTGCGTTCCCTTTGTGATATGATGGTGATGGTGATGTTTGCTTGCATGTTTCATGATCTTCTTCTCTTCCGCGATCGTCTCACTAACGAACTTGGCGAGATCTTGCTTTGAGATCTCTTCCTTCTGATAGCTTGGTCTCACAACGTTTCTTGACGCCTCGTTGGACCTTTGAGCCTCATGCTCGTGTCTTGCTGTGGTTTTTGGTGTCCGAGGTGCTGCAAACTTTTCTCCCTGAGCGATCAGTTAGTTGAAGCATTTGAAGGAACAGTGCTGTTGTACTTGTAGAAGTCGAATCTCAGAATCGGCTTTATTGTCGAGGGCTTTCTTGGCATTCAGGATCATGTTTCTTGCCTGACATAGTCGCCCACATCCTTGCTCGAGTTGAACAGGTGTCGAGAATCCTGCCAGAGAACAGCAAATGGCTACCACAACAAGAACAGCGGCGGCAAGGAGAGACTTGGGTAGTCCAAGCATCCTGCGCTTGCTACCATCCATCTTGAGAGCTCCTGCATCAGCTGTCTCAGTTTTCGTCCTCAGTTTCTCTTAATTTCGATCCTCCCACTTTCCCTCTTTTTCTTGCTGCCGCTCGTCTCGCTGTGTCCTGCCTTCTTTTTCCCGATCATGTTTCTCTCCTCTCGTTTGACGATAAGGCATCTTACCCCTCTCTTCATGTCTTCTCCCCCTCTACTCCTGCCTACTTACATCCTCCGGTCTTGATCTGACCTGATCTCCTTCTCTCGCTCCTGCCATCGCTCCCCTCCCCCTGTCTCTCCCTCCCTCCCTCCCCCCCATGGCTCTTGGTGACGCGCCACCTCCCCACTCAGATCCACATAAGGTGCGAGTGGCGAGTGACCTGCTCAGTGACCTGGGTGAGGCCCGGGTAGGAGGGGGACGAGGGCCCCGGCGATCAGCGATGGTGTGGCCTTTCGCACGCGTCTACGAGTGAAGTGAGAAGAGGAGGAGAGGAGAGAAGCAGAAAGCGAAGGAACGAGGAGATTACAAGCTCTTGTAGGTCGAGACAGACAGACAGACAGAGGAAAGTCACTGAAACAACCAACAAATAGAACAGTGAGCAGAGGAGAGGAGAAACTGGTTGCTGGAAGTTTGCTTTCGGTTTCAACTATCGTGCATTCAGCACACAAGGCAATCTAACTGGACAAGGCATGATTCAGGGACCAAACTATGGGTCTATCCCCACTAGTAGGAAACGAGAAGAGAATCTTCCACGCAGAGAAGGAATTTCCAAGCGCGGTACCGGGTATCTCATAGCCTGCTTGGTGCTTGTTACTTCGATCTTTGCATTGGCGGTCTCAACGCGTGCAGATGAGTACAAGATGTATCGTCGGTTCTCTAATCATCAGAGCAAGCTTCTTATTTTGAGCTCCTTGCCCAAATCGTTCCAAAAGGCAACGTTGCATGCAGGGGGTATTGAAGTAAATCAGGACAAAGAGGCATTGAACGTGGAGGAGAATTCGAGTACGTCGATGAGCTATGACGAAATCGATGAAGAAGCAGAGAAATGGGTGCAGCATCATCCGGAAGAAAACAAGGGGATAGTGGCGCACATGATCACCGGCATGGCCATCGGGTTCGTGGGGTTCACGTGTCTGCTCTACAGTGAGATCTTCGCTGTGCTTACAGTCCGTGACATGGATCTCAACATTTGGTCTCGAGAGCCGAAACCGGCTGACCTCATGGAGAGAGAGGCGCTCTGGGCTCATGGCTTCGCAGCCAAGCTGAGGCCATGGCTGTCGATAGGTGGGGTTGTGGCCATGTACGTCGGTTATCTTGTCGCAAACATTCCGATGTGCTGGATCCTAGTTGACTTTGGGTTGCCATCTACTCCAGATGAGGAGGACTGCATCACATCGGTGGTATTCATGGCGTTCTTATTCATCATAGGAACAGCGTGCTTCATTGTCGGCTTGTGTTGGTCCTGCACCAGACCCTGGGCTGCGCTTCTACTCATCAGCATCTCAGTGGGAGCTCACGTTGCCATGCTCATAGATGATCCATATTTCGCGCTGCTGTGGGCGTTAATCTCAGCTGTTTTGGCTTTCTATTACTTTCAGTTCATCCCAGAATCCAGAGAAGACTATCGTCATCCCAAGAATGTGGATTTCACCATGTCTTGGAGCAGCGATCAGGCTGAGGGAACGTCCAAACATCCTCAGAGTGTCGCATATGCCTGAAACGCCAGGACTGGAATGGGTGAGGAAGAGACGATTGGGGTGAGGGTGGTGGGTCGATGCTTGGATACCACTTGGGCAATATGCAGATGCAATACATACTTATCTAATTGCTACACAGAGCAATATGATTGAAAATAGGTTCTTCATCGTGACGTGAAAATCAGTGACTTGTCTCTCCTGTGTGCCCCTCCTCCGATCGATTTAATTGCCTGCCGCTTGAGCCTCCTGCATGAAAATTTCTCCAACTTTCTGTTGTGTAGCTACGAACTTCGAGGCACAGGAAACAAGGCACTTGTCTTCATCGATGGAGAGCTCTTCTCCATAATCTCGACCTTCAGCGACGGCGTTGGCCAGGCATTTGTCGTAGCATCGTCTATTCATTCGGGTGAACATGTCCCCCATCGCTTCTACTTCGTTTGTCAGCGTCATGATCTGTTCATTTTGATGAGCTCAGTTAACAGTGGGTGCGGCGGGGTCGTACCTGTCTTTTCTCTTCCAGCTGCTTCTGAGAGAGTCCCCCGCCACCGAAAGGCCACCAGCCCATGTTTCAACCTTGTCTTGCTCTTTCTTCGTCAAACACAAACGAGCTGACATCAGCTTTAGATATGGAGAATCCAAACTTGTCGTCAACAAAACACTACAGAACTAGCCTCTTGTAGAGTTCAATGTAAGCATACTGGCAAGCTCACTCTTTCAAAATGCTGCCTAGCTCCTCAAAAGGGCAGGGGATAGCTACTCATAACAAGTCTATCTCCTGCCCTTATGAGTTTCAACATCATACTGATTGAGTAAACCGGTTTAGAATATGTTCTCCGATGTTTCAACACCTCCATCTCTTTCTTCCCCTCTGTCACTTTTCTCTCTCCACTCTCTTCTCTTTACTTTGCTTCTCGTTCCGCCCCCCCTCCCCTCCCTCCCTCCCTCCCTCCCTCCCTCCCTCCTCGATCTCTCTCTCCCTGGCATGACCAACTGCATGCGCCCACTTGCTGCCCTATCTCTGTTGTATCACTTCATAATCACTTGCCTACTTTTATTGTTCTGCCTTTGCTTCTTGCAGCGAGAAGGTCTGAGTGGGGACGAGGGTATCAGAGGTGAGGTGAAGAGTCGCGATGGCGAGCGTGCGAGCATTGGTGGGAGGGGGGATGGGGATGGCGGCGATACTGCTGACGATGATGATGATGTATGCCACTGAAGATTCAACTTCCCGTACGATGCAGTACAAGGAAGGAAGGAGCACTTTGATTCAGAGAGGAAGGGCGCTGCTTCAAAGGAACCCGGCTCTCAGGAAGCAAGTCATCCGAGCGTTGCACGATCGCAAGACAAGAGTGGCTTTGAAGCAGCAGCTGACGATTCTTTGTGACGAAGGACGCTCTCATCCTGAATATTGGGCCCTCAAGACAGTTCTCGACAAAGTAGATGGGGGCGAGGACGATTCAGACGTGATCCATGCTGACGGTTCGTTTGACGAGCCCAGTTATGCTCAAGACTGGGATGACGACAGTTGGAGTGATGGGTTCCAGGGCCTCCACATCAGCCAGGACGACAAGTTTTCTGATGAGGGACTGGGTATCAGCTTCTCGGATAACGATTCTATACAGAACTGGTGAACGTAGCTGTTGTTCTTGTATGTACATTTGTATGTAAACGTTGACAGTTGACCTAGTCAGCCTGTTTGAGATCATTGGTGGGAGAAAGGCTATTTCTTGTGTTCTCTCTTTAATAGGATCCATGAGCTCATATCGTTGCCTCGCTACCGTCAGAGTTTCATGTCTTCAAGCAGCCTCGACGACACGTCTTGCATCGACGGTCTGAGGGACTGTGAGCATCTCGCGGAGGAGCGAGCGCGAGCTCACCTGCTCTTGATGCTGTCGGCCCAGCAGTCCTTGCAGAGGAGAGAAACCTGCAGCCTCTCACTCGAGCTCCTCCCTCCTCCCCTCGAGCTCCTCCCTCCTCCCCTCGAGCTCCTCCCTCCTCCCCTCGAGCTCCTCCCTCCTCCCCTCGAGCTCCTCCCTCCTCCCCTCGAGCTCCTCCCTCCTCCCCTCGAGCTCCTCCCTCCTCCCCTCGAGCTCCTCCCTCCTCCCCTCGCACCTGTCGGGGGCACAACACAGAAAGCTGCGGACGGTCGCCAGCCAGAACCTGCAAGAGAGTCAGAGGCCCCCTGCCTCCCATCCTCCGTCTCCTTCCTTCTCTCGAATCTCCGAGAGCTCGAGAGCAGCAAACGGCAGCTCTTGCGAGAAGATTTCGGAGAGCACTATGCCGAAGGCATACACATCCGAAGCGAGCGAGCAAGCTTCACCTCGGTACAGCTCAGGCGCCATGTATCTGAAAGCTCTCAGCCTAAAGGAGGAGCGACAAGCTACTCACGAAGGTGTTCCTGCTTGCGCGTTGGTCACGTAACTGTCGCTGAGCCTGATGGCCAGACCGAAGTCACAGAGCTTGGGAGCAGAGAGAGTCTCGTCGAGGAGAATGTTTTGAGTCTTGAGGTCTCGGTGAATGATCGCTGGTGACGCTGTGTGAAGAAAGGCAAGGCCGCAAGCGACGCCCCGCGCGATCTTGACCCGCTGATGGTTGTTCATATCCACCCGCCTCCGATGGAGCACGTCATACAAAGAGCCTCCCTGACACCACTCTAGCACAATGCAGAGGCCCGTGCCTTGCAGACAGGCGCCCATCAGGAGCACGACGTTGGGGTGGCGAATCTCACTGAGAATCTCAACCTGGGGAGAGTGAGGAGGGAGACAACATGGTCGAGGCTACAACTTCACCTCTCTACGGAAGTCTTCCTTGAGTGCAGGATCGTTGGCGACTCGCGGATCAACTGGCTTCTTCACGGCAACGACTGTTCCTCTCCAAATCCCTTGGTAGAGGATGCCGAGCCCTCCTTGCGCCACTCGCGTCAGGTCCTCCACTTGACTCAGACTCATGTTCACGAAGCCGCCAGTTCGAGATCGTTCACTGTGCTCGTAGGAGCCACTTGTATGCGACAAGGACCTTCTTTCATCGTCTTCCGATTCGTTTTGATCTGATCTAACACGTCAGACTTGAGCTCATGACTTTTGATCAATCAGTTGATCTAGTTGATATCAACTTCATCTCACCAACGTTGGAAGATGCGTTCCTCGAGATCGAAACATTGTCCTCCTCCCTGGCTTTTTCCCTGGCTGCTCTTTTCTTGGCCAAGATCTCTGCCAGTTTACCACCGCCAGCTTCTGACATCCCTTGGTCCGCCTTCTGCACCTCAAAGTCAAACCATGTATCAATGGAGATATAACACAGCCAGGACCAGCGCTGGCGCTCATCTCAAACTGTTGGTTGCGAATGAATAAATCAAGATCTCACGAGTGAAACCAGACACATACAACTTGTCGTGGTGTCCTTTATTTGACCACCTTCCTTTCCCGACATACAAGATAGTATTGCGTCCTTCCCTCCATCTCGTCTAATCTCATCTCGGAACCTTGAATCGAGCTTCTCCCTTTCTGCCACTCTGTCCTCGTTTAGCTATCACTCGAATCACCTTTTTCTTTCTCACTTTCCTCTCCCTGATGTTCATATTTGTTTCGATGATGTTACAAACACTAAAAACCAGTTTTCATTTATTCCTTCCCTTCCTCCCTCCTCCTCCCTCCCTCCCCTCCCCACTTCCCCCCTATCTCTCTCCCAGTCTCTTCCTCCCTTCCCTCCCTTCGCTCTCAACTGCGCTGATCTCTCCCTTCCTTCCTCCCTCTCTCCCACTTCCCCCCGATCCCCTCCTCTCCCTCCTTCCTCTCCCTCCTTCCTCTCCCTCCCTCCTCTCCCTCCCTGAACCGGCTGCAGTACCGAAACGGCTGAAACCAAGGGGTGTGGTAAAGGGAAGCAAAGGGGGTGGTGCCGAGACCAGACCGAGCGGGGGTTGCCGCAAGGATCCAAGGCGAGAGCTTGTAGTAGACGATAAGAGCTGCTAGTAGACGATGAGAGCTGCTAGTAGACGATGAGAGCTGCTGGTAGACGACAAGAGCTGCTAGTAGACGATAAGAGCTGCTAGTAGACGATAAGAGCTGCTAGTAGACGATGAGAGCTGCTGGTAGACGACAAGAGCTGCTAGTAGACGATAAGAGCTGCTGGTAGACGATCAGAGCTGCTAGTAGACGATGAGAGCTGCTAGTAGACGATAAGAGCTGCTAGTAGACGATGAGAGCTGCTAGTAGACGATGAGAGCTGCTAGTAGACGATAAGAGCTGCTAGTAGACGATGAGAGCTGCTAGTAGACGATGAGAGCTGCTAGTAGACGACAAGAGCTGCTAGTAGACGATGAGAGCTGCTAGTAGACGATAAGAGCTGCTAGTAGACGATGAGAGCTGCTAGTAGACGATGAGAGCTGCTAGTAGACGATAAGAGCTGCTAGTAGACGATGAGAGCTGCTAGTAGACGACGAGAGCTGCTAGTAGACGATGAGAGCTGCTAGTAGACGATGAGAGCTGCTAGTAGACGACGAGAGCTGCTAGTAGACGATAAGAGCTGCTAGTAGACGACGAGAGCTGCTAGTAGACGATAAGAGCTGCTAGTAGACGATGAGAGCTGCTAGTAGACGACAAGAGCTGCTAGTAGACGATAAGAGCTGCTAGTAGACGATAAGAGCTGCTAGTAGACGATGAGAGCTGCTAGTAGACGATAAGAGCTGCTAGTAGACGATGAGAGCTGCTAGTAGACGATGAGAGCTGCTGGTAGACGACAAGAGCTGCTAGTAGACGATAAGAGCTGCTAGTAGACGATGAGAGCTGCTGGTAGACGACAAGAGCTGCTAGTAGACGATAAGAGCTGCTGGTAGACGATGAGAGCTGCTAGTAGACGATGAGAGCTGCTAGTAGACGATAAGAGCTGCTAGTAGACGATGAGAGCTGCTAGTAGACGATGAGAGCTGCTAGTAGACGATAAGAGCTGCTAGTAGACGATGAGAGCTGCTAGTAGACGATGAGAGCTGCTAGTAGACGACAAGAGCTGCTAGTAGACGATGAGAGCTGCTAGTAGACGATAAGAGCTGCTAGTAGACGATGAGAGCTGCTAGTAGACGATGAGAGCTGCTAGTAGACGATAAGAGCTGCTAGTAGACGATGAGAGCTGCTAGTAGACGACCGAGAGCTGCTAGTAGACGATGAGAGCTGCTAGTAGACGATGAGAGCTGCTAGTAGACGACGAGAGCTGCTAGTAGACGATAAGAGCTGCTAGTAGACGACGAGAGCTGCTAGTAGACGATAAGAGCTGCTAGTAGACGATGAGAGCTGCTAGTAGACGACAAGAGCTGCTAGTAGACGACAAGAGCTGCTAGTAGACGATAAGAGCTGCTAGTAGACGACAAGAGCTGCTAGTAGACGACAAGAGCTGCTAGTAGACGATGAGAGCTGCTAGTAGACGATGAGAGCTGCTAGTAGACGACGAGAGCTGCTAGTAGACGACAAGAGCTGCTAGTAGACGATAAGAGCTGCTAGTAGACGACAAGAGCTGCTAGTAGACGACAAGAGCTGCTAGTAGACGATGAGAGCTGCTAGTAGACGACAAGAGCTGCTAGTAGACGACAAGAGCTGCTAGTAGACGACAAGAGCTGCTAGTAGACGACAAGAGCTGCTAGTCCTCCATCTCCCGCAAAAACATTAACAAAAAGATGCTCATCGTATTCGCCATGAGGTCTCATGAGATCGTCTTGTCTGCTTCATATGCTTGAGCTTGTGCTCATGCTCCATCTGATGTATCATCACCTTGTTGCTCCCGACAAAAGTGAATTAGGATGGTGTAGAGGAGGAGGAGGTCAGTGTGACGGTGTGAGGGGTGAGGGCAAGAGGTGAGCTGGGAACTGAGGGTGTGATGAGCTTGTGGCAGGTATTCTTAGTGGGGATGGGCAGAAACAAGAGGAAGAAGTTGTTTCTTCTTCTCTGCCTCCTCCCCGCCACCTCTCCGTTTGTTTGTCTTCCTTCCCTCTCAGTCTTCCCGCGCATGGCTCCGCTCCATCCTCATCGTGCTTGTCGCCTAAGCTGGGAGATGGCGGACAGAAGCAGACGAGCAGCACGTTTCTTCCTCAGCACGAAAGTCAGCAGCAGCCTGCGGAACGAGCTCGAGATAGTAGATGCTGCACCAGTGCAAGGCTTGGAGAGGGAAGAAGACGCAACAAGCAAGTCTGATATCAAGCAGCACAATAAGAACAAGTCCGATATCAAGCAGCACGATAAGAGCAAGTCCGATATCAAGCAGCACAATAAGAACAAGTCCGATATCAAGCAGCAAGATAAGAACAAGTCTGATATCAAGCAGCACGATAAGAACAAGTCTGATATCAAGCAGCACGATAAGAACAAGTCTGATATCAAGCAGCACGATAAGAACAAGTCCGATATCAAGCAGCACGATAAGAACAAGTCTGATATCAAGCAGCACGATAAGAACAAGTCTGATATCAAGCAGCACGATAAGAACAAGTCTGATATCAAGCAGCACGATAAGAACAAGTCCGATATCAAGCAGCACGATAAGAACAAGTCTGATATCAAGCAGCACGATAAGAACAAGTCCGATATCAAGCAGCACGATAAGAACAAGTCTGATATCAAGCAGCACGATAAGAACAAGTCCGATATCAAGCAGCACGATAAGAACAAGTCTGATATCAAGCAGCACGATAAGAACAAGTCCCGATATCAAGCAGCACGATAAGAACAAGTCTGATATCAAGCAGCACGATAGAACAAGTCTGATATCAAGCAGCACGATAAGAACAAGTCCGATATCAAGCAGCACGATAAGAACAAGTCCGATATCAAGCAGCACGATAAGAGCAAGTCCGATATCAAGCAGCACGATAAGAACAAGTCCGATATCAAGCAGCACGATAAGAACAAGTCTGATATCAAGCAGCACGATAAGAACAAGTCCGATATCAAGCAGCACGATAAGAACAAGTCTGATATCAAGCAGCACGATAAGAACAAGTCCGATATCAAGCAGCACGATAAGAACAAGTCTGATATCAAGCAGCACGATAAGAACAAGTCCGATATCAAGCAGCACGATAAGAACAAGTCTGATATCAAGCAGCACGATAAGAACAAGTCTGATATCAAGCAGCACGATAAGAACAAGTCCGATATCAAGCAGCACGATAAGAACAAGTCTGGTATCAAGCAGCACGATAAGAACAAGTCTGATATCAAGCAGCACGATAAGAACAAGTCTGATATCAAGCAGCACGATAAGAACAAGTCCGATATCAAGCAGCACGATAAGAACAAGTCTGATATCAAGCAGCACGATAAGAACAAGTCTGATATCAAGCAGCACGATAAGAACAAGTCCGATATCAAGCAAGAAGTAAACTCAGTGGAGTTTTCTGAGTTGCAGGTTTCAATTGCTACAAGAGCGTACATCTCTCACTCAACGTTTCACAGCTTAGAAAACCTCCAAAGCGGGATGAGCTCGTTGACATGACGAGAAGCTACGTGACTCATTTCCTTTACCTGCTCGGTAAGCTTGACACCTTCTCTTCTCCTGTTGTTCTCAAGCCAAATTAGGAGCCTCGGCTCATGATCTCTTCTATTCCCTTGTCGGTGTTCACCTCTTCATCTCACATCATCTCCATTCTGTCTCAGCTAAATCATTTATCCGCTCTCATTCTCACTCACTGTCTGTCCTCCTTCTCTTCCTTCCTCCTCCTCCTCCTCGCTGTCTTGATGATGATGATGATGATGATGATGATGATGATGATGATGATGATGATGATGATTGTGTTTGTTGTTGTGCTTCGACTTCCTCCCGCGTCTACCTTCTTTGCGTGCTGATTGTCGAAGGGAAGATTTAGAGCAGCAAGCGCAAGAAGAAGAGATCCTTACGAGGCTCAAAAGCTGGACGACAAGAGAGCTTGAGAAAGCGGTGAGACATCTACAGACATACTTGAACTTCTGCCTTGCCTCCCAGCTTCTGCATCTCCTCCCTCCCATGTCTTTTTCTTGCCTGGCTTTCATTCCCTGCTGTCGGTCCATCTTTCTGACTTTCTCTCGCTCTCCACTCGTCGCTCTGGCCTTCTCCTCTCCTCGTATTGCTCGTCTCAACTTGTTCCCTCCATTTCCCTCCTCTCAACTGCACTTCAAGGGTCTCTGCGTTCATGGCTTGACAGCTCGCCCACATGGCGAGATGTTTGGCGAGAAGATTTTAGAGGTGAGCACGAGCACGAGCACGAGCACGAGCACGAGCACGAGATGAATTTGGCTTCCAGCTACGCTCTCCGCACGATCTCAACCTCCATCTTCGAAAGTTTAATGTCGGTGACTATGTCCTTGTGACATCAGGCGAAGGTGCGTCATCATCATCATCATCATCACCATCATCATAATCATCATCATAATCATCATCATCATCATCATCACCACCACCACCACCACCACCACCACCATTTCCTGACTTGCAAATGAAAGGCTCACCCATGCGCAAGGCAAGTGAAGCAGTAGCAGGGATGATCGTGGAGAGAGGAGGAGGAGGAGGAGGAGGAGGAGTCTTTCTTCACGTATCTGTCACGAGATGGCCTGAAGGTGAGCGCGGCATGCGTGTCTCTTGTTTTGAGGGTCGGGCAGACGTATGGAAGGCGAGGAGAGCAGGAGACGCTCACTTCCGCCTCGACAAGTTCTTCTCATCCCTCCCCAACCAGCGCATGCGAGAAGCTCTTTCCAGCCTCCTCCTCGCTGCGGAGGAAAACTCACGAGCGAGTGCACCTGAAGGAGGGAAGAGGATGAGCAGAACGCTCCAGGAGATGATCGTCAGCTCCTTCTGCATGGCAAACAGCTCCTTCCTGTCTCATCAGCATCGCTCTTCCTTCCCAGAACAACATCAGCCCATGGAAAGTTCTTCCTCCTCCTCCTCCTCCTCCTCCTCTGTCTCCTCGCAGCGACTCTTGGTCGATCAGGCTTGGCGCATCGCTCGCTTGGTGTCGAGGCGTCGGGGGCTCGTGAGCTCGCAGGAGGAGGCGCTGAGAGAGGCCATGACTCGGTCGCTCGCGATCCTCCAGGGACCTCCAGGCACTGGCAAGACGCTCACAGCGTCATGCCTTGCTGAGGCGCTGGTGTTGGAGAAGCAGCTGCGAAAGGAGCTGGAGGGGGAGCTTATCGTGGCGTGCGCTCATTCCAACACGGCGACAGACAACCTGATGGAGAAGCTGGTGGACCTGAAGCTGCGAACTGTGAGAGGTACAACACAATCAGCAGCACCAGCAGCACCAGCATCGTGGTGTTGACTTGTGGTGGTAGTGGGACGAGCGACGGCAGTGAAGGCTGAGCTGCGGCATCTGACGCTCGAGGCTCTGATGGAGAAGGAGGCGACAGTGCGAGAGCTGAGAAAGGAGCTGGTGCTGGCGTTGTCGGAGGAGGAGAGAGCGACCGTGAGAGCCAAGGTGAGGCAGCAGCGCCTGTGCTTCAAGACTGACTTGTGTCAGCTTGCCATGGAGAGATCTTTGGTGGGAGGAAGAATTTTAAGGTGAGTGACTAGGGCAGAGGAGGAGTGAGAGGGGGTGAGGGGATGAGAAGAGGAGGGAGAAGAGAGGAGAAGAAGGGGGTGACGGGTCAAGTTGTCAGGTCTGCGGATGTGGTAGTGGCGAGTCTGGTAGGATCAGGACATGAGGGGCTGCGAGCGATGCTGCAGCACGAGAGGCTTCGCTTCCACACCATCATCGTCGATGAAGCCTCGCAGGCTGTTGAACCGTCTCTCCTTATCCCCCTCCTTCAGGGTGCCCAGGTCACGAGACCTCTCCTCCTTCATTCTTCTGCTTTCCTTTTCTTCTACATGATCTTCCACATCATCCCTCCCTTCCTCCCTCCCTCCCTTTCACTTTCCTCTCTCCCTTCCTCCATTCGTAGCCGACTGACAATCTGGACGTCAGAAGCTTGTTCTCATCGGTGATCACTGCCAGTTACCGCCGACGGTGACAAGTCTGGAGGTGCCGTAGAGGAGGGGAGGGCAGGAGAACTAGTGACAGGATGGAAGGCGAGGAGAGGAGGCTTGGCTCGCAGTCTCTTGACTCGCTTGGTGGTAAGTGAAGGGAGGACGGGCGTCCGACTGTTGACGAGAGCTCAGCAAGGGAAGCACGAGCTGAAGATGCTTCAGACTCAGTTCCGAATGCATCCTGCCCTCGCTCACTTCAGCTCTCGTCGCTTCTATCACGGCGCCCTCCAGTCTCATCCCCTCCCCGGCGCGTCGCTTTTCCTCCTCTCCTCTCGCTGACCCTCATGCTGCAGAAGATCGCCCGATCCCTCGAGGGTTCCCGTGGCCGCGCGAGGATCACCCGCTGGTCTTCATCGACGTGCGTCAAGATGAGGTTGAGTGACCCTCTCCTGCTACCCTCCCCCTTCTCCTCCTCTCTCTTCTCCTCCTCTCTCTTCTCCTCCTCTCTCTTCTCCTCCTCTCTCTTCTCCTCCTCTCCCTTCTCCTCCTCCCCCTTCTCCTCCTCCCCCTTCTCCTCCTCTCCCTTCTCCTCCTCTCCCTTCTCCTCCTCTCTCTTCTCCTCCTCCCCCTTCTCCTCCTCTCCCTTATCCTCCTCCCCCTTCTCCTCCTCTCCCTTCTCCTCCTCTCCCTTCTCCTCCTCTCTCTTCTCCTCCTCTCTCTTCTCCTCCTCTCTCTTCTCCTCCTCTCTCTTCTCCTCCTCTCTCTTCTCCTCCTCTCTCTTCTCCTCCTCTTCCTTCTCTCCCCCATGCTCTGGCCTCAACTGTACTCCATTGTGAAGTTGATGAGTGATGGCTCAGCTCAATGGAGATGAGATTCAGACATCTGACGGCAACAGCTACCTCAACGTCCCCCAAGCTCAAATCATCCTTGAGGTGTTTTCCTTTTCGTCCTCCTCCACCGCTTCCTCCTCCTCTCCTCTTGCTCAACCGCCTCCACGCTCTCAGTCCATACTCCTCGCTTCCTTGTCGTCAGCCTCACCCTCTTCCTTCCCCTCGTGTCTCTCCAGATCCTTCAGGATCTGCTGGCCGCCGGGCACGAGACGAGAGACTTGGGCGAGCATGCGGATGCTCTCGAGCTCTTCCTGACTCCCCGCAGGGCTTGTCGTCCCCTACTCGGCTCAAGTGAACTTCCTCCGTGAGTCTCTTCACTTGTCCTCGCTGGCGTCCCTGGAGGGTCTGGACATCAGCTCCGTCGACGGCTTTCAGGCGAGTCGTGCGCGCTCGAGCTGGAGTGATGCGGCGGCAGGGGAGGGAGAAGGAGATCATCCTCATGTCGACCGTCCGCAGCAACGCGGAGAGCAGGTGAGACCAGGCGAGTGAGCGAGCCCTGTGACGAGAGCTCAGCTTGGGCTTCCTCGCGGACTGGAGGCGACTGAACGTGGCAGTGAGTACCAGAAAGAGGAGAGGAGGGGAGAGGAGGGGAGGGAGAGGAAGCGAGAGTGGAAAAGAGGAGATGATAGAAAGAGAGAATTAGACGAAGGGGAAGAATACAAAGGAGAGGAGACGAGAAGGGCATAGGAGAGCAAGAGACGAGGAGAGAACTTCGAAAGGGAAGAGCAGATGGGGAGAGGAGACGGTGAGAGGAGAGATGATTGGGCGGCAGGTCACTCGTGCTCGTCGAGGAATGATAGTCGTTGGTGACGCGAAGACACTTGCAAGTGACCGTCACTGGTGAGGGAGAGGAGGAAGGAGGAACTAGTACGCGCAGGAGGTGACTTGTTCGATCAGGGACGCCTTCCTGCTGCACCTCGAGCAGGAGCGCTGCTGCATGTCGCAAGCAGTATACAGGGAGACACGACAAGTCTTAAGCGGCACAGATAGGGGAGAGGCAGGAGGGTGAGAGAGAGAGAGAGACAGAGACAGAGACAGAGACAGAGACAGAGACAGAGACAGAGACAGAGACAGAAGAGATGTAACAGGAGTTTTACTTCCTCTTGATCTGTTTCACTTGCTTTCTGAGCTCCGAAACTTCTTCTTCGATTCTTGGGAGGATACTGGACGAGAGGGTCCAGAGCTCTCCCTTGAGGCTCGTGATCTCTCCGTCGTCCTTGCTCACCCGCCGCTTGAGCGAGTTGATCTTATCAACCTGCTCCTTGCTCACTTGCCGGTGTTGCTCATGTCGGAGGCGCGCGAGGTTGACTCGGTGAGTCTTCTTCCTGCCTTCCTCATCGCCTTCCTCACCATGCCCCCATCCCCGGTATTGGATGTACCCCATGCCCTTGTCCGTGAAGCCAACCTGCAGGCGGTCAGGGAAGCATCAAGGCACAGGATGCGCTACCATGTTGATCTGCTGGGTGCCTCCGTCCGTCATCTGCACAGAAGAAGAGGGCGATGAGGAGTAGGAAGCAGGAGTCGATCCGCAGCAGCTTGGCGGGGCCTTCACTTCCACTTTGAAGAGCTTCAAGCTCTGCATAAGTAGACGCGCTTGGTGGCTGTGATGAGAACAAAAGATAACAAGGAAAAGACACGACGCCATGCAGGCAAGTCCTGCAACCATTCGTAGAGTGTGGACCATCATAGTAGCTCTAGCAGGAAATTCCAGTATTGATCAGATGATTTCTCCTTGACCTCCGTTTCTCTTGCCAGCTCCTCTGGTCCTTCACTTTGTCTCTTCAATCTTCCCGGCTCTTCTTCCTCTTCCTCTTCCTCTTCCTCTTCCTCTTCCTCTTCCTCTTCCTCTTCCTCTTCCTCTTCCTCTTCCTCTTCCTCTTCCTCTTCCTCTTCCTCTTCCTCTTCCTCTTGTCGACTACCTACCGCATGTTGAGCCAGTGCGAAGGGACAACTACATATCACCCCCACCTACCCGTTGACTCCTCTGTCCTCCCTCTACCCCCAATCTCACTACTAAAAAATACCGGTACATAAGGTAATTATGGACGGTGTACCCCTCCTGGTGGAGAACAAGGCCCAGGCCGGCACCGGCACATTCTAGACCGTCAGAGTCGGATCCGAGCGAACCGGCGTTAACTGAGAGGGCCGGGCCCGATCCTCCGAGGGCCTCTGAGTCTGTGAACGGGTTCAAGTTCCTTGCACTAATAAGGTAAAACTTCAGTGCTCAAGCAGAAGAAAGCAGGAACAAGCAAGACCGTCATGCTGACACTCTTGCTAATCTTCTTACTGAAGCGTCCCGGCGATCAAGCGCTACCGTACCGTACAGCAGCGGCACTCCTAAGTTCAATCCGACGGCCGGGGCCGGGCACCGATGACCAAGGCCCCGACGGTCACAAACCGCGTCCGCGCTCCTACGAGGCATCATGTGATGCCACTCCATCGAGGGAAGGGCGACTCGTTCGCAGGCAGGGCTATTCAAAGTTTGACCGGGGAGCATCATCGCCGTACGGTACGGTTTTGCCCGCACGGTCCGACGTCAGTTGCGAGCCTCCGAGATTCGAAGATTTACTGGCAGAAGGTAAAAAGTGCCTCAAGCAAAACAAAGCAGGAACAAGCGAAAACTGCTTGCACACAGCGCACAGCGAGAAGCTGCACAAACACACACTGTGACAAAAGCAAGGCTCTCCGAGCAAGGCTCTCCCGGCGGTTGTTCGCCTCCTATCAGGCTCTCCAGCTCCTCCTAAATGTCCTCAGCTGTTGCCGCTTTTCACCTTTGCCTCAAGCAGAAGAAAGCAGCAAGACTCTGCTGACCTTCGCCTCTTTCACAAGGATCAGTCAGCTTCAGCGTACTCTTCTGCCACGGCGCTACCGCTGACTCGGAGGCTAGCGAGGAGGACTACCTCGAGCGGTACCGTGCTCCTGTGTCCAGCCTCCCTCCGTCCGCTGCCCCAGGCGGACCCCCGGGCAACGCCGGCTCCGACCCCCGGGCAACGCCGGCTCAGGCTCCTTGTCGGCGGCTGCCCTTTCTCCGTCCGTGACCGCCAGCTTCAAGTTGTGGAGGCAGCGGACGGTCTCGACTGACAGTGGTCAGTCGGCTGCCTCCGGGTATTGCGTCTAAGGGATTTTATTCCTCCTGCATGCTCCTGCTGCTTGTCTGCGCGGCTTCGCGCTTGGGCTGGCGATGCCGGGTCTGCTGACGGTTGCGCTGTGTGCAAGCAGGTTTAGCTTGTTCCTGCTTTGTTTTGCTTGCTTGAGGCACTTTTTACCTTCTGCCAGTAAATCTTTACTGAGATGCGGAGGGCAAGAGATTTACTGGCAGAAGGTAAAAAGCGAGTAAAGGTGAGGAGGACTGTTTGCATTACTTGGAGCGGTACCGTCAGCATGCGCCCAGCTCCACCCTACATTGCTCAGTAAAGATTTACTGGCAGAAGGTAAAAAGTGCCTCAAGCAAAACAAAGCAGGAACAAGCTAAACCTGCATTGGATCCTTTCATGGTTATCGACACCAACGATTGGCTTGCAGTCTACCATCTTCGCTCATTTTCCTGAGCGGGACCTGAGCCACGGCTGCCTCCGGGTATCGCGTCTAAGGGATTTTCTTCCTCCTGCATGCTCCTGCTGCTTGTTGCTTGATTGCTTGGTGCCGCGTCTGGGTGCCAGCAGTGCTGGCCTGCTTTGTTTTGCTTGAGGCACTTTTTACCTTCTGCCAGTAAATCCGTACATAGCACTGCTGGCAACCGTCAGCAGACCCGGCATCGCCAGCCTCACCATGCAGCTGACGCTGGAGGCGCTCCTATCTGGTGCGAGGCGCATGACGCCCTTGCGCGCGCAAGCACTTCTCGAGCCAGAGGAAGGAAGGAAGATTTACTGGCAGAAGGTAAAAAGTGCCTCAAGCAAAACAAAGCAGGAACAAGCTAAACCTCCAACCTGCTTGCACACAGCGCACAGCGAGAAGCTGCACAAACACACACAAAACACAAGCCCGAAAAGAACCAGCACTGCTGGCAACGCCAGCCCAAGCGCGAAGCCGCGCAGACAAGCAGCCGAAGGGTCAAGCAATCAAGCAACAAGCAGCAGGAGCATGCAGGAGGGGAAGCGCACGTACCGTACCGTACAGAACCACACGCGTCTGGTTGCCAGCAGTGCTGGTTCTTTTCGGGCTTGTGTTTTGTGTGTGATTGTGCAGCTTCTCGCTGTGCGCTGTGTGCCAGGAGGTTTAGCTTGTTCCTGCTTTGTTTTGCTTGAGGCACTTTTTACCTTCTGCCAGTAAATCCGTAGACCAGAGGGTATCGCGTCTAAGGGATTTTATTCCTCCTGCATGCTCCTGCTGCTTGTTGCTATGAGCTGTTGCTTGATTGCTTGACCCTTCGGCTGCGTCTGGGTGCCAGCAGTGCTGGTTCTTTTCGGGCTTGTGTTTTGTGTGTGATTGTGCAGCTTCTCGCTGTGCGCTGTGTGCCAGGAGGTTTAGCTTGTTCCTGCTTTGTTTTGCTTGAGGCACTTTTTATCTTCTGCCAGTAAATCCATTATCGCCTCGCACCAGACAAGAGCGGTATAGGATTTACTGGCAGAAGATAAAAAGTGCCTCAAGCAAAACAAAGCAGGAACAAGCTGAACCGGCAGGTACACAGTCCACAGCGAGAAGCTGCACAATCACACACAAAACACAAGCCCGAAAACAACCAGCACTGCTGGCACCCAGACGCGGCAGCGCCAGCCCAAGCGCGAAGCCGCGCAGACAAGCAGCCTAAGGGTCAAGCAATCAAGCAACAAGCAGCAGGAGCATGCAGGAGGAATAAAATCCCTTAGACGCGATACCCGGAGGCAGCCGACTGACCACTGTCAGTCGAGACGTCCGCTGCCGCCACAAAGCGGGCGGCCGCGGACGGAGAAAGGGCAGCCGCCGACAAGGAGCCGGCGTTGCCCGGGGGTCCGCCTGGGGCAGCGGACGGAGGGAGGCTGGACACATGAACACGGTACCGCTCGAGGTAGTCCTCCTCGCTAGCCTCCGAGTCAGCGGTAGCCAAGTCAGTGGTAGCCGCCCGTGACGGCGGCGACGCCGCGGCAATGCCCAAGGACCGGCGTGACCCGACCGATGCCGGGGAGGAAGCAGGCGAGCTCGGACCAGCAGCAAGCACCCCAGTGGTGTCGAGCTCTCCGGAGGCACCCGACGTCACAGTGAGGGACGGAGACGCCTCGCCAGCTCCGCGCCGATCGTCGGGGCCACTCGAAGGGTGTCCCCCATCGGAGTCGGAGACCTCCGGCGAAGACTCCTCGGGCGACTCGACAAAGTCCGAGGAGGAGCTGTCCTCTGGCTCGAGAAGTGCTTGCGCCCGCAAGCGCTTCCAGCGTCAGCTGCATGGTGAGGCGCTGATAGGTGGCGGCGCGTTTGCGAGCCAAGACCTCAGCAGCAGGTCCGTCATCAGGCACGAAGTGCCGACCAAACGCCGCATCCTCAAGAGGCATTGAGCGCTGAGCAATGATGTCCGCGAGATACCAGATGAAGCGGAGGGTGTCAGGATGCAGGGCACCGTCCGTCGAGATGGCAAGAGGGATGAACGCTCGAGGAGGAGTAGTCATGGCATATGCAGCGCGATGTTTGCGAATCTTCTCAGACGCTGCAACATGGAGGGCGTCGAGGTTGACCTCCCCCCACTTGGTCAGGTCGGCAGAGCTACCAATGTAAGGGTGGACCAACGTCACGTCCGCCATCAAGCCCTCGTACTGCTCAGGGTATAGGATTTACTCAGACCCTCGATCGCGGATTCCAGGAATGTGGATATCGCCCTTCATCTTGCGGCCATGAGGATGGGAGGGTACCTGCCGTCGAGAACGAGGATCCCCCACTGTATCGATGACGCTCTGAAGACCAGCTTCGTTCAGCATCGACCGAATCGTACGAGTAAGGTTGTCATGCGCCGTGGGAAGCTTGGAGGATCGGCGTTTGCAGGTCTGGATGTGCAGCAACGGAGGGGTCGAGCTCGCGCTGACATCCATCACATTCCGTCGGACACTGGCAGATCGGCATGCCATGGAGATAGGATTTACTGGCAAAAGGTGATAGGATTTACTGGCAGAAGGTAAAAAGTGCCTCAAGCAAAACAAAGCAGGAACAAGCTGAACCGGCAGGCACACAGTCCACAGCGAGAAGCTGCACAATCACACACAAAACACAAGCCCGAAAAGAACCAGCACTGCTGGCACCCAGATAGCAGTCGAGCATCTGAGCATAGCGGTGCGGGAAGGCCTTGAGGGGGTAGTAGCTCGAGACTCGCATCGGAGAGTGGCTCAGGTCACGCTCAGGAAAATGAGCGAAGATTCATAGGGTTTACTGGCAGAAGGTAAAAAGTGCCTCAAGCAAAACAAAGCATGAACAAGCTGAACCGGCAGGCACACAGTAGATGGTAGACTGCAAGACCCTATCCTGCGACTTGAGCGAGTGTGTCCTGCGGCTGTGCAAGGTGAGGATATCACGCTGCTGATCGGTCAGCGCAGCGCGAGCATGCACATGGCGAGGTATAGGATTTACTGGCAGAAGATAAAAAGTGCCTCAAGCAAAACAAAGCAGGAACAAGCTGAACCGGCAGGTACACAGTCCACAGCGAGAAGCTGCACTGGCGAGGGAAGACGCGCATGACAAGAGGGGTCACATTTCGCTGCGCAGGCGGCGGAATGAAGTGCTCATGAGACGAGTCGACGAGAGCGCGCAAACCAGGGATGTGTACCACAGATGCCGGGGGGCGGCCTGCGTCATCAGGCACAGCAGCCGGGGCAGGTGGGATCGCCGCGCCATCTGCAGCCGGTGCAGGAGCCCTCACACGACGGTAGAGGATCGCTCCAGCATTATGAACGAAGTCGTGCGCCTCAACGAAGAAGGTCGCCAGAGGATGCTTCTGGGCACGGAGAGATCTCGAGCAGTGAACGTCCAGGCTATGAGGAGAGGGCAGGGTCCGTGACATGGGCTGGTCAGAGTACCAAGCGAGGAAGCGAGCGATAGCCGTATAGTAAACAGCGGGGTGTAGACCCTCAGAGGGCGTGAACTCGTCCCCACCCCGACTATGCGGAAGCTCCCGCTTGAACCTCGCAAACTCTAGCAGGTCGGGATGCGCGGCGAGGTACTGCGAGGAAGGCCAGCGGTGGTATTTCTCAAGCGCCAGGTGGACAGAGAGGTCAAAGCGACGAATCTGTGATTGGACCCGCGGGAGAAACGGAGAATCCCGCCAGTGACGACCTCGAAGTGAAGAAGTTGAGTCTTGAGACGGCGCTTAAGGCTCTTCTTCAGCTGCGAGAGATCAGGGTGTTGATGCCAGGAGGGGATGTAAACTTTCGACTCGCGAGGTTGAATCTCTAGCTTCAGATCAGCCAACATGTACTTCTTCATAGCGGACGTAGCTGCAACGGCATCCGTCTGGTATGGCAGATCGGCATGCCATGGAGATAGCAGTCGAGCATCTGAGCATAGCGGTGCGGCCAGGCCTTGAGGGGGTAGTAGCTCGAGACTCGCATCGGAGAGTGGCTCAGGTCACGCTCAGGAAAATGAGCGAAGATGGTAGACTGCAAGACCCTATCCTGCGACTTGAGCGAGTGTGTCCTGCGGCTGTGCAAGGTGAGGATATCACGCTGCTGATCGGTCAGCGCAGCGCGAGCATGCACATGGCGAGGGAAGACGCGCATGACAAGAGGGGTCACATTTCGCTGCGCAGGCGGAGGAATGAAGTGCTCATGAGACGAGTCGACGAGAGCGCGCAAACCAGGGATGTGTACCACAGATGCCGGGGGGCAGTAGTGGATTTACTGGCAGAAGGTAAAAAGTGCCTCAAGCAAAACAAAGCAGCAACAAGCTAAACCTCCAGGCACACAGCGGGGGGGCGTCCTGCGTCATCAGGCACAGCAGCCGGGGCAGGTGGGATCGCCGCGCCATCTGCAGCCGGTGCAGGAGCCCTCACACGACGGTAGAGGATCGCTCCAGCATTATGAACGAAGTCGTGCGCCTCAACGAAGAAGGTCGCCAGAGGATGCTTCTGGGCACGGAGAGATCTCGAGCAGTGAACAGGCAGGTAATGGATTTACTGGCAGAAGGTAAAAAGTGCCTCAAGCAAAACAAAGCAGGAAACGTCCAGGCTATGAGGAGAGGGCAACATCCGGGACATCGGCTGGTCAGAGCCTGTACCAAGCGAGGAAGCGAGCGATAGCCGTATAGTAAACAGCGGGGTGTAGACCCTCAGAGGGCGTGAACTCGTCCCCTCCCCGACTATGCGGAAGCTCCCGCTTGAACCTCGCAAACTCTAGCAGGTCGGGATGCGCGGCGAGGTACTGCGAGGAAGGCCAGCGGTGGTATTTCTCTAGCGCCAGGTGGACAGAGAGGTCAAAGCGACGAATCCAGCCCGTGTGTGATTGGACCCGCGGGAGAAACGGAGAAGACCCCTGGAGGAAGAAGCGCAGCTTCTGGAGATGGCTCGCCCTCACCAGCGTCTTGAACATGAAGCCATGCTGGACGAGCCCGAGCTTCGAGAGCTCTTCGTTGAGGGTAGAAACCTTCGCTCGGAGCTGACTAGCATGAAATCCATCCGTGCCGATAGGCAGGCCGCCAAGTGTAATCCCGCCAGTGACGACCTCGAAGTGAAGAAGTTGAGTCTTGAGACGGCGCTTAAGGCTCTTCTTCAGCTGCGAGAGATCAGGGTGTTGGTGCCAGGAGGGGATGTAAACTTTCGACTCGCGAGGTTGAATCTCTAGCTTCAGATCAGCCAACATGTACTTCTTCATAGCGGACGTAGCGGCAACGGCATCCTCGAGTGGACCCGGGCCGACAAGCACGACGTTGTCAGCGGGAAAAAGCTCTGCGATATGGAGGAGCAGGGGGTGGATACTGTGGCAGAAAAATACGCTGGAGGGGACATTGCCCTGACAGACGCCCGAGGTACACTGAACGGAGGCTGACTGACTTTTGTGAAAGAGTCGAAGGTCAGCAGAGTCTCCATAGTAGCTGGAGAGGTAGGAGGCGAACAAACGGAGATGCTCGCAAGAGGGCAAGCGAGCGCCTTCAGTGATGCTCCCATCAAAGTAGTCGCGACTCGCACGTCCCTCGATTGCATCGAAGAGAGCCTGGCGGTCGAGGGAGTTGAAGGCGTTCTTTGCATCCAAACTCACCAGCACTGTGGGGTTGGCAACATCCTCATCATCACCGCGAGCGTGAAGGGGCAGGAGCGCTGACGCGGTTTGCGAGAACTTCAGACAGCCGTCTCGATCGAGTCCGAACTGAATCGCTCGAGGGTGAGACGAGAGGAAGTGCTGGTCAAGAAATGAGCGAATCGCTGCCAAAGCAAGCTTCGTCGCGAGTCGACGGTGTGCAGAACCGATGACAATTGGCCGGAGACCAGGTTTATCAGCTCCCTTGGAGAGGGGAATAAATCTGCCTCCTCGACGAATGGCTGACAGGGCAGGAATAAGAAGATCCGGCATTTGGCCAAGAAGGACCCCTTGGAGGATATGTTTGCAGTAGAGCTTCAAAGCTGCAGGATGACTAGAAAGGGGTGACAGGTGTTGCCGAATCCTCCACCCTTGGTCATCGGTCCCCGCAAAGGAGCTGTAGCGCTTGATCGCCTGGATCAGGCTAGTGGTGTCGAGGATGTCAGTCAAATCCACCTGCAGTACTGCAAGCGCTTGCTGTGTGAGATGAGCCGCGGAAGCACTTCCAAAGGCAGGCGACGCACCATCAGGGAACTTCTCTTGTGCTTCAGCAAGAAGATCAGCAAAAGATTCAGCCCTGTAGATGCCGGAGCTCAGTAGTGTCCGTACCGCCCGATGAAGGTCACCCGCAGTGAACTGATGAATCGCCAACTGTCTTTGGCGCTCGCTCGCAGAGGTGAGGGACAGCGTAGGTCGCGGCGGAGGAGCAGGCTCAGACTCCTGAGACGATTGGCCGGACTGCCGCTGCTCCCTCGGCCCGCGCGGTTGTGCGAATCTTCTCAGACGCTGGAACATGGAGGGCGTCGACTGAGGTTCGGACCTCCCCCCACTTGGTCAGGTCGGCAGAGCTACCAATGTAAGGGTGGACCAACGTCACGTCCGCCATCAAGCCCTCGTACTGCTCGGACCCTCGATCGCGGATTCCAGGGATGTGGATATCGCCCTTCATGAGGATGGGAGCGACGATGGATTTACTGGCAGAAGGTAAAAAGTGCCTCAAGCAAAACAAAGCAGGAACAAGCTAAACCTCCTGGCACACAGCGCACAGCGAGAAGCTGCACAATCACACACAAAACACAAGCCCGAAAAGAACCAGCACTGCTGGCACCCAGACGCGGCATCGCCAGCCCAAGCGCGAAGCCGCGCAGACAAGCAGCCTAAGGGTCAAGCAATCAAGCAACAAGCAGCAGGAGCATGCAGGAGGAATAAAATCCCTTAGACGCGATACCCGGAGGCAGCCGACTGACCACTGTCAGTCGAGACGTCCGCTGCCGCCACAAAGCGGGCGGCCGCGGACGGAGCAAGGGCAGCCGCCGACAAGGAGCCGGCGTTGCCCGGGGGTCCGCCTGGGGCCCAGCGGACGGAGGGAGGCTGGACACTGGAACACGGTACCGCTCGAGGTAGTCCTCCTCGCTAGCCTCCGAGTCAGCGGTAGCCGAGTCAGCGGTAGCCGCCCGTGACGGCGGCGACGCCGCAGCAATGCCCAAGGACCGGCGTGACCCGACCGATGCCGGGGAGGAAGCAGGCGAGCTCGGACCAGCAGCAGAAGACCAGCTTCGTTCAGCATCGACCGAATCGTACGAGTAAGGTTGTCATGCGCCGTGGGAAGCTTGGAGGATCGGCGTTTGCTGATCAGTGCAGCAACGGAGGGATCGAGCTCGCGCTGACATCCATCACATTTCGTCGGACACTGGCAGATCGGCATGCCATGGAGATAGCAGTCGAGCATCTGAGCATAGCGGTGCGGGAAGGCCTTGAGGGGGTAGTAGCTCGAGACTCGCATCGGAGAGTGGCTCAGGTCACGCTCAGGAAAATGAGCGAAGATGGTAGACTGCAAGACCCTATCCTGCGACTTGAGCGAGTGTGTCCTGCGGCTGTGCAAGGTGAGGATATCACGCTGCTGATCGGTCAGCGCAGCGCGAGCATGCACATGGCGAGGGAAGACGCGCATGACAAGAGGGGTCACATTTCGCTGCGCAGGCGGAGGAATGAAGTGCTCATGAGACGTTTTCGGGCTTGTGTTTTGTGTGTGATTGTGCAGCTTCTCGCTGTGCGCTGTGTGCCAGGAGGTTTATCCGGGACTCGACAAAGTCTGAGGAGGAGGTGTCCTCTGGCTCGAGGAGCGCGCTGCTGTGCCGGTATCACGGTGCTCGTTGCTTGCCCCTCTCTGCTGTCTACGTGGCTTCCCGCGTGGGCTGGCAGTGTATTTGTTGCTGTGTTCCGTACACCGCTTTGTTTCTGTGTGCTCTGTGCCTATTGAGTGGCCGCGCGTTTGCGAGCCAAGACTCGCAAACAGTCCTCCTCACTGTCCTCAGCGGGCGCAGCGGCCGCCGAGACCGAGACCGCCGCATTGACGGCGACGACGCTGCAGCAGTGCCCAAGGACCCCGTCGGGGGGGAGAAAGCAGGCGAGCTCGGACCAGCTGAGGGCCCTCTCCAGCGCCCGGCACTCTTGATGCTTCCACCGACGGAGTCCGTCGGACCTCCCGCGAAGACTCCTCGGGCGACTCGCCGGACAAAGTCCGAGGAGGAGGTGTCCTCCGGCTCGAGGAGCGCCTGCGCGCGCAAGGGAGTCATGCGCCTCGCACCAGGCAGGAGCGCCTCCAGCGTCAGCTGCATGGTGAGGCACTGGTAGGTGGCCGCGCGTTTGCGTGAGCCGGTGGCAAGACCTCAGCAGCAGGTAATGGAACAGCAGGTCCATCATCAGGAATGAAGTGCCACATCCCCGAGAGGCATCGAGCGCTGAGCAATGATGTCCTCCACCAGATACCAAATGAAGTGGAGGATAGTACTGATAGGATTTACTGGCAGAAGGTAAAAAGTGCCTCAAGCAAAAGTACTACGGATTTACTCAGTGGCAGAAGGTAAAAAGTGCCTCAAGCAAAACAAAGCAGGAACAAGCTAAACCTCCAGGCACACAGCGCACAGCGAGAAGCTGCACAAACACACACAAAACACAAGCCCGAAAAGAACCAGCACTGCTGGCACCCAGACGCGGCACCGCCAGCAAAACAAAGCTGAGGAACAAGCTAAACCGGCTTGCACACAGCGCACAGCGAGAAGCTGCACAATCACACACAAAACACAAGCCGCCTAAGGGTCAAGCAATCAAGCAACAAGCAGCAGGAGCATGCAGGAGGAATAAAATCCCTTAGACGCGATACCCGGAGGCAGCCGACTGACCACTGTCAGTCGAGACGTCCGCTGCCGCCACAAAGCGGGCGGCCGCGGACGGAGAAAGGGCAGCCGCCGACAAGGAGCCGGGCAACGGCGTTGCCTCTAGTTGCCCGGGGGTCCGCCTGGGGCAGCGGACGGAGGGAGGCTGGACACAGGAGCACGGTACCGCTCGGGGTAGTCCTCCTCGCTAGCCTCCGAGTCAGCGGTAGCCGAGTCAGCGGTTGACGATGGATTTACTGGCAGAAGGTAAAAAGTGCCTCAAGCAAAACAAAGCAGGACTCGAAGCTCGCCCGAGGGGTCACCGCTCGGAGTCTTCGCCAGAGGAGAGCTGAGTTTTACTCGATGATAAGGGAAAGCAGGAACAAGCAAGACCGTCATCCCCCACTCGTCACTGAGTGGTCTCGGACTCGGACTCCTCCGACGGCCGGACCGTCGGACGGCGGCGGTGGAAGCATCTTGAAGAGCCAGTGGCCTCTCTGAGGCTCCGTGTCCTTGTATAGCAGTGCGGCATCGTCGCCGTCAATGGCGGTCTCGGTCTCGGCTGCCCTGCGCCCGCTGAGGCCAGTACTGGTGACCACGGTTTGCTCCCGGCGACGCACAAACGGTAAAAAGTGCCTCAAGCAGACTCTGACTCCCGGCTTGAAGCATGAACAAGCCGGGCAGCCCGCCCCCGACAAGGAGCTGACGGTACTGCTCCAAGTGAAGCAAACAGTCCGCACTAAGCCTGAAGGCCCGGACGGTCACCGAGTCACGGTCCGACCGGCCGGCCGGGCGCCCGGGCCCGGGGGCCCTCGCCGCCGAGTTTCCGGGCCGCGATGCTGCCAGTTGACAGTCAAGTTTCTGAGGCGGACTCTATTGCTGCCTCTCAGTATCCCTAGCACCCACCCGAGAGTTGCCATGCTGTGATGAGACGTTAGAGAGGGAGGGAGAGAGAGAGAGGAGAGGAGAGGGGGAGAGAGGAGAGGAGAGGGGGAGAGAGGAGAGGAGAGGGGGAGATGATATGATCAAAGGAGTGAGAAGAAGTCAATTATGATAGGAATAAGCCTATCGTGATGCCGTTCCTTTTGCCCTTGCTTTAGTTCTCCCGCGCATTCCTTCGATTGACATAACCTCCCTCTTCAAAATTCTCTTTTATTCCTCTCCCTTTGGATGTCTCAATCACATTGGATGACATATCAACCATTTCTTGGGTAGAGTGTCAGCAGATGAAAACTAGGAACATTCACGATAGTGGAGGGAGGGAGGGAGGGAGAGAAGAAGGGAGGGAAGAATTGATGAGGGGGAGGAGGGAAAGCAGCAGGAGTGCCAAGGACGATCAGCGCTAACGGCTACTCGTGAGGTCATCAAGGTTACTAGGGCTGGAGTCGCCGGGTACTTCAGCGATGACTCTTTCGAATCTTCTCTTCTGTTGTTGTTTAGGCGCATTCATCATTGCAAACGCAGAGGTGAGAGCAGTGAAGTCAAACCAGAGTTGACCTCTTGCAGGCCTTGATCTCTTCTTCTTCTCTACATGCTCTTGATCGCAAGCGGCTCTTCAGCAGGAGCGCTGCTGTGCGGCTTCGAGGAGGCGAGGAAAATGAGGAGGATCGGAGCGAGAGAACAACATGGATCAAGATGAAAGACGAAGCGAACAGCGCACAGCCTCTACCTCCTTTGCTTGATAGTGCGATTAGAGCGGTGGAGACTTGGTGGATGGTAGCTGTGGTTTGGCTGATCAACTTGGAGCTCTTCTGGAGAGGGGGTCTGCTGAGGGTGCTGGAGGTGCTGCTGCTGGGTGGACGTCTTACCTTAAGGTGCCTTGCCTTGTCTCCTGCTGCCGTAGGATGTCTGATGGGACCTGGCGAGCAGCCTCGTCAAGTGGGGGTCAGTTGTGCTCATGGCCAGCTGGATGAGCAACCGAGCGCAGCAGGTGAGGATGAGGATCGAGTCCCTTTCCTCTCACCCGCTCGCAGGCCGTCAAGCAGAGGATCAGCCCCCCCATGCGCACCACGCAGCTCAACTATCCTCCCTTGTGTGTGGAGGCGGCAGGTCCCGGAAGGTTCGTGGTGGCTGGAGGAGGAGGCGATAAGGCAAAGGGGCTGCCGAACAGGTTCGCTCGTCTTGTTCTCTACTGCTCTGACGCAGATGGTCAGAGCGACCTTGATTGAGGATGATGGAGGGCAGCTGCTCGTGAAGGCCTTCGCAGCCTTCGGATCAGACGCGGTTGAGGCGGTGGCGATGAGCAACACGAGCAACTCGATGCTCTGCCTGGCTGGAGGAAGCGTCACCGAGCTCTCACTCAGCAGCATGACACCCCTGTCCTCGCAGAAGCTCGAGATCAACAATTCTACTGACAAGTCCGCGTGCAAGAGGCTGGCAGTGGGATTGCAGGGGGGCTTGCTGGTGGTTTCCAACGGTTCGAAGATCCATTTGTACAAGAGGAGGGCAGATGGGAAATCTTCCTTCAAGCTGTCGTCGACGTTAGCAGGAGCAGGCAAGGCTGGCGGAGAGGAGGAGGAGATTGTGGACCTCTCGCTCAACAAAGCATCTTCCTTGCTCGTTTCCACCTCTCACAAGGCGATTCGCGTGTGGGACTTGTCCAGCCACACCTGCCTTGCTCAGGCGTCGTGCGATGATTTCATGACGGACATGGAGGGCAATGCAGTGGAACTTGCAGCTTGCCGCTTCTGCGATGAGGGTCAGAGTGTGTGTAGCGCCATCAACACACCGACGGGAGGGTTGGTGCTGCTTCACAGCCTCAAAGGCAAGGCGCTGGCAGTGGAGCGGCGGGTGAAGGTGACCGGAGGACGCGTGACGAGTCTTGACGTGACTGCCAACTTCCTGGTGGTGGGAACGGACAAGGGCGACATGCTGCAGCTCAGCTGCGATCGCCTGCGGGTCCTGCGGCGAGCAAGTCATCACGTGATGCCGGTGACTGGCCTCAAGGCGCTCGCACATGGGGACGTGATGAGCGTCGGGTTTGACAACCTCGCGGCTCTGGTGGAGTTTAGCTGTAACTCGGTGCCCTTGCTGGGGGACAGGTGGAAGAAGCTTGCACACCGCGGACAACAAATAATGTCGGCAGCAACCGACTGGTTTGACATGTTGATAGAGCTGGGGAGCAGGCGGGGACGCGTGATGGGTCGATCGCTGCTGTCCTCAGCTCAAAACTTTCAAGTACCTTCTGTGCAGGTGACCGAGCTGGTGGAGGCGATGAAGGAGAAGGTGATGAACAGCTTCTCTCGCAAGGTCGAAACCCCGCACCTCTGATTGTCAGCAACTGACGGACTCTGCAGGAACAGGAGAGTGATGAAAGAGGCGAGGAGGAAGGCGAGGAGGAAGGAGAGGAGATAGAGGGAGAAGAAGAAGAAGAAGAAGAAGAAGAAGAAGAAGAAGAAGAAGAATGAAGAGCTCTCCGTCAGCTTGCAAGTGTTTTGGGTTGAGATGACAAGGCGAGAGAACTGGGTCAGCAGAAGATGACGGCAAAGCTTGTTTGCTAAAAGCTACATCATCCCACTGAGCCGCTTGAGGTCCCTCAGCCCAACTTTCCGAGCTCTTGCTTCTTCCGCATCAGGTTGATGCTCTGCGCATTCGTCACTCTCCCTCTCCCTCTGCTCCCTCTCTCACCTTATCCATCAACGACGCGATGATCCCAGCGACAGTAAAAACTCCGCCGACAATGGCGCAGAGGTTTGTGACGAAATGGTAGAAGGCTTGCTTCTTCTCATGGAACTGAACGATGATGGGGAGAATGTCATAATTGATCCTCACTGTCGGCACTTCGCCAGCCTTTTGAATGTTGTTGGAGTGAACGACGTAGCCGTAGCTCGTGATCTGAGCTACTTTCCAGCTAGAGGGAGGCGTCACCTCGTGTCTCACCACCTTCACATAGTGCTCGTGCGTGGTTGGCACGTGCTGGTCGGAGGTGAAGGAGCGATCGTCAAGAGAGCCGACGGAGGCAGCTATGTGGGGGGGGAGGACCATCCACGCCGTCTCAGACAGGAAGGGACCGAAGGAGAGGTGGTTGACGGTGTGCGACACGTCCATCGTCTCCCAGTTGAACTCATGGCTATCCGACACAGCCTGCACCTTGAGCATTCCTGGCGCTCGCTGGACGTGAAGGAGACCAGAGACCATGCATCCCACTCCGTTATGCGAGTCAACAACACCATCCTTGTTCGCGTCCACCGTCCTGCTCTTCGGCACCTCGTTGTTCAGCTGTGACATGAAATGCTCCGCCCACTGTGTGATCGCCGGCACCGAGCGCTCGCCATGGTAGGACTCGTGCTGTGAGTCGCCCTTGTCGTCCTTTCGAAAGACGAGGATGGTAGGGAAGGCATCGATGCGATACTTGATGCACAAGGCCTCCGACGACTGGTGTGTGCAATCAACCTTAGCAAGGATGATCCTCTCGTCGCCTGGGAATTTCTGCGCGATGGTAGCGGCGGATTTCTCCCAGACAGGAGCGAGTCGTTGACACCAGTGACACCAAGGGGCGTAGAAGTTGACGATCATGATGGCGTACTTGTGATGACTGGCCTCAAAGTTGTCGGTGGTGAGAGCGATGGAGGTCTCAGGACCATCGTGAACCTCATCCGTGGTGTGTCGAAGTTCCTTCTTGTTGTCGTCATGTCGCCCCACCAAATTCCCGTTCTTATCCAGTCTTATCTTGCTGACTCGAGCCGCGAGCCCTGCGTCATGCGTGCCCATGAAGTTGGTTGCGTCTACGCTCGCGTAGTCGCACTTGAGATGGGGGAAGGTGAAGTTGAAGTTCACCTGCAGCGTATCGTCCGACGAGCTCTCAAAGTGATCCAGCACCACCCGCGACTCCGACTGGACCGTCAGGTAGGCCGTCAGCTCAGCAGCCACCAGCCCGATCATGATGACGGCAGCTATGATGCTGAGCGCAGCTCCAGACACTGAGGCTTCGGTGAGCTCTTGTTGAAGGTCTCTCTTCAGCTTTCTGTAAGTTACCGGTCAGCGAGCTGGAGGGCAAGGCTGGAAGCACCTGTAGAAGTCTACAGACTTCAACCCTTGTAAGAAACCACTCATGGTGGCAGTCCTTCTTTGCCGATTTTTGTTCTGCTCTCTTGCCCTCTCCTCGCTGTCCGACAACCTGCAACTCCAAAATTTTACTTCAATGCTCATTGTATTGTCGGACAGCTCTCCCCTTTCATTCCTTCTCTTATCATCATAAATCAATTTCTCGTCTCAATGCCTGTTCTCTTTCCTCACCTCATCTCACTTCCCTCTCCCTCTGCACTGCACTTCTCTTCTCCTCTCTGCACTTGTGTTGTCTTGTGTTGTCTTGTAATCTGTTCTCCTCTCCTCTCCTCTCCCCTCCCCTCCGCTCCGCTCCTCTCTTCTCTTCTCCTCTCCTCTCCTCTCCTCTCGTCTCGTCTCCTCTCGTCTCCTCTCGTCTCCTCTCGTCTCCTCTCGTCTCCTCTCGTCTCGTCTCCTCTCCTCTCCTCTCCTCTCCTCTCCTCTCCTCTCCTCTCCTCTCCCCTTGTCTCCCATCATTTTTGGAGTCCCCGAGGAGCGGCTACGTCACCCGCTTGGATCAGAGTGGGGATGAGGGCTAGCAGCGATGGCGGGGATGCGGGCACGAACAATGGCATCTGCAACTGCGGGGGAAGAGAGCAGGGAGGGTCATTGACGAGTGATCCCGTGAGAAGAAGAAAATGATGTGAGAAGAAGAAGAAGACGAAGAAGAAGAATGGGAGACCATGGTTAATGCGAGCCAAGTAGAAATGTGTTCAAATGAAGGGAACGGAACGGAAGGGAGGGGCCGGAAGAGGAATACAAAGATTGGCAAGGCAATACAGGATATGAATCCAAGCGAATGTGAGCGCGTATAGGCAAAGAGTACGTGTATGGAAGGCAAGGCGTGTCTCAGTAAGAGGGTTGGGAGGAAGAGAAATAGAGAAGAAAGAACTGGTGTTTGTTGAAACTGATGTCTGCAACATTGACATTGCCGGCAGCTTTTAATACATTACGGGCATGTTGCCGCTGAAAGAGGCTTGTGTGCTTCTTTTACTTCTCTTTCTCTCGGACGCTTCCTCATCTGCTCTTGGCAGGGATTGGAACACAAGGAGACAAGAGTGTGGTTGTGACAGGCGAACACAGGAGAGAGCAGCGGCATGCCTGAGGTTGCGAGGAGGGTCCTACTTGTCAGGTCAAGACACCAAGCCCGTCATCATCCGCAAGCCGAGACCCGTAGAGAGCTCGCAGTCGAAGCCGAAGCAAGGAGATGCTGCGAAAGAGAGCCCCACAGAAGTGAGCCACGAGATCAAGACGGCCATCATGAAGGCTCGTCAGGCCAAGAAGATGACCCAGAAAGATTTGGCGCAGGCTCTCAACGAATCGGTAGAGCAGCAGGCTCTTGCCGGACGCTGCTCACTCTAGTCTAGGTGCAAACGATCCAGTGGTATGAGAATGGGAAGGCTGTTCCTAACAATGCGCTCATAGCCAAGATGGAGAGGTGAAGGCTCACGAACATGCTCAGCAGCTGACCTGTCGCAGAGTGCTTGGGACGAAACTTCCGAGGGTTAAGAAGGTGAAGCAGAGCGCCGCGACAGCAGACGATGAGAAGCAGCACTCTGTCACATCAGGAGGAGCATCTTAGCGTGTAAATTAGAAAGCCATCACAGTTCCAGTGAAATGAATTCATTGATCATCTCAAGCTGCCCCAAACTCTTGGCAGATGCTGCACGTCTCTGGCTTATTGCAAGAGGAGTAGGACGTCGGCTTCTTGTTGACGAAGCAGTTGATGGCGAACTTCACTTGTGATACTGGAGGCAACGCTTCGTGCATCATGCGCAAGTCAGCGTTGCCATCCGGCAGAGTGTTCCTCCACATGATAGCCTGCATGTGGCTGGTCATTCAGAGGCAAACAGTTCTCTGCGATATTACCATCCCCTTGGTCGGGACGAAGCGATAGCCGAGGTGAGGGAACCTGAGCCTCATGCTCAATCGCTCAGATGAGATAAGAATCGCTGTGAAGGCTCAGCGAAGTCAGACAACACTCACCTCGTCTCTCCTCCCCCTCCCCTCGGGATATCATTCAGGTATCTATGCATCTCCGTCATTCTGTGAGCTCAGACCGCATGATCAAAGCTGACATGAAGATTGTCTTGGGACGGAAGCAGCCGTCGTGATGGAGCTTGTGGTGCTGTCCTGGTTGATACCTGAGGATGTTGAGACACTCGATATGGGACTCGCTGCACTCGGCGAGGAAGGCAAGTCTTTGGGTCACTCGGAGGGCCACTGGGTGGCTGGAGGGATCGAGAGTGCAGGAGAAGCACGTCCTGTTGGCCGAGACTTCTAGTTGAAGGTGGTCGAACGGGTTGTCAGCTTTCAACATGTCCATACTCGATCCTCGTCCGTTGTAGGAGGGAAGGAATTTGCCTGGAGGGGACAAGAATTTGAGCTGGTCGAGAAGCAGACAAGAGGAGTTACCTTGAGTCAAAGACAACAGCTGGTCTACCTCATCGAAATCCAGGAAGTTTTGAATGATACAAACGTAAGGATCTGTAGACATGGTACATTTATACAAGATCCTTTCTGGTTGTAAACTTGATTCCTTCTCCGCTGCTTGTTTCGTCTCATCAGCACTATCTGTATTGCTATTCATCTTCCCTTTGTCATTGAGGTCAAGATTCTCAATCCCTGTATCTACATCGTCATAGGGTTCGATTTCTTCTGTCCCATGTGAGTTGTCAACGCTTTTTGAAAGCATGAGTGAGCAGATGGAGGAGTTTCAGCCTAGCGCCTCAACGAGTCCTGCTTGAACCTGAGACGTGTCAATTGTCAGATCAAGTGACTTGAACCGCCGACGGTAAAGTCCTTCCTTCCTCCAAGCGCCTTCAACTGCTCTCTAGCCCGGCCTATGATGACATGAACATCACCATCATCATCATCATCATCATCATCATCATCATCATCACCATCATCACCATCGTCATCATCACCATCATCATCACCATCATCATCATCATCATCATCATCATCGTCGTCGTCGTCGTCGTCGTCGTCGTCGTCGTCGTCGTCGTCGTCGTCGTCGTCGTCGTCGTCGTCGTCGTCCGACTGTCGTCGTCGTCATCATCATCATCATCATTTCCATTCCTCCTCCTCCTCCTCCTCTCACTGCCGCTCATCCTCAGCACTGGCCTGCCATGCGCACTGCGGCAGCGACAGCATGACTCAGTGAAGCCTCTTATCAGATCAGGTCTCCTCGGGACCTACCGCACTAGTCCGCGACCGGCCGGTGGCCGGGCCCGACCCGGTGATGGCAACCCGTGCCCGCCCCGTTGTTGCATGGCATTGAGCTTGCTAGAGAGCTTGGGAGGTCGGGGTTTAAGGGGGGGGTGGGGTACTTTTGCTTTGTGGGATATGGGTGGGTGTTCATAGTAGATTGGGAGGGTACATGACATCCGGAAATGAGGTACTGGTCACCGAAAGTTCGCTGCAATGGCTGAGGTGAGTGAAGCGGCGATGACCAACATGCAGGACATAGAGCAAGAGAAGCCTGTGAGTCAAGAAGAGAGCAACAGAGCAAAGACTTGCTTCTTGTTGACACATCCTTTTAAATGTTGTGACAAGACACGAAAAATTAAGAAAAATATTTTAGCTGCCCTCGCGTACGAAATTTCATTTGATGCAGCCAGGATTTCATGTTGGATCCGTGTTTTGAAAGTGTTTGGGATAAACGCTTCATAGTAATATAAAGAGAAGATCGGAGGAGCTATGAGAGGAAGCGTGAGCCTGTGGCTGATTCGCACTCCATCTTGTCGTCAGGATGATCTACATGACGAACCGCTGGGTGGGGAGAAATGGCAGAAGGTTCCCTCAGCGATTGTGAAAGAAAATAGGTAGGAACAGAGTGTATGTAATACTGCTGACGTGGTTGGCAGGCTGTGGGAAGAAGGTGCTATTGAGAGGGATGAAAAAATATCTTCTGTGACGGGCGTGTGTTTTCGATTTGCAGTGGCCAAGATAGCTTTGTGGCAAGAATGGAAGAAGTCATCGGTCGTCATGTTCGCAGGGTTGAGCTCCTACTACTTCATAACGGTCCGAGGATGGAGCTTGATCTCACTTCTGTCTATCGGAGGATTTTTGCATCTGTGTGCATCTTTGGCAGTAAAGTTGTATCGCAAGGATGGAAAAGGAGAAGTCGGGAATGTCGTGTAAGTTTGACACGTTTTGACTTTGGTGTGTGCATGACTAGAGTTTCTGCCATGAAGGTTTCAAATGAATGCTTCTGTGATCGCTGAGTACACCAAGAGCGTTGTAGCTGTTGTCAACCAACTGTCGGAATGGTACCAGGAGCAGATAGATGGCATGGATTACACAAAGATAGGGCAGGTGTCATCAAAGAGCCTTTTTCATATGAAATTAACGTGTGGATGATTCAGATTGTTGGGATATATTCTGTGGGACTTCTTGCTGGAATAATTTTCAGCGATTCGACGCTTCTTCTTCTTGGTTAGTACAACAGTGTGAAAGTGCAGAAATGCTGAGATTCAATCGTGTGGAATAATCTTTCGCTTCCAACATCTCGCTTTCTGTATCATAGCTACTGTTAATGATTTGTCGTTCTCGTTTCATCTCTGACGTGTGACTGGCTTTCTCACATTTGGATTTGCAGTTTTCCTCGGGATTATGACCTGTCCGTCCATCTACAGAAACAATCGCCACATAATCGATCCTTACCTCAGCTCGTTGACCTCTCGACATGTATCTTCTGATCTTGTTCTTGAGACTTTCTTGCTGACTATGGCGTGGAGGAGCTTAAGAGTCAAACTCCCAGGGAAACGAAGAACAAATAGCAGCTTAGGCAACACTAGTGTCGCAATCCTGGTTACAATTTTCATTGTAAGCATTCATCCATAAAAAATAAAAGACAGCCAGGCAGCGATTAAGAATATCTATCTACATTTTGCACTATTCACAAAGGACAAGCTGCATTTCGCCTCAATCAACATTAACAAAGATATGCTGACATCATGTGAATCATCTTGATTCGTTTTAGGTTTCAAATATATCCTCGAGTGAATCTCGTTTAGATTTGGAACTCATATTGCCAAAGATCTGAGACCACTGCGATTGATCTTGAGGTTTGTAAGCATGCAAGGTTATTCGCTCTTGCTTCGCTTGGTAACCTAATTCCTTCATGATTGCACTCATTGGTAGATCCATGTTCAACTTGCAATTGAGAGGTTTGTCCATGCATTTGCGTGAGGGCAAGAGTATGAAGTCGGTGGTCATACCATGATCAGGGATGTCGGTAACTGGGTTGTGATGTCCTTGTGAGATGATTTGATGGGCAAGGTCGCCGCATAGATCCCTCACTCTCTGGTGTGGCTGTATGCACACCAAGTGCCTCACCTGATCGGAGATGGTCTGGCTATGAATGAGAACCACAATCTGAGGCGCAGTCACGCCAACATGCTAACTTACCAAGCTGACTTACCTCCAAACTTCTCTTTGACTCAGCGCACTTGCTCTTTACGAGGTTCCCCCGATCCTTTTTATTCACTGAAAAGATGCTGCGTGGTTCGTGTGCTTGTGGAATCACAGTGATGGAGTAGCTTCGATTCACAACTGGTCTGTAAGCGATGGAGCTTGCTTGCTCACGTTTGTCATTGCTGTCTTCAAACAGTTCCAATCGAACCAAGGTTGCCGAGGCACAGAAGGAATTTCTCCTCAAAACATTCATCTGATCTCTGGAGACTTTGCAAGGATTAGGGATAAGGCATGTGGAGCACAGTCGTGCATAAGTTTGTCCACTGTGATCTACCTCCATTTCTGCAGAATTTATATGGTGATGACAATGTTTTTTCAAGGTTTTAGCAGAAGATGGTGAAAGTGAGGGAGAAGAGAAGGATTCAAAATTTGAGGTTTCAGCAGTGAAAGTTGAAATATTCGACGAGTTCGACAAGTTTGAGACAGCTATGAAACTCTGTTCCTGCGTCTTCAGCATATCTGACCTGATCTCCTTGTTGCTGTTCTTGTTCTTGAGCTCTGATTCAGGTACGCACACCTTGACTGTTCGCCTCGACATGCTTCTTCTCACACTGGCTTGTGCGTATCCACTCAGATTATCATGGACTCGGCCAGACGTACCCCACCACCCCATGGCCCTAGAACGGCGCCACCACCCCACCCTACCATCCTTAACTCAACTTGACAAGCTCAAAGGGTGCTGTCAGTGTTGACCCACCCGGTCATCATACTCATCCTCCACCCGGTCACCTCAGCGAGTCGCTTCCGACCACGGAGGCTCTGTCAACGGGGTCACTGCACCGCCCAGGGCCCGGCCACCCGGTACCCTACCCCGGTTAGCAACCCCCATTCCTCATTGAAAGATCCCCAGTGGGTGGCGGAGATATTTTGCAGACTACCCCGGTGCTGCGCCATCACAAGGCTGGGCCACATGACCGGTGGTCGGTGGTTAGTACCGACCGACGGTCATTCGCCGGAATCATAAAACGACTGTGGCAGATTTGACACCCCCTACCCCCTACCCCCTACCCCCTACCCCCTACCCGGGCCGCCCCTACCCCCTACCCCTTCCCCTAGCCTGCTTACCCCTACCCCTTCCCCTACCCTGCTTACCCCTACCCCCTAACCACTGACCAGAGGCTGACCAGGCTTGAGTCCTGTAACCCACCCCCTCTGCAGCCCAACACTTCCCGCAGCAATCGTCACCGTCACGGCGACTGGTACCGGCAGTAACCAGGACCACCCCTAGTCACTACCTACCCTACCCACCCCGCGGCTGTTGATGCGGGATGAGTCTCGGTCACGGTCAGCGGGAGTAAAGAGGCTAGCCTAGGAGTAAAAACCTAGAACCTCGGAAAAAAAAAGAAATAAAATAAGAAACAAAAAACCTTGTAAAAGCCCTACCGGAGGTTTAAAAGGTGGAGCAGCCGGGGATCGAACCCGGGGCCTTCCGCATGCAAAGCGGACGCGCTACCACTGCGCTACTGCCCCACATCACGTGAGACTGAGTTCCGTGGAGTTGATATATCCCTGATGCTTCTTGCGGGCAGGGAAAGTGTGAAGGCGAAGCCAACCAGGAGGAATGACTGGGAGCTCGCAGGTTAGAATCTCGAAGACCGCAGATAGGATAGATGATGTTATGGTTTTACTGCTGCCACCACAACAGGCTCCTTAGCATGGCATAAATTCGAAAGTTGCATGTTCAATTGAGCTTCTCATCAGTGGAAGACATGATTCGTTGGATGGGCAAGATGAATCCATGACTACCATCATTTAACAATCCATGTATTTTGAAATGCAGTCTTTCAGATTGTTTTGAAGGAAAATCTAAATCCCATCATTGCTGAGTATTTATGGGTGACTCAAACGATGAATGGATGTGTGGATATAGCAGCAATGATTTTGGGATAAGCAAGTGTGAAACAAGATGGCTGAAAAACAGAACTAGATCATGTAAATGTTCAGTCTCCGTATCACCTTGTCCGCCCATTCCACACTTGCGTCTCATCGTACCTGCCTCCCTTCTCGCTGTCTTGTCTCCTCTCATGCTTTGCTCTCTTCTTATTGATTTCATCTCAGTATCTGTGTCGATTTTTTTGTAATGTCCTTTGCCGCTGCATTTTTCATGTTGTGGTTCAAATCATTCTCTTCTTCCCTTCCTTCATTCCCTCGCTTCCCCTCCCCCCCTTGCACCCGCATAGCGCTTTCATCAATAAAATAATATAAGATGCGGGGATAAAACTTTATTGGAGTTTATTATTGCAGTTTTAAAAACAAACCATCCACAAAATTCATTGACTGAAAATATAGATCATCTTCTACTCAAGTACCCCTGCATTCTATCTGCTTCTTCCTGTGCAATAGGGGTAGGGGTACTTTTTCCTTGCCTACATCCACCCCCACCCCTTTTCCTATATTCGATAGAATTTATTGGTGTTACCCTACCCCTTCATAGACCACCCCTACCTCCATTTGTTATGGAAATATCACCCCTTATCTTTGCGCCCTACACTAACCCCTACCTACAATTTGTATCTTTGACACCACCCCTGGGTGTCGTCCTCCCACGGTTCGTCATTTCCAGCATGAGGGAACGGCAACAAGGGCAAGAGCGTCAAGGAGGAGGAGAAGCATGCAGAGGAGCTGAAACAGCAGCAGCAGGAAGAGGATCTTTAGCTCAAAGAACAATGACCTGCTCCAATGCTCTTCCTTTCTGTTGTTCAGCTGCTCAGCTTCATCTTCACAACTCGCACCCTACCAGGGCCTCTCATAGCCACTCGTTCCCTTCTTCTCGTTGTATCACGTCATCCAGTTGGAGACGCTTTCAGCCCTGGCTTCTCCTGCCTCTCTTATTCAGCTTCCCCTGTGCTTCGTCGGATGCTTCCACGGAAACTTGTATGCAGGACAGTGGCACTAGGTCTGCCGGGGTCCGCCCGTTCTTACGTGGAATGCAAGGTGTACTCCAGGGCAACAATTCGCTCGTCACAGCAGCTGTCACAGCTGCAGGCGTGCAAGTGCTGAAGCGGGCCATGAGCAACTCTGCACTTGCTGGTGGATTTCAGGAACTGTTCTCCAAGAAGGATTCAATTCAGGTCCCCTCCCCTGCTGTCATGCAGGACGATAGGGGGCTGCCGACTAGCATCCCCTTCCTCGGGGAGAACCTGCGGACTATTCAATGGCTTCCAGCAGAATGGCAAGATTGGGGACAACTAAAGTACATGCAGAAGTGGTCTCGAGCAACCGAGGAGCTGACCGAACAGGCTCGATTGCAGTGGAAAGAAGGAGCCAAGAAGGTTGAAACTCAGCTGAGAGAGCTGTCAAAGATGCCGACGTGGGAGGAGCTACAGCGAATTCAGCCTCTGCTGCAACCCTGGGGAGGGCGAACAATTGATCAAAGGCTCAAGGCATGGCAGGACACCGTCAACGTCAAGATCGAGCATTTCCGCACCAACGTTCTTCGCGCTCCCCGCAGCCGACGAGCGGAGCTTGCTGCTTCAGCTGCGGAAGTTGAAGGGACAAACAAGATGCTGCTGGGCCGTCTCTTCACAGTCCTTGCGGGAGACGGATGGGAGCACGTGTTGCATCAAGACGGAGTAGACGTATATCGAAAGCGCATCGTCGATCTTTATCAGGGAGGAGAGAAGTTTTACTGCGTGAAAGCTGTCGGAGTGATCGATGCTAAGGCTGCTGATATCTACGAGCTACTCAAGGACAGCGCGAGGGTGGATGAGTACAACGAGGAGTGTGCTCAGGTGCGAGACCTCTCCGCCCTCTCGTCTGACACCAAGGTCACATGGGCGGCAAGCAAGACTTACTTCCCCTTCAAGCCCCGCGATTTCGTCACTCGCGTCCACAACACACAGCTGAATGATGGGACGTATGTGATCATGAGCCGGTCAGAGGACGTTGACTTCACCGATGGTGGCGCTGATTACGTGAGGACCGAGGTTCTCCTGGCCGGCAACGTGATGCGTCCGTGCCCTGACGACCCCAACAAGACAGAATTCACGACCATAGCGCACATCAACCCTGGAGGAGCTGCAGACACTCCGCTGGGAGCTCAGATCACGAATCGCATTTGCATTCATGGCCCGGTTTCCTTCATCAGGAAGATTGAGACAGTCTGCGGGAAAGGTGGAGCACAGTAGACAGAAAGCACAAAAGAGGCACAAGTAGGAGAAAGTGACATAATTAAAGAGGAGGTGACTGTAAAGTCATGCTATCTACCACACACTTGGTTCCTCTGCCTTGTAACACCCGCAATCAGGCCATCATGATCTCGTTTGAGTTCTTCGTAGCCAGGAGAATCTCTGTGCTTGGCCTGATCACAACATTTCAGAATATCAGTCTTCCACATGTGAGTATGTAGCAACGATTACCGTTGGACAGTTTCTAGCCTGTTGCAAAGAAAATGAGCTTCAACTCAGACGAGTGCAAGAGTTCAAGGCACTTCACTCACGAGGAGATGATCGTCGTGGTGCCTGTTTTTTGTGAGCTTGTTTCACTCCTGCAGGGTATCGTGACTCTCCCGACAACCTTCAACCAACCTCACAGGAAGTTTCGGTGCTCAGACAACCGTTGAAAATCGTTTCGCAGAGAGGATTCCCTCGCTTCGGCATCGGCTCTCAGTGCTTTCTCTGCTCAAGACTTCAGTCGACAGCAGGTGATCAGCTGGACTCCGAGACACTCTCGCGGTACCTGACTTGAGATCTTCCTGAAGCCTCGTGAGCTCGAGCTCCAGTATTCGCTTCTCCTCCTCGAGCTTTCTTTTCATCTGTCAAAGGATCATTTGACTACCGACTTGGAAAATCTCCTGTACGTCGTTGATGTGTTGAGAACGGATGGCTTCATCATTCTGCATCTGCCGTTCGATGGATTTCTCGAATTCAAGTCTCTTCTGAGCTTCCCCATATTTTACTTCAAGAGATTTGCGGTATTCCTCTAGTTTGAGGAGCGTGAACTCATTTTCTCTCCTCTCGTTATCCTGCAGAATGTTTATCACTCAGAAGGTGCATGGCACATGCGTTCACTTTCGTCTGGTTGGACTGTTGCATCCCTCTGATACGGTTCTCATTCTCTTGAACCATCTGTGCGTGCATTTCGCGCAGACTTGCAAGCTCCTCTCGGCCCTTCATTGCCTCGGTTTCTGCGTATCTCAGTGCTGACTTGAGCCATTCATTTTCTTCTTGCTGGTTGACGCATCAGATCTATTCGTTTTACACACAGTTTAATTCAACCTGCGTTGCTTTCTGCAGATCATGCTCGCTGACGCTCTGTGGATACACCTGTGCCTCTCGAACAAGGTCTGCACAAGATTCCACTCAGACGTACACAGCAGAAAATTTCTGCGCAGAAGTGTTCAACAACAACAAACCTGAGCCGTACAATACTGGGCGAGTCTTGTTGTTGGCTGAGTAAACAGGGGCATGTTGGTTTTGTGTTGATGAGCTATCATCTAGGAACTCGTTGGAGCCGCGCATGAGCTCTGCCTCAAAGATTTCATTCTTCTGCCCGTCTCTCAGGACGATCTTGACTGTTGATCCTTGCTCCCCAACTATCAGATCGCGGATTTGCATCACGCCCATTCCCATGCAATCGGTGTTGTCCACTCGAAGGATCTTGTGAGGGGTTAGGGTCGCCTGAGAGGTCTGTGCAGTACCTGATCGCCAACTTTGATTCTTCCATGGCGACTTGCAGATCCTCGCCAAACCACCTGAAGCGAACCGTCAAGTTTGAATCACGTGTGTGAAGGCACACCTGCTTCACAAAGACATCTGGTGATCCCTCGACTTCCCCAAGAAGCAGCCCAACTCCAGCCGGTTCTAAAAGCGTAATAATCAACTCACGCCATTACTTTCTTTGTGGTCTCTTAAACTGCGTCACCGTTCATGATCAATTGTGCAGAATGGATGATATGAAGTGAGGAGTGCTGTGATGTGATGTGATGTGATGTGATGTGATGTGATGTGATGTGATGTGATGTGATGTGATGTGATGTGATGTGATGTGATGTGATGTGAGGCAAGTTTGAACTTGCCAACACTTGAGGCATATGACATTGCAATCGTCCGGTTGAAGAGCATCTCATTCTTCGCTTCGTTACTCACTCTGCATGATTTCGGCGTCTCTCAAAGGGCTGGAGGGGTGGGGACAGCAAAGGAATTCAAAAGCAGGCTATCTACTAGATGTCGGAGGGGTGGGGGTGGGGGGAGGAGGAGGGTCCATGCCGTGATTCGAACGGTAGAACAGCCTCTATGCCATCATGACCCCCCTGACCCCAATCATGATGGGGTCTGAGCCTCCGAGGGGGGTGGGTCACCATATTCGGGACCCCCGATTTTCCAAGTTCAAGGCAGGCTCAAGGGTGGGTAGTGTGGCTGGTCCGACGGGCGCCGGAGGTTCCGAGCGAGACTACCGGTAGTAGTGACGGGCTGACCGTACAGTGACGAGCCTGAGGACCCCAGACCACCAGGGGTCCCCACATGCGCTGGCACTGCCGGTCACTGCGGCTACCGGTAGCCTCAGACTCTATAAGATCAGGTACCGGGCCGTACTACTACCGTACGGCGGTAGCCTACTCAGGGGTAGGTGCCATATACCACGGTAGCCTACAGTGACAGGTACTAGACCGGACCGGTACTATAAACCCTTCACCCTAAGCCTACCGGCCCTTGAATCAGCTCAGTGCCGGCAACTTTCAAACTTTTAAAATCATCCGACGATCCGGGCCGTCGCGACTGGGCCGGCGGCGCCGGGCCGCCGGGGGCGGCCCCGGGCGGTGCCGCCCGGGCCGTGCCATCCGATGATCCCGGGCCGGCCGACTCCGCCGCGGCCGGGCGGGTCGGGCCCGGCGGCGCTGAGCCGCTCGCCGCGGCGCGCCCCTGAGTTTGGCGGCCCGGGCCCGGACCCCGATCATCGGCCGGGTGACTCAGTGTCGGCGGTCCGCCGGAGCCTGCCACTGAAGTGCCGCCTGAGCCGCGCCTCCGCCGGCCGGCCCGAGTGGCACCCGGGCCCGTCGGACCGCGACGGCCGGCCGCGGGCCGGTCCGAGAAACTTACCCGGTGGCTTACCGGTAAACTATTCATAATTCGGTATGATTTTTAACTTAACTTTGAGTAAACATTCACAATTCGGTCTGCACGACCGTGACCTGCTAAACCGAATTTCCTTTGAATAATAACAAATATACCTGTTATTAGCACAAATATCTTCCAATTCTCCAATCAAATTTCAGTTGTTTGGGCATTTCGGTTATTTTTTCGGGTATTTTAACCTGTTTTCAAAGGAAAGGAAATCTCGAGACCTGCTTCCGAAATAGGCTGGAAGAATTGGTGAGCGCAAGAAATCATTTGCGGTGGGGGATGCAGACTCCTATCATGTTTTGAATACCACAATCTCAGTTGTCCAGAATTGTTTTTGACTAATATTTAATAGATAATATATTTTAACTAAAGATTTTCATGTACAAAGGCACATGTTTGACTCAAAGGACATATCACCCTTTCCGAGAAAATGCCACCAACCACTCTTCCGACTTGACATGGTGGCGAAAAAAATCCAAATATATCTCAAAATATTGAAATTGGTTCTGAATATTGCAAATCAAAGAATACTTTTTCATCAACCTCCCCAGATAATTTGAGTGGTATCGCCAACATTCTTTAAACTCATCCAATCCAGTCACCACCCGTTTTCACGAAGGTGGATGGATCTCCCACCCCGTCCTAAAGGACCCCACCCTATATTCACCGAATCGAATCGGGAAAACGCTTACCTGCTACACAACCCCCTACCCCCTCCTTTAACTACCATCACAACAATGACTCCCTGTCATGTTCTACCCCACCCCCTTCGTGATCCCCTTCCCCGTTCCGATGATCTATTTCCTACTCAATCTCCACCCCACCTTCGTTAGCTCAATGTGCTTCCGGTACCCTTTACCCCCTAGTTCCACCTCCTTTAAATATGGAAGGGTGGGGTAGTACAATTCCGGAACACCCACCCTTCCTTGTTAAAAAAACAGCTATGATTCGGCATGGGGCTGTCACGTACATATCAGATTAAATCCTTCTTCCCTCCCTCCCTCCCTCCCTCCCTCCCTCCCTCGCTTCATCTCTCTTCCTCCCTTGATCTCCTCACTCTCTCCCTCCCTCTCTTCACCCTTCTTACTAACCTATCTTGCTTTCGCTGTTCTCTACCCGATTTTTTCTCGTTGAGGTTCTCCGTCGCCTCGTGTTTTTCTCTTCAAGAGTTCCTTCCATCTTCTTCTCGGCATCTACACCGGCTTGCACGTTCATCCAGACATTGATGTCTCCAGCAGCCAAGCGAAGGCTTCCACTAATTAGTCTAGAAGAGGTCATGCATTCATTGGATCCAATCGACTGTGAGGAGACCAGTACGAAATGCTGGATCCCTTCAAAGCGCAGGAATGTGAGCTCCAAGAGAAAGTGGGGGGTGAGCCTTCTCGAGCCCTCGCAAGCTCCACCAGCTGAGGTGAGACTCATGCTTAAGGCGCATGTGATGCTGACTGGCTGCTCAGGTGCTCAAAGGAAAGCTGTACATAGGAAACAGAGAGCAGGCAACCAACTGGGAGACTATCACTTCCCTGGGGGTCACTCATATCATTAACGTGTCGAGACAAGACTGCAGGCCCTTCGCCTCGCACGTGCAGTATTATCACTGCGGTATCCCCGATCAGGTTGATGCAGACCTGACCAAGGCATTGCACAGCTCGTGGGATTTCTTCCAAGAAGCGACCAACAGACGGGATGACGCTTGCGTTCTCGTTCACTGCGCCAGCGGAGTCTCGCGATCGGTAGCGATGGTTTCTTACTTCCTCATGCGACTGGAGGGGATCAGCTTCTACGAAAGCCTTGAAAGAATCCGGGCAACGCATCCCGCAGCTCAGCCTAACATCGGGTTCGTGCGTCAGCTGCAGGCACTAGAGCGTGGCTTGTGCAAGTATGAGTCAGGAAGCGCCAACTTGTTTCAAGAGGTTCCCTTCTACGTAAAGTTGCAGCCCTGCCCTTATGGCTCAGGCTGGACTGAAAATGTTTCTGAATAAGTAGCATGAGAGTTTAAGAGGAGAAAAGAAATCGCCTTGTTCGTTGAGGTTAGTCTGGCCTCAAGAATGATAAAGTTGTGGATTCGGTGGCTGCTCGTCCCTCTTGTCGAAATGACTTCCATGCTCTCAATCCAGCTCGGCGCTTCCTCTCCTTCTCGTCTACGAGCGGAGGCCGTAGATGGCCTCCAACTCTCCCACTTCTCCTCGCGTGTTGTACATCCGTCCAGCCACCTGCAAGCGCATGAGGAGAAGAACTTGCAAGTCAGCAGAAGAGAGAAGAGCATAATGCAAAGAGACGCTCAGATCTGGCATAAGACAGGTTGTGGAGGGAGGGAGCCGTACGGGAACATAGTCATCTTTGCTCGTGCTGCCGTCAACTCGAAACTTGAAGGGAATGGTAGGAGCCTTCGCGTGATCCTCCAGCCTGGAGCTCGCGGTCAGCTACGAGATGATGATGAGGAAGAAGAAGCTGATCGGGAAGGAGGGAGAGAGGGGAGTGGCGACGAGCCCGCGTCTTACTTAGCATCATGGAATTGAATGTGTAGATGAGGCTTAGGGCAGAAACCGACGTCTCCTGACTCGCAGATAACTTCTCCATCCTGCCACGACGGTCAGACTTCTTGACGTTCAGTGAGGAAGAGAAGGGAGAGGAGGAAGAAAACAAAGCAGCAGCAGAGGCAGAGGCAGAGGAACTAGTTGCAATGGGCATGAGGCACCTTGACTCGATCGCCCTCCTTGAAGCGCACGCTTCCTTTCTTGATGTGAACGTACTCCACGAGCAACTGCAGACTTGTGAGGATGCACCGCGTTAGGATAGACTTACTCCGCAATCAAGCTGCAGCAAGACGCTGTTCCACTTGAGAAAATTCTTGCAGTCGGCTCCGCTAACCTGCCGGCTATGATTTGAGGGAAGGGGAGAAGGATAGGAGGGACAAGCGGCAACAGAGGAAAATGCAGAACAGGGAGGTGGAACAGGAGGATGTACAGGAGCAGATTGAATAAGAGGGAGGGAGGCGAGGGGGATGGGATCCTCTCTCACTTGATTGTCTTGCGAGATGACGGCAACCTTTCCATCTGCTACAGCGACCACTTCAGTCCCGACAGGACATTCGAGATCAACAGCATGTCTCGTCGTCTGATCAACCGTGTCAGCGATCACTCCCAGTTCCTCGCCTTGCCAGCTCTCTTTCATCCTGCTCCCTTTTCTTTGCCTTCCACAACTCCTCTCGATCGCCTCTTGATCAATACCGCTCTCCTCACCAGGAAGAAGTGTGTGAAGTGCCCGTTGAAGCCTTGGGAGCAGAGGAAGGGACCATCTCCCGCGAGGGGGAATCGGAAGGAGGCGACAGAGGCGTAGCTCTTCTCCACCGGCAGCTCCTCCAGGTCGTCGATGATGGACTGGATGTCTCTGCCATTCATCAACTCGGACAAGTTGCCTGCGAGAGGACGTGAGCCGACGGGAGGGCAGCAGGTCGCTCGCCTGAGGAGGGGGCAACTCTTCTGCCTCTTCGTGGGGGCCTCACATAGCAGAGGTCCATGACCGTCATGGGCTTCATCACCAGCACGAACGTGGTGACCTGGTGCTCTTCCCCTCCCTCCTCCCGCACGGGAGTCGTCAGCAGCGGCTTCCCCATGGAGGAGAAGACTCTCCTCCTCACGCTGATGTACATGGACCGCCGCTGCTTGCGAGCATTGACAGCGCTGAGGAGATGAGTGTCGGGGTCGATGATGAGGTCAGGAGGAGAACAGCCCTTGGGCTGCCCTAAGATTTCTCGACTGATGGAGAAGAAGAAAAACAGTGAGAGGAGAGTACGGGACGAGTAGCAAACAATTTGTACCTATACTTGAACATGTCTTCCAACCTGCAGACAAGTCACCACCTGAATTCGCCTCCCCTTTCCTCTCTCCTCCCCTCCTCATATTATTGCTTATCTTCTCTCCTCACCACTCGGCGTCGTGATATGCAACGTAACATCCTCGACCGAAGTCCGGTACGAAATTTCCGGTAACGAGCTCCTCATAGGGCAGCATCTTCACTCCCGCAGGCTCCGTCACCTCCTCCTCCATCTGCAGGGTTGCTTGGAAGGAGGCAGCGAGGCTGCTCTTCTTCGACTTGCTCTTCTTCTTGTGGCTCGAGGCCACTCCCTCTCCCTGCTCTACCGGCTTCACCCCCCAAGGCTCCGCTCGCTTGCTCGCTTCGTGGGCGGAGGAGGGAGAGTCTGCGAAGTTGAAGGAGAACCCAACTTGCTCTCCTCCCTTCACCCTGGCAGGCGAGACGGCAGGAGTTAGGTCGACCAGCACCGCGACATGTCAGAGCATACTGCTTGAGAGCATCGATGAGAGACGACGAAACCGTGGACGATCGTGTGGTAGACGTGCGAGTGTCTGTCATCACCATCAGTTCAAGTCGGCAAGCAACGACAGCACCTGCTCTGCTCTCTTTCTTCTCTTCGTCACAATCGTCCTTCACAGCGATCCTAAAAGCAGCAAGATGAGGCAAGCGCTATAGAGCTCCAAGGGCACATGCTCACTTGTCTAGAAACTTCCTCACTCGCTTTTCTGAAATTTCCCACTCCTTGTTCAAGTCCTTCAAGGTAGCCAGGATCCTGAGAGCCACATGTTAGCCCCCTGTGTTCATGCAGAAGCTCGTCATCACTTCTTGGCGCTCATGTCTGGATGACTCTCCCGAAGCGTCTGCCACGATTGTATCAGACAGGTATGCATGCATCGCTCCTCTACCTCTATCGCAGCTTGAACGTCGTCAGCCTCAGGGATCATCTTCAGTCAACGTCACTGTAGGGAAGGGAAGCCATGCTCCTCCTTCAACACTCGCGTTCCTTTCATACCCACTCACACTCACACGTGTAGATCATCACCTCCCTCTGCTTGCTGTCACTAACACGTGTAGATCATCACATCCTTCTGCTTGCTATCACTAACACGTGTAGATCATCACCTCCCTCGGCTTGCTATCACTAACACGTGTAGATCATCACCTCCCTCGGCTTGCTATCACTAACACGTGTAGATCATCACATCCTTCTGCTTGCTATCACTAACACGTGTAGATCATCACCTCCTTCTGCTTGCTATCACTAACACGTGTAGATCATCACCTCCCTCTGCTTGCTATCACTAACACGTGTAGATCATCACATCCCTCGGCTTGCTATCACTAACACGTGTAGATCATCACCTCCTTCTGCTTGCTATCACTAACACGTGTAGATCATCACCTCCTTCTGCTTGCTATCACTAACACGTGTAGATCATCACCTCCTTCTGCTTGCTATCACTACCACGTGTAGATCATCACCTCCTTCTGCTTGCTATCACTAACACGTGTAGATCATCACCTCCTTCTGCTTGCTATCACTACCACGTGTAGATCATCACCTCCTTCTGCTTGCTATCACTACCACGTGTAGATCATCACCTCCTTCTGCTTGCTATCACTACCACGTGTAGATCATCACCTCCTTCTGCTTGCTATCACTAACACGTGTAGATCATCACCTCCTTCTGCTTGCTATCACTAACACGTGTAGATCATCACCTCCTTCTGCTTGCTATCACTACCACGTGTAGATCATCACCTCCTTCTGCTTGCTATCACTAACACGTGTAGATCATCACCTCCTTCTGCTTGCTATCACTACCACGTGTAGATCATCACCTCCTTCTGCTTGCTATCACTACCACGTGTAGATCATCACCTCCTTCTGCTTGCTATCACTACCACGTGTAGATCATCACCTCCTTCTGCTTGCTATCACTACCACGTGTAGATCATCACCTCCTTCTGCTTGCTATCACTAACACGTGTAGATCATCACCTCCTTCTGCTTGCTATCACTACCACGTGTAGATCATCACCTCCTTCTGCTTGCTATCACTACCACGTGTAGATCATCACCTCCTTCTGCTTGCTATCACTAACACGTGTAGATCATCACCTCCTTCTGCTTGCTATCACTACCACGTGTAGATCATCACCTCCTTCTGCTTGCTATCACTAACACGTGTAGATCATCACCTCCTTCTGCTTGCTATCACTAACACGTGTAGATCATCACCTCCTTCTGCTTGCTATCACTAACACGTGTAGATCATCACCTCCTTCTGCTTGCTATCACTACCACAACTCTCTCTGATTCCCTCCTTGCCTGTCCGAATTTTCAGACCCGTGCAGGGAAAAGGAACCGAATGATGGATGACCAGAGATTATCATCCCCCTCGTCCCCCATCATACCCATCACACTTATCATCCCCCTCGTCTCCCTGACTCCATAGCAATGCTGGCGGCCACGACATGGTGGTTGTGCGGCGAGACGATGGTGAGGAGGAGGAGGAGGAGGAGGAGGAGGAGGAGGAGGAGGAGGAGGAGGAGGAGAAGAAGAGAAGAGATGGAAGC